AATTGAAATATTCTTTTGGCTCGCTAAAAATTAATTTAAAAATACCAAACTTAATAATATTAACAAAAATCGCGTTTTTTCTGCATGCGCACGATACGGTATGAAATAATTATTGTTTCGTGCTAAAATGGGCGTTAAATTTTCTACCTGCGATTTATAGTCGACATCGCGGTGAGCTTTGTTAATTCTTTTCGTTTAAATTAAAATGTTCGCCGTTGGATTAAAAAAAAAAAAAAAAAAAAATCAATGTTTCAAAAGCGCAATATAATATACATTTAAATGATATACCTACTTGAAATGTCCCGAAATAATATTGTTTTTTTTTTTCTCTATTTATTTATTAGAGGGGGGACAAAAACGACTAATTTGTAACAATGGAATGACGTGCAGCCAATGGTGACGCTGATGACGATCGCACGGCCGAATACGTTTTAATCTCGACTTATTTGCGCGTACAACAGATCACCCGCACTGCATCAGCTGACCGCTATAAGTGCGCGGCGCAACACACAGAGCGCGTTTGAAGCCGAACGGGATAACAACAATTATTATTGTACTGCGGTAAAGAGCCGGACGAATGTGGACCGGGCACACAGTGCCGCGTGTTATGGGTGCCGGTCAGGCGATAGCGGCAAAAGCGTTTGGGATTTGAGCGGGCTAGTGTCCCGAATACAGACACCGGAATCGCGGTGTTTACGGAAGCGTGAGCCGCCCTTGAACGATTTTTACTCGGTGATATACGCTCGGTTTCAAATGTCATGCGTTTTAACCCGGTTACAATACGATATACACAAGATACAACTAAAAACAACACGACTTATCACGGATTTTCACGAGTTTACTATTTGAATTACACAGTCTATAATAATATTAAATGTATGTCGTGTTATACAGGTACAGGACACACATCACGTATTACACGCGCATGAATACTTCAGTATTATTATTGTTTGTTGACTTTTGTATTGTGTGTCTTTAGACATATTCAATACATGATAAATATACGAAAAATCACATAACAAGTTCGGGGGGAGCTTATCCCCTAAAGTCCCCCCCCTTTATTTTCAATCGTGTACACACCGCAGTTGCGTGTTTTACAGATACAATTTGATTACGACGTTAAATTGAAATAAGACGTGTCCGTTGTACAGGAATTTTAAAATATTAATTACAAATGTGTGTGCGCACCGCAATGTGTACTTATAAATAGAATATGTATACTAACGTCTAAATAAAATTATCATATTATGTTACGACGTTTGCTTATGTACATCGAGCGTATGATAACGTAATGTAAGGAAACAAAAATCGCCGGAATGTTTTTAACATGGTACCGCGACTGAAGAGGGCTTATATAGAAGTATATTCTGTGAACATTTCAGTTTTTTACGATTATTTTTAACTGAGTTACAAAAAAAAAAAAACAGAAGAAATAAAAAATTGATACTTCTGGTTGGCGCGCCACTTTTGTAGGTGGGAAGTTGGGAAGGTCGGTTATTCAATTTATATCTGTAAGCAATTATAAACCATTGCTGCTAACGAAAAATTATTTTGTGGGAATTTCGTTTATATACGATTTGAAAGGCCGGAATATTTACGATTTGTATAAACAAATTTGATCTTAAAACTATTATAAAAAAAATAATTTACACTGTACTTTTTTTTTTTTATTGATTACCAAGTTCGACTTATAATGGATCTCTAATTAAGTGTTTCTATTTGGTCAAATAATGATATCAACCAAATAGTATTTACCAAATAAAAACTACGTAAGAACCTGGCAAACATAAAATTCTTTTAAATAGCTCAAAAATCGGCAAAATGTTAAAAACATTACCCCTACAACCCCTTCATTGCACCAACTAGGTAATATTTCCGTTCAGAAAAAGTGCGAGACTTAACACATCGGATCGAGATTTCTGGTAAAAGAGTTGTTCAAAGACACACACACACACAGAAAAAAAAACACACATCATAGTAAAACCAATACGTTCCTCGCTTCGCCCAGAATCTAAAAAAAATCGATAATTTTTTTCCTTTTTCTCATATGATAAGAACATAGTTCGATGGATCTTATTGGTTACAATTTTAGCGCGTATAAAATGTATTCGAATAGCTTTCAAAATAGGAACCGTGCTGAATCTTTAACACGAGTTTCAGACAAAATCTAAACTTCAAACGTTTTTATAAAAAAAAATCCGAAAAATTGAGACATTGAACATATCTTTTAGTATTTGAAATAATAAATAATAAGTATATTTCTCATCATAATATTTTCACTGTAAAAACTTCATATTGGTTATTTTGTCAATGTTATGATGTCGATTACGATTATCGGATAATTTAATATCCACCGATTTTGGCCGGGTAGAAATTACCCCAAACAATCTCGCAGCAACATTTATAACGAGTCCACGTTCTGTTTCTATCACTTGAAATTTATTTGTATTATTTTAGTTTCGGTCGAGTTTAACTAACAAATTATTATTTTACGGTAAGCTTTACACACGCCGCATGTATCGAGTTTACATTTAAGTTAAAAATTAAATTTAAAAAAAAAAAAAAAAATAAAATAAATACTATATAGGGATTTGAAAACTTTAAATGGCTCTACCGAACAATTTGCGACGTATCGTATTTGGCCTTTAAGCTGTCGATACAATGCATACGATATATACTATTTGTGCTCGGTCGGAGGAAACAAAATAATAAAAAAAAAAAAAAACCCCAACAGAATGTAAAAAAGAAAGAACTTTACGTTTTGCATTCACGTGCAATACGTGTTATGTAGGCGTTTAACGCATAAAACGTATCCTGGTACACACGCGTATCGATATCGTATATACGTGCGGCGAAAATCAGTGCTGAAAATGAACAACAAACGATAATCGGGAGGAGGAGGGCGCGGCGCGCCTATATTTTATCATATTATAATACTGATATAATGTACCGACCCGTTGTACGCGTCTTATTGTAATGTTATAAAAAAAAAAAAGAAAACAAAAAAATGTCCTCGTGATGTAATTTTCGATTTTGTTTTGAATTTTTTTTTTCTCTTTTATTTTCTCTCGTTCTCTGTTTTATAGGTGCACTGCCTACCTGCCGTGCGACCCGGCGGCCGCAGATGCGCGCGGCCGGAGGAGGAGAAGGCGGAATAACGGGGAGCGAGAGAGAGAGGAAAAAAAAAAAATGTGTAAATTCCGACCGTCCTCATTATGTGTAAACGCGGGCCGCGTAGACGCGCTAGGGGTCGGTAAATGTGTCGGCGGCGAGATGCGAGCGACTCGGAAAGTGCATCGGACGACGTGTGTATATACGTACAATAATAATAATAATTATAATAGTAACAGTAATGATATTGTATACAGGGTCTTTTTTTTTCCGAATTCACGCGAAAGTGTTTCGGCAACGTACGCGACTCTGAGGATTATTGTTGCCCGCACTCACTGCGCTGTACGCGAAAACTTTTCGCGGGCTTATCATCGCGATATTTATGACAATTCCGAACGGGTTGCGTTACATTTGTTTTGTTTCGGTTTTTTTTTTTCTGTCATCTTTTAAATTTGGAACGGTACCGCGGGTATACGACTTTTGAAATACCGCGTAATTAAACGCGTTCACACGCACGTTACCGTGGTGTGTCCCGCAATAACGAGAGTCGTACGGAGTCGTAGGGAACGTTTTTGCCGTGGACGTTTTTAATTTCCGTCGACCCGCCGCGGGGCGAGTGTTACGCAATGCCCGCGGCCGCCACTTTCAGTTCGGCCGTTTCGCCCGCGGCACCGGGAAACGTATTCTAATGGCACGACGTTATACTGTAGCGGGACATCGCGTCCGGACATTGTTTCTGTGCGAAAAGCCGGTTGAAAAAAATAAAACAAAAACGTTTGGGGCGGGCGCATAAACGGGTAAACGAAATAAATGCGTACGGTCAGGTTTTCTGAACCGCGCTTGCCACAAGAAATTTCCAAAAATAAAATTTCGAAAAAAAACACAATTTAATACTCATTCCGAGGGTAATGAGTTGTCTTGCGGAAGATTGATCACCCTGTATAGTCCATATATATATACATACATATATATATATATATACATATATATTATATGAACGCTTACATTGAGACCGACGCGCGCGCACGCCCAAACACGCGATTACGTGCGCGCGCGTGTGTGTCGGTGCCGCGCGTATTTGTCGTGTGTGCGGACGCGCGCGCGCGCGCCTGTGTGGTGTGTGTTTTCGCGCGCGTGTGTGTGCGCGCGTGTAAGTATGTGCGTGTAAGTGTGTATCGTGCTATTGATTTTTCGGCGTCCGCCTTGCCGCCCGGGTGGCACGGCGGCGGGTGGACTTTTTAGCGCCGGCGCCCGTGCCTAGCAGTGTCGCCGCCCGCGCGCCGACGTCGCGTTTCGCGTATATACGTACACAATGATGAACGCGACCGAAAGCTGTGCGTCGACGAGCGAATATCCGGTACGGGCGGTGGTGCGGACCGAGCCGTAAAACGACCGACCGCCCGAGTAGAGTGGGCCCGTGTCCGCGTGCGGTCGTATTTGCAATACACGCGTGTATTCGTAAACAAATAACATTATCATAGAAATTAGATAGGTGTCCGCCGGTTTTTCTTACAGATACTCGCCAGTGTCTTCCGCGGTGATTTGGCGCCCGGTGACATTACACACACACACACACACACACACACACACACACACACACAAACACACACACACTTACACACAGAGACACGCACACACACACACGCAAACGTACAGACAGACAGACAGACACACGACGTCGAAAAGGAAAAACGCCCGCGAGCGTGCATGTCAGTGCGAGGTGCCCGCTCGTCGATCGGCTCGATCCGCGCGTTTTGTGCTGCCGTCGTCGTCGCGGTCGCATTTCTCGTTCGAGTTTCGCCTTTCGTCGTACCGGCCGCCGCGCATCATCACGGCTATCGTTACTGCTGTCGGCGGGCCCGTCCCGGTCGTTTCGTCGCGATCGTGCGATGGCCACGGACGGTTTCCGGGCCTGTCGCCGCCGCAGCCGCCGCCGTCGTAACGCCGACCGACAGAACAGCTGCTGCGGTCCGCCGGCCGCCGACGTTTCCGACGAACATCATCACGCCCGGATCGGGTACGCCGTTCTTCCCAGTAAGTTTTTGCAATACGTACCCGTAAGATTATAATAGCATACCATGCGCACATTAGTCGCACGTAAGAACATACACGCGTCGTAACGTTGGCTACGTTCGTTTTGAAAGAAGTGAAAAAAATGCGTACACTTTTGATAAGGAATGCACTATCCACCACGATTATTTGTACGCACCAATCACACGCACCACTGACATGCATAGGTGTCGAATATGCGCTCATATGTAAAATCTGTTATGCGGAATTATGTGTACAATTTTCGTTAAAACGAACAAAGACTATTATTATTATTGTTTGTAAAGCAACATAATGATACAATTACTGATATTATCGGTCGCTAGGATAGCTGTTGGCGGATCGTCTACTTCACTGTAGATTTTGCGAGGCTCCGGGCTAAAGGAAGGAACCCACACATACTTTTCGAAATGTCGCAATGTGGCAGCATTGTCCGAGTTGTCCGTTTTCGCGTATGACAATCCGCGGTGTTTCTCGTTAGACCGGAGGCCCCCTCCCCCCGGATGATCGATTAGAAATCCTATGTATTTATTTCGACGTTCTTCGAAAATTGTATACATCCGATTGCGAGTCCGATTGTATCTCGGGACATCCTATACGGACGATCAACTAACAGGGCTGGGGCGCTGACCGATGGACATTGATAAGGTTTACTATCAATAATTAATCCGGCGTCCGATCGGATTGAAAACTAGACGAGGAAAATGTTTCAAGGAGAAACACACGCGAAATGTCGTCGCGATAATACCTAATCGACAAAATTTGCACTCTTTTCGCGTTTATTTCCGCGTCGGGCGGAGTGGTGATCCCGGAAGAACCGCCTAACCGAATCCAGCCTCGCTGTCACTTCTACGCGGTATTCCAGTATAATATCCACAGTACACGTCCTAACATCAAATGTTAGTGTATTATTATAGGTTTATAATCAATCGAACGATACTATATATGTACCCGGTGTCACAACGTTTTCCCGTTACCCTGCAGTGGCGATACGAGCCTAATACATTCTGTGTACGCCCGCAGAGTAAATTTATTATTATTATACGCATGCAATGTCGGTATAACTTTCGGACAGTCGTGTATGACACCGCACCGAACCTAACCTGGCCTAACTCGACCCATACGAGCCGTGAATTTGTAATTTCTAACGAACGCAAGGCCAATGATTAATACAATATGCATTATTTAATATTTTTTAATTTTCGTGTTACGCATTCGCCCAACACCCGAAAATCGGGAAACAACCGCTTCTCGATTACCGAGTTCGTTTCGATAATAATATACTGTGTCCATCGGTGTCTACCGTCGTTTTCCAACGACGGGTACGAAAACATGATAAATTCACGTGGACATTTTTCCTCGATCGGATTTCACGCACGCCGAAAACGCATTATAATATAATATTACACTGCATCGGAAAACTATTATACTTACAGAGCATTTGTTGGTTTACTTAGTAATCTATATACCGTTATACAGCCTTAACCACATATAGCAGCGTAATTACGGTTTTGGGGACTTATGCGTGTCGTATTCCCCCACAGCGATTTTGCGTTTGTAATTTTGTGTAATATTTAAACGAATTACAAGTAGACGGGCATTCACGTGAAAAAAAAAATATTGCGAACGTTTTTTACCATATATTATATTCGATTTTGTTACGCCACATGATCGACGTACCAAAGGAGCTGGTTTATTGTTTCAAAAACGATCGGGTAAATAGTTGTAATATGATCTTCTGAACAATATTATAAGTGTTTTCTGCCAAAACGCTGCCAAGTATCTACCCGGAGTGTCATTTTATGTATATTTAATTAATTCATTTTTTCGACTACAGGAAAATGCGAAATCAAAAAAATTAAATTGTAAATTTCGAAAAGGCGTCGTTTTTGAAAATTACAATTGTTTCTGGTATTGCTTTAATTTCTGTAGGACGAGATGAGCTCTTTTCGAAATTTAATTTAGGATATCGGTTGTTTTTCAATTGCGATGAAAAATCACCGGTTATAAAAATATCGATCTATAGATGTACGTGAAAAATAAGCGGGGAAGTCAATTTTGAAAAAATCTTGAGAAAGCCCTTTTCAAAATTTGCAATTCAATTATAAAAAATAATAATGAAAAAGGTTTGTACCTATATTGGAATGCAGACTATAGAGGGTAAAACTACTTTGTCGGGATTATTTAAAATAATGTTCACTCCGGGGTTCACTCCCTTTTCCTCCGAATAATAATTAGGCCAAAGTAAAGACATTGTGTCCACTATCCTGTCATGTCTTCTATTCAAATTTCACAATAACTGTCCATATTATAATATTTGGCAGCGCGGATTTTCATCGCATTGTTTTTTTTTTTTTTTTTTAAGGTCATGCGTGCGTCTCGTATTGTTTCGCGAATATCATACAAATTTTTTACTATGAAACTTTCTAGCGATTTGTCATCTCAAATATTGATAGAAAATAAACAAACTTGGCCGTTATGTCTAAAAACATTTAACTGACCGTTTAATCTATTGTTTGAATTTATGTTAGTTTATTGTTATAAACCTGACCTATAGGTTTATTCGACCTCTAGGACCATCTCGTTTTTTAATACCGATCATCCATCGCTAAAATCGTTTGATTTGACCTACCTTCTAAAGTTTCCACATTTTACCTCATCTTACAACATAGTTTGTAGAATTTTTATGAACCTAAAAAACTACTGTTAATAGAATCTTCAATTATCTAAATTATAACACAATAATAAAATTATTTTAAACAAATTTTTTAAGCTACTATTTCAAAAAAAAAAAAAATTATTTCCAAAAAATTTCATAATGGACAATAAATATTATATTTTTAGAAAAATGTGTCTTGTTACAATGTTTACTAATACCGTGAAATCCAATAAAATATAATGGATAAATAATTTAAATAAACCTTTGTTTTAAAAAAAAAAAATCAGTATTGTACTCTATAATATTTCATTATTTATTAGAAATGTATTCAATATATTCCCGTAGTTAAAATCGCAGAGTATATTATAGATACGTATTATAGTTTAAATAAAACTATTTAAATGTGTTTTACTCCGAGATACTAGCTCGATTAGAAATAAAATATAGGTACCTGGTACTTGGTACCTATATATCTCGATATTGATCATTTTTTTTTCTGGTTTTCAAAATTATTATGTGATTAGTCATACCGCATACAGCATATGTAATATTAGTAGGTATTCAATTTATTTTTATTCTTCTAATGTTAAATTTATTACTATAAAAGCTCTCCTAGGATAATGGGGACAGGTGTAGCCACTGTTATAGGTAAGAAGTTGGGAAGGTAGTAGATGTGAATTTATTGTATATCTGATTCTGAGCGGAATTCGGTTGATAGTGCTACTTTGTCAACAATATATATGTCATATTATGATAAATTGATTACATATCCATTATACATTTTCTTTAATAATATTTGTTTTAATGGTATTTTACCTGTTTTCTCGTTTTTCCTATGTTTGTCCCATTTGTTTGGAAAACTCCTAGGAAAATCAAAATAATGACCTCCTATAATTACCTCCACAGTCAGATTAGTATAAAACAAAGTATACCATTTGTAAATTTAAATCTTAACCTCATTTGATTAGTATATAATATTATAATATTGAAATTACAATATTCTAAATTTAAAACTGGATTATAATATTATTTTTATATTTGAAATCTTTGAAACCTTTATACTCTTGTCTATTTGAAATGTAGTATTTAAAAGTAGGTGGATGCTAATGTAATATTTAACTAACATTATTAAAACATTATAAAACTAAAATTAGAAGACCTAATTCGTAAGACCTATACATAAAACAAGAACCAGTGGTGTGGCGAATTTCTTTCCTTATAAGTATATACATACATACATATTTTTATATAGATAACGCACAATACTGAACAAAAATAATTTATCGAACGTTGAGTATTACAGTGTATAATATTTTATAACAATATACCTTTATAATAATAATAAGAAACTAAAATGTTATTATTTTAATTAAACTTTTATGCATTTAATTAATTATAACACTATATTAACTAAGTATATTATTAAATATATTTTCATAATTGTATGTTTTGGCACCATGGATATGCCGTGGGCCACTGTTATAAGTTGGACGGGTAATGTGATAATATATAGGGTAATTTAGTACGATAAATCATTGTGAACAATAAACTATTCTGAGTGAAGTTTGTGGTTATTAAACAGTGTTATATAAATTAAAATTGAAAATATTATTAATATTCAGCTATAAACTAATTTACAATATTTAGTGTTTTTAAAATGAAAAATTTTATCTCATAGTAAATATTTTAAAAAAAATTCAGATTACATTATAATTTATATTTAAGCATGTAAATGTTTTAGTAACATATTATATACTTTTTTCATGTGTTAGTTTACAACTTTTCCACCAGCAATCGTGTTCCAATCAAAAAACAATGAGAGCTTTTTTTGTAGGATATGATATAATTAATTTGTTTCGTTGTAATTCAGTTAGAAATAATTATTGAAATTGTTAGTTGGTTTTGTTATATGAATAAAATTGTTTTAATTTCTCAAACAAGTTTTAAAATTTAATGCCGGATTAATCATAATTTGTTTTTACGGTACGATAAAAATAGCCAAAATTCATTGTCAACATTTTTTTTTTTTTAAATATAAGTGTTTATAGATTAAATTTTTATGGAAATCCTAAAAATCATGACATTTCAAAACATGTTTGACTGAACTTCGCTTAGAATTATTTTTTGATAGCTATGATTTATCGTCGCATATAGGTTTAAATTAAATTAACCTATATATTATATCCTACCTTACCAAATCCTCACTCACCTTCAACAGTACACCCGTCACATATCACTAGTACCAACTCTTTTTTTTCTTTCTATTACCATTTATTTTTGTTTTTATAAATATCTACATAATATACTCTATAAGCATCGTAAATTTTAGATAGTTAAATATTTTTCGTCAATTTTTTAGTATATATATATATTGTGTAGACCTACTAATAATTTTTAATAGGTAATTGAATGTTTGAATCTTTTTCCTCTCTACTAGTAATAGTATGTTTTCAAGCGTTCTGCAGTAATATAACAAAATTTGTGTAGGCTACAGAGTTGACTAACAGATTGATACAAATAAAACGCAGAATTTGTCTCTTTTTTACGCATTCCATTCACGTTTTAGAATATAATTCCCAGAACGGTCAAAGAGTTTACATTTAAATTTATTAATCAACGATGTCCGCAGGGATTGATGGTTTCGTGGGATATTATTTATACCCTATCTCAAACTTTCTGGCTTGCAACACCATCATCTATAGGTTTTTCGGTTCTTATGGCCTTATGGGATGGATAAATAATAAATATATAGATAGGTATACCTAATATTTTACATATATATATACATAAAAAAACAAACTTAATATTGCGGGTAGCGTAAATAATTTATTTAAAATTGACTGTTTATAGTCGAGTACTCGAGTAGAATAATTATTCTAAAATAGTTTGTAAAAAATGTATCGCTCCTGAAATCCCCGAACCCAGTTAATTTTATTCTACATTTTATTTATGGCATGAATACCTATGAGGCAGGTATGTTTGCGAACATTTTTGTCGACTGTTATTTATAACTAATTTTTGCAAGCATTGTTTACGTTTTTTTACATGCATGTAAACATGCATTATAGGTACATTACAACTTAACAATACGTATATAATAAGTACATTATTATAAGGTAAAACTATAAAACATCAAAAGCCATAAAGGATATTATATGTTTTAAATTACCTCTGATGATACTGCCATTGTTGTAGGTGGAGAATTGGAAAGGTTGAACATATTATTATGGAGTAATTATTTAATTTATATCTGTAGGTACGTAACGATAAATCATTACTTAGAAAAATCGATTCAATGTGAAGTTTGGATATTCATGTTCTTGAAATGCCTTATTTTTACGATTTTCGTCAAAATTTGATCTTAAAACTCTAATAAAATTAAACCTACATTATACTCATCTTTTTTATACATCACTAAGTTAAACTTATAAGGAACATCGTCTTAAATTTTCAAGTATTTTTGAACGGTGAAACAATTTTATCTAGGTACAAAATCAAGTAAAAAAAAAAGCTGACATTGGTGATGGGTAGATCATTGCAGCTGTAAGTGAGAATTTGAGAAGATAGGATACATACAATTATTTGATATTTACATCTAATGAATCAAATCACTAACGAAAATCAATTCTATATGAAGTTCGGTTAAACATATTTTGAAATGCGGTGATTTTTACGATTTTCATCAAAATTTGAACTTGACACATTTTTAAAAAAAAAAACTACATTACATTCAAGTTTACATCCATACTGTGTATACAGTGAATGCAATTTAATATATGAATACAATTTATTTTTACAATTCATGAACCTCGTTTTAAATTTTTAAGCATTTTTGTAGAGACAAAACAATTGTATCTATATAAAACCAATTAGAAACTAAAATAATTTGACCATTTAAAATGCTTAGTTTTAAATAAATTAAAAAATCGCCAAAATTCCCAGAATATTACCACGTCTAGAAAATATTAATTTCAGGTCTCTAAAATTACTTTTAGCTTTAAAACAAAATAACAAAATTGAAATTATTAAAAACCGTTTTCACTTTTTCCTACATTTTTTTTATCACTAATTAAGAAAAATATAAGGAAAATCAAAAAATGACATTTGAAAAACCTTTTCTATAGTTAAAAATAGGAGTAAGATTTCTCGTAAAAAAAGTTGTTAATAGATAGAAAGAAAACACATTATAATAAAACTAATATATTTCTCTTTAGGATCAGAATCTATAGAAATGTCCAGGAGTTAATAATTGCTTTTATCAAATTTACAATATCAGACTATTGAAGGCAGTAAAAGATTAAATTTAAGTTGTTTGTTAATTATTTTATTACAAATAATATATTTATGCTGTCGTTTATACTTATAGCGTAAGCTAAACAACAATTATAAATACTATAGATACAAATATCGTTAAAACGTTTTGTAATTTTAACCGTCGTTTTTTTTTTTCATTTTACAGTTTTACCAATTCATTTTGCGTTACACTATATCGAGCCATTTGAAATAGAAATATATATATTTTTTTTATTAACATGCCAAAATTGTTCTATGGTATTATTTTCCCAAGATATCTTGTCATTCTCAGGACGAATAAAATAAAATCTATATGTTTGCAAGCAGCACAGAACTCAAAACCCAAATATAGCTACTTAGTACTTCCATATAATATTGATTATACGATTCGAGTTTTCGTAAGAATTTAGTTGAATGGCTCTCGATAAATATTTTGACTTTTATAAATAACTTTTCGAAACTATAATGGTTCACCCAATAAAACGGAAAAACTATTTGGGAAAAAAGCGAGTTACAAAGTTTGGGTTATTGGGCGTTTGCTTCAATTCGATCATCTCAGTGGGCGAGGTATTATTGTTTTTGCTATACTAAAATGAATAATCAAAGTTCACTAGTATAATACTATAGTAATTTAAATCTATTCAGTTGAAATAAAATACATTTTTTATTTCAATCACAATACATAATGAACAGTAATTTTAAAATTTGACTAAATTATAAAAACTAAAAAAAAAAAATTACAAATAAATTTAGTCGTACCTGTAGTCGACACACATATACTTTAAATGGCTTCAAATTCCAATAATTCTATATCGAACGCAAACCATAGTATATATAATAACTTTCCTTCCGGGACTTGTTTGTCGAAACCATTAAAATATATTTTTGTAATCGTACACGAACGCCATTCGAATTTATGTAGTATATGTATATAGATATTACTGTCGTACCGTCTCAAAAATTGGGTCAAAGGCTAAACCGGTCACTTAAATAGCATTATATTTTGTGTACTCATATCACGAATTAAATTAAAATGACCAGGAATTTTAGGTTAGATTAGGATAAATTGTTATCACGTCATATACTCGAGTTATATAAAATGCATATTTAAAAAAATAATAGTAGAACAAGTTTATTTTTCTATTTTATGTATAGTGCCAGATGGTTATTGTGTTGAAAATTGCAGTAATAAGACGTTGTATTTGCTTTGAAATATTTTCTTAAAAATCAAGAAAGTAGAGCTCTATGGGCTTTAAAATGTAGAAGAGCTAACTGGACTCTCACAGCAAACAGTCATACATGCTATGTGAAATATTATTATACGTCCAAATCTTTCATTAAACCTACTTCACTAGTTTGTACAGTAGAAAAAGTAATATGTTATTAATCTTTTTTTTTTTTACATAAAATAAAACTGAAGTATTTGTATTTAATATTAAGCTTATAATAACAAAAAAAAAAAAAAATTGAAAAAATTTAAATCGCTGTTTATTAACACGATATTAATTTGTATAATACTTAATATCAAATTAATGTTTATAGATAATTCGGCTTCGAACTAGTATTACTCGTGGTTCTTTAATAATAATTGAATTATTAAATATAATGCTGTGAATTTGTAACAAACGCATTTTCGTTTAGATTATTAGTGCAAAATAAGTACGAATTATTCGATAGCGAACTCAAGCCATGGATTAAGACTTTTATTTTTATTTTTTGTAATTTGTAGATCTTTCCCCCTTTTTTTTAATAGTATTAATAACAATTTTTATTTTTTTTTTATATTAACATTTATATGAATACTTTATGATTTTAATTTACATGTGAGGAATAAGGAATTTAAAGTTTACTATTATATGTGTGATTTTAAAATTTTCTAATGTCTTCTGTTTGTTACCAACTTTTCTACCAGAATCTGGTACCAATCAAAAAATGACAGAAGACATTTTTAAATCTAGTTGGTGCATGAAGAAGGTCATTTTTTAATTTTCCAAGTGGTTTTTATAATAGTTGGAAAAACCAAAAAATAAACCAAAAAAAAAAACGTAAAAGAAAAACGGAAACATTTATGGCGTTAACGATTTCATTATTTTAAATGTTTTCGATTTTTGTTTTTTACCATAAATCTTGCTCCAAATTTTGAGAGTAATATCTTTTCTCAAAGAAATTTTTGTAATTGAAAGTCAGTTTTTAATTTTCCAAGTAGTTTTATAACAGTTTGGAAACTTAGAAAAAACAAAATGTGTAAAAACGATGTGTAGTAGATTTTTTTTTTTAAATTTACAGTAGGTACTAATTATAGTTATACTTTATTAAATCATCTATCAATGACCTATTTTTGAGGAAAAGGAAGGGATCCTTTTTATATTCGTGTCTCCACAGTGCAGATAAAAACACCCATGCGCACATTATTTAATTTTATATGGTTTTACGCCGTATAATATGTAAATTACGATAATAATATTATGACTAAATTGATCAGGTTATACTATTCGTATGCATATAAAATACTATTATAATGATTTTACAGCTCCATCGTTTGCCACCGTTCGACAGCAGCACTTATATTCAGCACTATTTAACACTGCTACAGCATCGCGCTGAACATGCCTATATGTACTCGTATTATACATGTTGCAATCATTAATTGCAGCACTGTCGTATCCAGACATTTATTTTTTATCGGATTTGGTGATGTAGGAAGGGATTTTAAAGATAAAACTAGACGTATATTTTTCGAGAGCACACTAAAGTACTGAAATTGGCAACGATATACTCTGTAGCTCTCTGGCTACGTCATTGATTAATCGTATTGCAATGTTAATGAATGTATAAAACTATATTAATTTCATTTAAAGGTTTAAACATAAAATTAGGCAGATAATAATATTATATTTTGGTTATTTAATGTTATAAGGTATAATCATATAATACTCGAATGCATAAAAACAAACCTACATCCAATTTTCTTTATAGAATACTTTCTCTTGAACCTTGATATAATGGCTTTTAACAAAATAAAATGGTTGAAACATTTAACTATTTTTACTTCACGATTGGCTGACTTGAAGAAGTAAGCAAGCCAATCAGACTTGATGCGGGAAATTTAGGTGCTTAACAGTGCAATATTCTACAAACAGAGTTAAACTTTAATTTGCATTGTGTCCATATTACAATAAAATATTTGAAGGTATTATACCTATTTATATTTTCAAAGTTTTGGATCTAGAAAATTGTAAATCCTATAAATTCTAACTAAAGAAATAAAATTGTTTATGTGGTTTTTTTACTCGTATTATATACAACTTTCACAATCCAATAAATTAAAATCAGCAATAAAACAAGGATTATAGGTAAATACTAAAGAAGTATTATTTATTCGAAAATTAATTAATTTAAGAGCAATCAGAGTTTAAATATGTCTTTAAGTTTTAAAAAAAATTCTTATTAATAACTGAAACAGTGCACCACTGGAAATTCTTTGCAAGTCTAAAATCTCTAACATAATATTATGAAGGCCTGCCAATAGAAGGAGTAGACATTGTAAAAGAAACAAAATTCTGCTTAAGAACTAACATTTGTTTGATCAAATTAAAAAAATAAATACAAAATATTTAAACTCCTCATATAAAAGGATTTTATTTATTAAGTCGATAATAATTTCGTTTTTTATTATTTTCGATAAAATGTTAATTTTTTTTTTTTTTTTTTTTTTTTTTTTTTGCGATTTTTAATTCGATTTCTTACTATTATAATTATGACTTACTAAACAATTTGTGCGTACGGATGTACTCATAATATAGTAGAGTTGGTCAAGTACTCAATTTTTTCGATACATTTTTCTTTGGTGCTCGTAACTCAAGTACTCGATTTAACTCGCATATTCGACTTTCTTGTGTAATCGATTGTTTGAAAATAAAAATAAATGTACACACATATCTGAATCGGCTGCCGTCGTCGTCGAGCGGTACCGCTAAGGTCGCATCTTACCTATCGAAAAGTTGATGGAAGATGCATGTTCTTTTGTGGGACTGATTCTATACCCTGTCCTTATGTTTAAGACTTTTTATGACTCCTTGATAATGATACATTTTAATAGAACTTTACTCAAGTATTTTGATTTCAAAAACCAAAACTCACCCAACTATAAATGTAGCAAATTAGGCTATATTTAATTGTCGCTCAAATGTGTTATGACTTTTATGAATAAAATTATATTTGTATTTTTGTGAAAGGAAGGACGAGAGGGATAAATTCTCCTTCAATGTTTTTTTTTGGTTTATGCAATTTTGATAGTCTATTCTGAAAGCCACATAGAGTACCATCTAGTAGAGTTTGCCATTTGTTTTTGGAACACCTTCTATAAAAAAAAAGTATTCATAATTTAAAATTTGTAATGTTTCTTTTCTACACGACCATGGTGGTTATTGCCTGCTCTTTGAAAAAGAATTTATTATGATGTTAGTAATGATATTTATGAAATACTAATTTGGCGGCCTTACCACTACGTTGTTTTTGATAAGTTAACATAGCACATGCATAAATGCATTATTATTATAAACCTTTATTAACAATTAATCTTAATTGTTATTTGAAAAAAATATACCTAATATTCTTTGATATTATTTGTTGTTTTGTTGACTATTTTAAGATGGAGAATAAAAGACAATAAATAACAGATTCTTAATTCACATAAAAAAAAAAAAAAACAAGCAGATTAAATGGCAAGATAAATGTGATTGAATATAGAAGCAGCATATTAAATAACCTATTCATTTATATTGTACGTAACGTCTACAAGTCTACAACTGTATACATTTTTAAGAATGATAACTTAAACACTGTAAACACAGTAAAGCACTTCATCGCTTTAATGAAATTGGTTGCTTTGTTGATAAAAATAATTTGTTTGATGCTAATGAACATCTATAGTAAGCTTGTATTTTTATACAAAATATAATAATTATTTATTTTCCTACAATTTTTATTTGAATTTTAAATAACTTAGTTTGGTTTGCTGGTACTTACAAATTTGTGGATGCCAACTTTAAATTATATTTTTCCACAGAATAAAAAAAAAAGACTTGCGTGGACTGTGGTTTCAATACAAATTGCTTTTGGAATTCAATGAGTTAGTTTACTCAGAAGAGAAATCAGGAGCTTTTTATAAATATTATACTATTTCTTGTTTAATTTGGTGGAAAACATGATAAGCCTTTGATGCATTTATTTATTTATTTAAAAGTAATAACTATTGAGTAAGCAAATTTATTTACTTAAAAATACATATCCTTTTTCCCACTAGATTAAATTCCTAATCACGCCACTGGTCTGATAGCAATTTAAAATTAGTCATAACTGAGAAGACCAATTCTGTGACAAAAAATAGGGTGAAAATATAATACCATAAATAAAAATATTGATAGGACATATTGTCATTGTTTTCAATATTATCACAAATCCGTTCTAACTACAAGAACTAGTGATTTATCACATTGTAGATCACTAGTTCTTGTATTCATTATTTACTGTCTGAAAAATCATTTAATTTAAAAAACAATATTGAAGCTTTATAACTATGAATAGTTCAAAATGATTATTATCAATAAATAAATTATTGAGACAATATTTTTTGATAAATAAGGTAGCACTGTACTGCTCATGAAACACTTTATTATCTATATTTAATATAAAAGACTCGTTTTACTGATTAACTGATTTATCAACATATAGTAAAAACAACTGTCGTTAAAAACTTGAAATTTTGAATATAGATTCGTTGTATGTTGTATGACGTTCGAATCCACTGAAAATGGTTTTTTGGAAATTCTATTCCTTAGGGGGCAAAATAGGGGTTGCAAGTTTCTATACAATATCAATGCATAAACCAAATCGATGGGTCTAGAAACTTGAAATTTCGTATAAAGTTCCCTTATACAATGTAGACCATCGCTAAGAACGGATTTTTAAAAATTCTACCCCTAAGGAATTAAAAGGTGTCAAAGTTTGTATATACTATCAACGCATAGCTCCAACCACTAGGTCTAGAAACTTGAAACATATTCTTTATATAACGTAAAATATCGTTAAGGAAGAATTTTTGAAAAATAAAAATTGATCTCTCTGTATAATATAGTCTATACAATTTCAATTAATTCAAAAATAGTTCCTGAATTTGTTTTGATTTAAACACCTATAGAAAAAACTAAACAGTGAATTTCAACGATTTTGTATTATTGCTATATATTTCCGTAGGTATTTATATATTTTTAGATTTTATTATTGTTATTTTTTTAAAGCTGATTTTTTCATGTAGATTGTAAACCGTTCAACTGTCATTTATTATACATTATTAATTTGTGTGTAGTGTATAAAACGTTTTTAATTTTAATTTTAGTTACACAACTAAATATAAAACCTATAATTTGAAATAAATAATTATTGACAATGTATTTGTAGTGTTCAGAATGGTTTTTTTTTAACTACGCATAATTATTTATTATTGTTTTGAAATTTGCATTAATAATATTATAATGATGGTTTACTCCCCTGTCGCCGAGTACACTTTTCCCAAAAAAGTGACATTCCAATGACTGCGTGGTGTTTTTATTATTTTATTATTACATTATTGTTTAATTTTCCAGTTGATTGCTATTTGTTAGTAAATATTATTGTGAATAAAGTTTCACTTACCTACTGGTTTTGAAATTGTACATTGATAATTGAATTTAAACACCAGTCATCATTTGCCCCATTGTTTTAACTGTACGCGTTTTTTTTTGTATCTTTTTATTTCTAGATGTTTTATAACTTTAGGTATTTATATTTATTTATTTCAGTAGAGGTAAAATTAAACTCAAAATCGTATATCAACTCAAAATTGATTAGAACCGGATATTTTTGTATTCGTTAATTTTAGATTCTGAATAGAACGAGGAATGTATTGGTTTTACTATGTTTATTTTTAAATTTTTTCTGTTAAAAAATTTGTTGGTAGAATATTTACTTCCAGTAATTTTTTGATTTTTCAAGTGGTTTTCATAATAATTGGGAAAAACCGGGAAAAGTGGTAGGAAAAATGGGAAAATTTACGAAGTATATTATTTTTTATTTTATTTTTTATTATAATTCAGTTTAAAATATCCGTAGATATTTGAAATTCGGACAGAAAACTTATATTTGTGTCTTTTTTAGACGTGGTAATATTTTAAAAAATTTTAGCTATTTTCAGTCATTTATTATTTTTATTCAGTAGGTACTATAAAATTATTAAACCAAATAAAAATGCTTGAAATATGATATGATTTATCATTGTGTACAGATATAAATTTAAACTATATATCGTATAAATACGAAAATACTTGTAAATTCGTATTAGTCTTTGTAATGAAACATCTATCCCTTGTTAGTTTTGTTGCTGTATTATATAACTATATATAGGTATTATATTTTACAGCTAAGTTGGATTCAGTTAAAAAATATATTTCCTTCGTAAAGCTTTTTCTGACCAATAAATCTAAAAATTATGACGATTGAGTAGGCAAACTAAAACAAGTTGAGATAAATTATATTTACTTTAGATTCAGCAGAGTGCAGGATAGAACAGTCTAGGAGCTTTCATTTTTACAAGGTGTGTTTTGTGCTGTTTTTTTTAAATAATTTTGAAAGCAGTAAATATGATTATACAATTTTTATGTTGTAACTTTTATAGATAAGTAATAGATAAAACACAGCGGATGGTATTTTAGGTACCTACTCAATATTTAAAGGTTAAGAGTAATATGAAAAACGCATACACTATTTTAAACAAAATCAATGTTGATTATTTAATTTTAATTCGAATAAAATATTGTTTATCTAAGACTCGAGAGTGTTGGCATTTTTACCAGTTATTTATTTTAGATAGATAGATAATATTTATTATACATCTAACTTTTAACATTTATAAATTATGCTTAATGCTTATAATATACGAGTTTACCTGTATCGAGTTTTTATTTTACGTAACCCTGAGATATAGCCCTGTGTTAGATATTTAATAAATTTAAAAAATGTTTACAATAAGCACAGAATATTATATGATGTAGAAATCATATGAACACTATAAACTAATGGCATAAAATATTTAATTTTTAATGATCACTAAATCGTTGCTTTAAAATTATAGTTTGAACTAACTATTTGTAAATCCCATAACCATCATTCGTGACGAGAAAATTTGCAAGAAAAGTAAAACAGTGCAAAGTTTTTATGTTGAACATAAATAACAAACAAACAAAGAAACTGTGCATGTCAAAAAAAATTAATTATCTTGTAAATATATATATATAATATTATAAGACATATTTTAAAATGAAATAAATGAAAAAAAAAATTGATAAATTAAATAATTTAATAGTAGGTAATTGCGTTGTTAAAAAATTCTCGTTATTTTCATTCAATAATTATTATTATAAGTTAAATTTAGATCTAGAAGATTTTATACAATGGAGAAATAATACATTATGTAAAATTTGCTAAACATTAATCTTGTTCATATAAGCAAAAAAAAAAAAAAAAAATAGTAAAATCCCCTTTTTCTACTGTCTGAAATTATTCAAGTAGTATTTAAGCCATATTATCTCTATCTCTACTGTCGATATAATGTTTTCATATTCTTATTTAAAAGAAAAGTTATAGTTTGTGTTTTTTTTTCTTTTATATCATAATATATTAATATATAAAAGGAATCGACTGTGAATAATATTCAACGACGTCGTTGTCGTCATCATATTAATATGTTCAATATCGCATTGTACTTATTATTAGTAGGAATTTATACAAATGGAAATGCTTCAATTATTTATTTATAAATGTATTTATAGATTTTACTTTTATAACTGTAAGTACTCCTATTAAATATGTAAACATTTTTTATTTTTTATCTATTTATATAATATGCATGTATTTACTTAATAATATTGTAATACACTAATAGTTGCAAGAAGTATTTTAAATATCTGATATATTATTATGCGACGGATCATTATATGTAGGCCCGTGTGAATAATTCACATTTTAAAAACATACTAAGCCAAAAATGTATAAAAACTTACAGAGTTACATTTTCCTAGCATTTTTACTACCGTGTTAACAGTTTCTTTATTTTACATTATTTTTTATTTATTTCTTCTATCAGAAATTAAGATCAAATTTCGACGATTATTTTGAAAATTACCCCATTTCAAAAATGTAGAACCAAATTTTTATCAGAATTGTTTTTCATTAGCAATGGTTTTATCTTTGCTTATAGATATACATTAAATAACGATTTGTATCCTACGTTCTCAACTTCCCACCTATAATAGTTGCATACCCATTTTCAGTACCATTTCATTTAAATTGTATTTTTATTATATGATAAGTTATTGTTATTGCATTTAACTTAATAAATCAATTAGCTTATTGCATAGAAATTTACTATATTATAAATTTTAATATAATGTATTGACTATTATTTTGGTGATTTTGTTATTTTATAATTGTGTACCTAAGTTAGGCTCGTAAATAAACAAATGACAGTTAAATTTCTTTTTAAATAAAAGGTAAAATTTGTAAAAATAATTCTGATTAAAGCCTAGCGGGGGGGGTGATTAATTTAATAAATGTAGAGTGATAAACCACTGTTTAAACAACCAACTCTTTTTCGAGTTGAGCTTTTTCATTTACATTTTATTTTATTTGGTATTGATTAGCTTAAACGTAAATTAATATTATTCAACAATTTAAAATTCGTGTAAATAATAAACTGTTGGTTCAATATTTAATATAAAAATATTCTGCTCAGAAAAGTTTATCATTCCATATACACTATACATACATATACATTCAATTACATTAAATATCATCCCTTCCATTTTACTTCCTAAAACAGTGGTACCTACACACATCAGCAGTATCAGATTTTTTTCTTAATATTTATGATTTATGTCGTATGACGATTGAAGAAAACAAAGAGCCGATAGGATACTGCTGATAGGAGTTTCACTGAAGAATTGGGAATGTAGGGTACATATAATTATTTAATTTATATCTGTATTAAACAAAAACAATTTTTGCTCATAAAATACAATTCAGAGTGAAGTTCGACTGTACATAATGATCTCCTTGATACACCAACTAGATCCAAAATGCTACAAAAAAGCTTACTTGTCGTTTTTGGATTAAAGCCATATATCTAGTAAAAAAGTTGTACACAGGCACAAACAAATAAAGAACACAATATCACAGTAAACCTAATATATATATATATATATTTATATATATATATATTTCTCTCTACGCTCAGAATCTAAAAAAGGAGAAGAACCCTTTGAGAGAATTCCAGTGGATGATTAATAACCTGTGCTTTACTTGAAATTTGATTTTCATAAATTCTTTCAATTTTAAACTTGACTAGTTTGATGCAAAATTTCTCGTAGAAAAACAAAATAGGAAAAATTAAAAATAATGGAATCATTACTGTCGCAAATATATTTGCTTGTTTTTTCCCGGTTTTTCCCAATTAATATGAAAACCCCTAAAAAAAATCAAAAATGAATTCTTCAATGCACCAACAAGATCCAAATTATAACAAGAAATATATCATATCATTTTTTTGATCGGAGAAGATTTTTGGTAAAACATATTTATATATAGAAAAAAATATATGCACACACCATAGTAAAACCAATACATTCCTCGTTTCGTTCAGAATTTAAAAATAATTATTTTCTTCACGGTCAATATTATAGATAGCTTGACGATTATATTACTATATAACGGCTACAAAACCTTTTAACAGGCTGACGAGTGTGACGGCGGTGTTAGGCGGTTAAGCAACAAAACAATAAATTACATTATTTCGGCTCGCTGACCACTACTGATTTTTAATTAAAAACTTAACGCGTATCATTTTTGGTTGATACATCCACCAAAGCAACGATACTAATATTTCGAGAGTGCAAATATAATATAAATTTGGGCGTTCGTATCGAATCTCTGCAAGTACACAAATAAACAATATCAACAAATATTCCTTTTATTTTTTTTGTTTTGCATGGTAAAATATATATCTTTATTATGTAATAGTTACGATTGCAGAAGGTTTAGGAATTCAAACCTCCTCTGAAATATAAATTAGCTTTTAATTCCTTCTTTGGTATTAATCCTTTGATGCTAAAAAACACCAGCGTTAAGCATGGACCTAATAAGTGTCGTTTTTGCTGATTGTAGATTGTACTGTTGGCAGTGTTTGATTCATAATCCTCCTCAATTGTATGCTTGGTTTGCAATAGATGCAGTATGAAGAAACAGTGTTATCAATGGCACCACGTGGAGGTTCTTACCATGCTTCCCTTTATACCGATGTACTACTCTATACTAACCTAACCTAACCTACTCTGTAGTATAGCCCCACCATACCTAAGAATAAATAAAATAAATGTAATCACATTCTGAAAAATATCCATAACTATAAATCTAAATATTTCACTGAATAGATATAATATTATCGCTTTCTAACTATGATAGTACTTTCAAAATATTTTGGGCTTATTTTAGATATTTTTTATAGCTTTTAATGGTTTCAGGTTTTTAACTTCAGTTGTACAAATGTGATAGAATGTGTAAACATATAACAAAAGGTTCATCAAAAGTTGTACTATCTGTAAAAAAAATGGTAAACGTAATGTCATAATTCATTTTTATAAACGGTTTAAGTTAAAGTGTATGTATGTTACAAAGTAATACGTTTTTTAATTTAAAATATTTTTTAACCGAATTCCACTTAAAATCGTTTACAGTGATAAATACGTATGTAAGGATAAGTCATTATTTATCTTTACATATTATATTAAACTAAATAATAATAATTTTATAATTTTAATGCCAGGTTACACAAAACTTTATTGAGTCAATAAGTCAATAAATAATTATTAGTAAATTATATTAATATATTATATGATAAATTGCTATCGGTTCAATAAATTAAGTTATTGAATCAATAAAAATTAAAAGATGTTCCGCAAAGATTCAATGCCTTATTGAGTCTATATTATATCGGTCACACGTGTCTATTGGTTCAATAGTTAATAGGCTCAAATTTGGCCCAATAAGTTATATTGATTTGATAATATGAAATTTATCAAAGTAAAAATTTATTTTTATTTTTATATGACCAAATACATAATTGTTTCCCTATAATTTAATTATAAAAGAAGGAATAAAGTTTTCTTCATCTGAAGATGAGTTCATTTTTGATGTATTAGAAATTCTACTAAAACAGCGTATACATCCAATAAGATACTTGTATAATCCTTTGATGTAAAATAAATAGACGATGATTTTGATTTCGTACGCCAGTTCATGTAAATAATTTTGTTTTTCAGATAATTAATAGCTGATAGTGTGGTTGCAATTATATCAAGAAATTATGATTTTTCATTTTCATTGAAATGCTTTTCTTCTTTCCGTTTAGTAGATTTGTTAATTTTTAAACCAACTTTAATAATAATCTATACACCATGCTTCTAACGCATAATCGAATAGATTTGAGTATTGACGATTCATTACTGTAAGTATACAATCCCTGTAGTTTGCGAACAAAACAATATTATCATTAGACATCGTGGTACGATTGCAAGGAGGGCACGAAAATCTACATACACAACATAAGGCGTATTATTCCCGTGTTTTGAAGGAAACTCAAGGTTTCTCGGTGTATGTACAAATACCTATACTATAATAATATAATATTGGATGTTTTATTATTCTCTCCTGATCGTGACGCTTACAATACGCATATTATTACTAAAGATAATCGCACAAACCGATTCCCGCCTATATAACGATGCCCTCTCTGCGGATGAACGCGGCTTTGTTGTTTTCGAGTGGTAAGCCGTTTTAAAGGCACCTACAAAAGTGTATAGGTCTGCTGGAGTTATGCGTCTTATTTTAATGTAAGAAAAACGTATATTTTAATACGCGTACGTATAATATATAAACTGTTTATTATGATATTATGTGTACAATATCGTGGACGGGGATGGTATAGAGAGGCGTTCGCTAATTACACGTATACCATATTCTTGGCGCAAAATCGATAAAGAGTGGGGCCTACGTATAATATGTTAATATAATACTTGAGCTCGTAAAGTTCTAACATTATATTATATTATATGGGTATAATATCGTTGATTGAGCGCGAAAAACCATTTTTCTGCGGTTTTGTACATCGGAAAAAAAACTCGCATGGGCGCAAACACTCGTTTTATAATTTTTTTTAAAAGAAAATGAGAAGAAAAAAATTCGAACGTACTTCACATCACGGGTGTGTTACTGTGATAGATGGAAAGTTTGAAAGATATTGGATATAGGTTAGTTAAATTTATAAAATAGGCGCTAAAAGCATCGATATATCATTGCAATCAAAAAATTATTTAGAGCCGTGTAGTATTAGTAGTATAATAATCATTTTTTTCCTTTGTAGCTCTAGGTAACCCAGAAATCAAAAAAAAAAAAAAATACCCAACCGATCACAATTGTTAGTTTTTTACACTTAATAGAAAAATTATTTGGAATCTAAAGGTTTTTTTTCAATTAAAGTACCATTAAGCATCTTTTAAGTTTCGATAAAAAAAATTTGGACCATTTTTACTGACCAAAATAAGAACCTAGGGCTAAGCTATTGAAAATCGTATGAATAATTTTAAGTAAAGTACCACAGGGCGGAAATCTCACATCGTTTAAAATACTTCATGAAAAATCAGAACATTTTACCTACCAAAGAAGTGTTTTATTAAAGAAAAAAAAGCTTATTTTTTGGAACATTTTTCAGTTAAAACCATCCGGCAAAAATCTGCATCTTTTAAGGTGTGGAATGAAAATATCGCTACATGTTCGCGAGAAAAAAAATCATCTTAGTAAAACTAATATATGTACAACTATTCCGTGTAATACTTAGAATCAAAAATAGTTTTAATGGCGATTATTTTCAGTTGTAGTTTACACATCGCCGTAATCTACACTTATCCAGCCCTAGATTTACGTTAATCGCCATTAAAATTAAATAAAAATAACCTAGTCCGTAAGTTTAGATAAACGAAATAATATTTTCTCTTGGCTAATTTTTACACTTGTCGAAAAACGTACGTGAAGAATGTTACAGAATTTTAAAACTCCGTAACAATATTATTATCGTGTACCCACGCACATTCAAAAAGGTCTTTAATAAGCTGGGAAATCTGTGTACCTATTTTAAAAAAAATATATATATTTTTTTTTATTTCGTGGGTGGAAAAAAACTATGCGGTCATCAAAATATAAATTCTCTGTTTGTTAGGGAACTTTGTATGTTTATTATAGGTGGATACCCAAAATCTGCGTGGGAGTTAGATTTTTTTTGCACATATGTCGTAAAAAAAGGTAAATGCTCGTGAACAAGTTATAGCGTTCGTGCCTGTGCGCTAAAAACTGCTTTGCAGGCGAGGGACCGCGGCTCCCTCTGCCTCATACACATAACGACAGTGATCGAACAAGCGCTGGATATGTACAGGGTGATTCATTTAGCATAAACTATTGCGATAATCTATTTACATTTTGAGTAAATTTAATATAATCTTTTTTTTAGATACTATCTATACAATATATATATATATATATATGATCGTTCAAAAAAAACCAAAATCGAATTTACTTTATTTACCTAACATTGCTGAGTTATGATTAGGTACTCTGTATACACAAGTATAACTACGCATGTCGTCACTGCATATAAGATTATTGTTTACTTTATTTGATTTTTTCCAAAATCATTATAAAACTACAGGAATAAATATCCGTATTAGATCTACCGTAGATCGTATTAGGGTACCGACAAAAATGTATACACAAAAACTTCTCACCCTCTCTTTGTTGTATTTTGAAAATTAAATAAGTTCTGTAAAGCGCAAATATATCATAAAAATTTGTTTTCTATTTCCATTAACCAATCGATTTATCGGAATTTTATTTTATTTTTCGTTAACTCGTCAATTATTTTTATATAATATTAATTGTAATATAATGATTACTATTGATCGTATATGGTAATGGTTTACTCGTATGAATAAAATATTTTAATTAATATTTCATTATAGTATTTTATTCGTATATTCGTTTTTAAAATAACGGCTGAAATCGAAAAATCGATATCATGTTATACTGTGAATTATATTTGTTTGAAAACTGATGAGAATTGTTATATGCCTAATAGCATAATGCACACGAAATAAAAGCATACCGATGTGGTTTTGCTTAACAAATCGTGGTTTTTTTCGATTAAAATGTCTGACATGAGCAAATAAATGAAGTAATTGCATAAATTAAATATAATAGTATTGAAATATTACAGTTTTTAGAAATAGACATACAGATTAAGCTTTCCAGCTTTTATTATTTATTCTTATAGTTTTCAAACAACTGGCCTATACCCCACGCGATACATTAGAGTATTATTCCAATTATAAAAAAAAAATTATAAAAAAGACGTCTTAGGATAATGGAAATAGGTGCAGCCAATGTTATAAATAATTTAATGTATATCTGTACTCAACAATAAACCATTGTTTACGAAAAAACGATTCTGAGCGCACTTCAGTTGATAATGATGCTATGTATGTCATTTTATAGTAAAATAATTAAATAGGCATTATATATTTTCTTTAATAATATTTGTTTAAATTTGTGCCGATTTTCCACCGTTTTTCCAGTTTTTCACATTTGCTGTGAAAAAATAATAGCATTTTAAAATAAATAATCGAATTTCACTCAGAATCGTATTTCGTTAGCAATGGTTTATTGTTGTGCACAGGTATATATTTAATTATCTATAACATTGGCTGCACCCATTCCCATTATCATAGGACGTCTGTTTTATTATTTTTTTTATAATGTGAATAATACTCTAATAAACCGTGGGATATATACTCTAATATATTCCTTTTTTTATACACATATATATATATATATATGTATATCTGTTTACAAATTTCGATTTTGTTTTGATGATTTTTGATACTTTTGCGTGTAATCCACTTGTTTGATAAAGTTCACATTCATCTCTAGCAGTAAGCCCTTTTATCTCGTCCAAGTTAGTCGTTTCTTTTTTTTCTATTCGGTATCGGTTTGTTTATTTGTTTAGGTTCTTCATCGATATACGTCGTCTCTTCACCGGTAAATATCGATTTTCATCGTCCGTTCATAATACAGTGGAAGTTTAGAAGTTCTCAGACTTATCTGCGAAGTATACTATCAATAGTCTTTTTATATAGAAGTATTACAAGACGAAAACAAAGACCGCGGTTTGAGGTGAATTTGTAGTAAACTAAATTGTTTTTTAGATTTTTGCTTGAATCATGATGACTTTATTCTAAGTACTAAATTCGAATGTTATATAGTATTCGATTTTTTTTATTGCACTGTATAATTGTAAGTATAGTTACGGTTTATTGTCGAGCAAAATGATTCGATAGAGTTGAGTTGACGACCTCTTTACGAGGGTGGCAAAGGGTAATGGGAGGCACGACTCTGTAGACCAATTGAACGGAACGGCTGACATCATTGTCGCCGTAGTAACAATACACGCACGGAGAGGAGAGGTCGAAAAAGAATTTCGGAGAAATAGGGCAATTAAGAGCACAATATATTATGTAGAAAAAAGTTTGGAATGTTCGGATGAAATATTTTTCGGAAAAAAAACTCAGACTGCATTAGACAAATTTTTTTAAAACAATGATATACAAATAATAATAATAATGAAAAATAATGGTAAATAATGCGATATTTTAATCAGACAGTTTTTGCTGAGGAGGTTTTTAGATAAACAGATGATTACACACGGACGTACATATTATTTGAAAGATATTAATTTTTTTCCGAAATATTTACATCATTCAATTTCATACTATCCTATTGTGACTATAAATTCTATGTCACAGTATAACACATTGAAATTTATAACTGCTAATTTATGTAGAACGTGTAATAAACATTATAAAATGACCAACAATGATCATATACGCATGTTAAAAACGTGATTATTTCTTTTTTAGAATTCCGTTAAGTTCTGTTGAACATGCTTTAATAAACCTAAATAGACAATTTTATTAATGTTTAGCTATACAATATAAATTACAACTGTATGTGTTTTTTTAACTCAAACTTTTTTATGGAGTCCAAAAAGTTTTATCCGCATAAATCATAAAATATTATATGAAATATCGAGTAAATAAAATCGTCTTAGTTTTGGTCTTAAAAATAATACAAATGACAATGATAAAATTGATCAAAATTCAATGTAATCTTAATTATTTAATTAAAATTAAAATAAAAAAAACCAAATCATAATAAAAAAAAATATATATTATTCTACTCTACTACCATATACAATATTAATTTATTTTATGGATATGCATTTTAAAAAGTTTTCAATTTTTACATTTTTTTCTTCTGGTAATTCGATATTTTCCCTTTAACCTATTTTGCACTGATCAATCCTCAACTCAAACAAAAATATTTTTTCAATTAATAGTCAAATATTTGGGTGGGAATGTGAAATAATTTGGAAAACCTAAGATTTCATCCCTCAGTTTGGTTTTTAGTTTTTGATTTTTATCTGGCTATACCTACAGTGTACAAGCCAGACATTTTTACCTCGGGGCATTTTTACCTCAGGACATATTTATCTACAACCCTTTAAACACACCAACTACACTGCATACAATTTTCTATCAGAAATTATTCTTCAAGGTGATGGTTAAAACAAGATATCTGTTGTTCGCAGATATAACAGATAAAAAGAAACACACATTATTGTAAAACTAATACATTATTCTATACCAATGATTTTCAACCTTTTTGACACTATAAGGACTATTTAAAGAACTTTTAATAGATCTCAAATCATTTAAAAATGTTTTCGTTTTGTATTGTTTCGTTTTTCAATAACTGTATAAGATATTTTTGGATGGATATCATCAGTTAACTCGTCGATTTTAACAATAAAAAGATTTCGAATTATACTTCGGATCGGTTCTTTATCGTTATATTCTGGGAAACTCGTCTTTGAGTTTTTACAGATGGTGTTAAACGCTGTGCTGGACCACAGTTGTGAGGTCAAATGGTTCAGACAACTACTATCACTTTATAAAAATTATTTGTTCAATTTTGTAGATATGGTTTGTGGTTAAAAACCTTTATGCTCTATACGTTCAGAATCTATTAGTTATATGTAATTTACGGAAATATGTATGGAAAAACGTACACGAAAACGTATATTGTTTCATGATGTTGGTGACATCATGTTAAGATAATTTCTGGTCGTGATAAAAATATAAAAAAATTAAATTAAATTCGGTGCTGGAGTCTAACTCGCACATGATGCGATTTTTTAAACCGTGCCCCCTCTTGTGCAGACAGACATCAAACTTGACATTTGTTTTCCGTTTTAATTCCATAACAATAAATTTGTATAAATGAAAATATCGTTCTGTGTATAAATATATATATATATATATATATATATATATATAGAAAAAATGTATTGACTTAATTGACTTCAAAATTATAAATACCTATAACAGTTTCAACGGAGCAAATATCGAGACGAGACAATATGTTAAAATACAGAGGTAAAATATGAAAGTAATTTTTATTAGTTTACTTTGACCGACATTGTTTATGAAGTTTTTTTTTTTATAAGTAAAACTGATCGTAGAATTTTGTTTATAATATCCCAATAGAGAGATTAATTTTCGCTGTTAAATATTTATCAGTATGTTTTTTAAAAAAATTTATTATTAATTGGATTTTTTTTATAATCGTGTTTTTGTTTTGCTCACGGATTCGATAGTCCCATTTTGTTTTAGCGTAATAATGAGGCTGGGAGAGCGAAGGCAGTATTCATCTGGAAAATATTATTTGAACATATTATTCTCACGGAGTGATGAAAACTTACGGTTTCCAGTCTAATTGGACTGCGAGCTCACGTAGGACTTTTAATCGAAAATAACGATTTTGATGTGCGAAACCACTTCGGACAGGTAACAGCAGCAAAATTACGATGTGGAAACATATACTTTATGAAATGATAACAAATATTTTAGAAATTATTGCTATTTTACTATTTATATAATTATTTTTAGGCGTGTTCATGTGTACCAATTCCCTTGACGCGGAGTTTTTGTACTAGTGAATAAAAAAAATTTACTCGCGTATACTTAATACACGTGCATTTATAATTTTATTTATGTTAACGTATTTTGGTGTTTTTCATGTATTGACGAATATTTGTTTAGGCGACAACGTACATATTATATTGATTTTTTCTTTTTTTTTTTTTGTATAATTCGTATTTATTTTGTCGTTAAATTCAAACTTTTAACAATATATCATGAACTTGAACAAGTAATGAATTTTAAAATATTAAAAAAGCGAATGTGCGAATATACGCGCACACGTGAGCGACACACGTGTTACACGTATACGCAGATTTTTCAAAAAACTACGCGGTTTTATAGATTCTAATATTAATTTCACGCGTACACGTGAAATAGGGCGCTCTGGTATAATATTATTATATACGCGCGCGTGCGATGTTTATGTCGCGTCGGCCGGGAGGAGAAAAATATCTCCGCGGCGGCGTTTAGAGGGGAGTGGTCGGCGACGGTGAAAAGAGAAAAAAATCGACCGGCGCGTCCGGAAAACGCCTACCGAACGACGCGCCGAACGAACGGACGGGCCGCGCGCTACTACGACCGTAATAATACGACGGTGTGCCGCGCCACCGCCGGTCTATCACCAGTTTACCGCGTCGGCCGCGAAGTTTTTGCCGCCGCCGCCGCCGTCGTACACGCGCGCCGTACACTCGGTGTGCGCGCTGCACCGACCCGAAAACTTTGCGATAAATAGCCGCTAAACGACTTTTCTCGACGGTGGGATGGCGGGTCGTGGCAGAGACGTGGCTGGCGGTCGGACGAATAAATCGGCGGCGCCCCTCCGAGCATAATATACGTATATATGTATTAGTATAGCATACAGGGTGTCTCGCACGTTAGATCTGACACACGAATAATCAAAACTATCCAGCTACATTAACTATTGCGTTTTGTCCGGGTTTTTTTTTTTTTTTTGCGTCTATTGTATAATTACCGCGTAAAGTATGGCGCTACGATTCCTCTGTTTTACATACCTACATATATTTATTTTTCAAGTTAAAAACACATTTTTTTTTTTCTTCTTTCAAATCGATTTTATAATATCCAAGACGGCCGTTTGATATGAAATACATATTTTGAAACGAAATACGTATACCAATGAAAACACGCGTTAGATCTCTACGATTTTTCGAATTTCGCGACAATTCTTAATGAAATTAATTTTCATGGATGGATTGATATTATTTAATAGTGGCGTTGGCAATCATCGTAAACTTTGAAAAATCATAGACAATTAACGATTCGTCATTAGTAAATAATATTCGTAACATAAAACTTGTCCATCAAAATATTTTTTTTGTTTTAAAAAAAAAGTGATTATCTTGGATTTAAAAAAAAAACATTTTTTATTTATTTATTAAAAAAAAAACATTTTTTATTTATTTATTAAAAAAAAAAACATTTTTTTATTTATTTATTAAAAAAAAAAATAAAAAAATACTTGAAATTTAAGTATCACGGTGCAAGGCTTAACATTAGTGTTCGCCCATTCCAAAAAAGAAAAACTCAAAAATATTGAACAGACAAAATTTAAATTCTTTTTTCAGATCGTCATGGGACATCCTGTATACTTATAAAGAATATATATAGTGCGGTGTTCATTCTCTTCGATCCCACGCGTTCTAGCACATAGACGGCGACGCGGGACGTTCGAAAAACGCAACGCACGCGTTCTGTCATCGTTTTCTCGCAATAGATCAATCAAAACGTTAGGTCATCATATACTATTATACAATATTATAAACCTCCCCCGACGCTAACGGATACACCCGAAAATAATGTAAAAACCTATGCTATCTGAAGGGCGATTTTTATTTTTTTTTGAGCTACACGAATTTTGTAATATTATTTATTATTTACTTTGTATCTATTTATAAATGTCGTATCGATGTATTTTTCAGATTCCGAGCGTAACGATGGAGCAATTGGTTTCACAATGCTGTTTATTGTTTTTTTTTTCTTCTTTTTCTTTTTCTTCTTTTTCTTTTTCTTCTTTTTTTTTTCTAGTCTATGGACACAATTATTCCAAGTTAAACTTGCTCCGATTTCTATGCGTAGCGTCTTTTCTGAAAGCTGAAGTTGTCTAGACTGTTTATTATTTTTTTTCTTTGTTCTAGTCTAACTTGCTCCGATTTTTACGTGTAGCACCTTTTCTGAAAGCTCAAATTTTGGGTCATTTTGATTTTCGACGCCATTTTTTAAATAAAAGCACTTAAGTGAGGTAAGTAAGTGCACTTAAGGAAAAAACGCAGGAAAACGTACAATTTTACGATTTTATTATTTTATAAAAACACGGACGACGTTGTCTACCAGAAAAAATGATTTAATCGAAAAATCACAAGATACCTTGTTTGTGCTTTTTTGATTTACTTTCTTACGGTATCATCGCCAAAACTTTTGAGCCACTTTTAAGCTATTAAGGAATTTTAATTTTTGGGAGTTTTTTACTGTTAGGTTATAAATACGCGTAGAAACTTGAAACTTGGTAATAATACTTATATTTAACTTACCTAGGCGTGGTAAAATTTCTGAAATGATCTAAAGACTTTTTTTTCTTTAATAAGCGTTTTGCAATAACTTTTTTCGAAAATCGTAAAAAAATCACAACACTTCCAATTATGTATTATTGAACTGCGCTCGGAATCGTCTTTCGTCAAGCAAAGGTTTATCGTTGCTTACAGATATAAATGAAATAACCTTATGTATCCTACCTTCCCGGCTTCTCACCTACAACAGTGGCTGCTCCCATCTCCAGTATCAGCACTTTTTTTTTATATATATATATAATAATTATTAATAGAATAATTAAAAATAAAAACTATTGACATGAATTATTTCATTACATTTTGCCACAAAATATAACAAATGATTAAACAAATTTAAAAATTAATTATTTTATTTTATTTGAGTTCATTTTTCTCGGAAAACAATTTATCGGTTAGTAAAAATGGTTCCAAATTATTCGCTTCATAAATAAAAAAATACGGATTTTTCGTCCCGTGATACTTTATTTGAGAAATGTTATGTAGACACTAAATTTAGAATATTTTTTCTAAAAATTGATAATAAACGTTGATACATTGTTTTATTTTCATTGATTTCTGGTCTTTTGGTTTATATACATTATATAGTATATATAGTTTAGATTATATAGTATTATATACCTTACCATTTCACCGAACTCAAAACATTATTTTCTTAAAAATATGATTTAAATAATTTCTCGTTGTTTTTAGAACCATAAAGTAAATTCTATTCCTTACATGCTTATTAATGATTACAGATGAACTTTAAGTAGTATCTTTTCATAAATATTTTTTTTCAATGTACTAATACTCCTGTATCCGAACTAATTTCCATTTTAATCTCGAATTCCTTCTCAGTTAAAATTTTAATATTAATCGGCTTACCATTTTTTGTCTATTTTTTAAATTTTTAAGCATATTTATCACCTTCTTACCTTCTTCCCCTTAAATTCAATGATTCTTATTTTTATTACATACTTTAGCTAAATGTTTAATATTCTTACATAATTTACAGTGATATTTGTTATATTTAAACTTGCTGCACTTAATATACTACATGATTGGTCCACGCACAAAATATTTTTTTTTCGTTTTCCCGGTCTTTCACTCACTAGTTTCTGATTCCTTGTGTCTTTATTTGAATAATTTTTGTTTGTTGAATTTTTTGTTACCGCTTTGTTACAACTTGTCTGTAACCATTGGCTGTTTTACCAAATTGATGAACTGTATTACCACTGTATTGTGATTTCAAAATTGATTTCCTTTTCATCATCAATTTCACCAATATATTGAATCTAATTTCGAAATTACCTTATTACAAATTTATTCCTTAATACGGCATCAATATTTTTTTTAAAATTCCAAGATGAAGTAGCATGGTTTATTCGTACATACCACTCATTTATTGACTCTTATGGTATCTGCTACAGAATCTAAATTTCTTATTTTACTAAATACCGAAACTCTAGGCGAAAATTGACTATCGAGTATTATATACATTGTTTATCATACACATAATCAGCTAGTTTTGCTAGTTATACAAGTCTTTTAAAATTGTATAAGTGTACATAGTTACTCAAATAATTAACAACATAAACAGCAGTATTTCCTCTCGTCTGAAGACCGGAATCATGTTCACTAAAAAAAATTGTTCCATTTATTCTTGATAAAGAGTCCAGTGACTTCTTGCTTTGAACTCTGACAGCGTGCTCATAACACCGTATTCATTTACTGCTGACATTTCTTGTTCCCGTGGAATACTTTTCGGTTGCATTTTCTCTTTGTGAACCCTTTACTTCATTAACAACAGTAGTTATTTACAATTGCAGCAGGTATTGCAATACTGTCGTTTGTTGGATAGATATAGAATACACAAAAAAAAAAATTAAAAAAATAGTGCTAATACAATGTCATTCTACGTGTCGTATAATATGCTATTTAAGGTTAACTATAGTAAAATTATATGAATGTTATTATCAGCGTATCTTACAGTCCTTTTTATCAATAAGTCGCACTAATCGGATATTTGTATACAAAATTTAATATATAGACAAATATATTTAACGTATTTTTCATCTTAAACTTATAATGTGAATTTTCGTAGTATTAAGTGTTGATATAATTCTGACCTTATTGAATTCTACCAGCCAAAAATATAGGTCTTGAAATGTTCAAGATTATTCTCCCATATCCTATTTATTTATAAATATATAGGTTTCATTATTGTCTCATTTCTTGTCTTCTTTCATTTGTTTTTAGTGTTCAAATTAATATAAATTTGTAATATTTAGTAAACTAACGTCTTGTGGAAGTTAATTTTTAATAATTAAAATAATCTAATTAACGACTACATTTTGGTTTTTGAAAATAATATGACGATATATTCTTATTAATGTTATCATACTCTATTTAATTCTTTATTGTTCAAATCTCGCACAATTTTAATTTAATACATTCAATCGTAAGTACCTATAATACAAATCTTAATTTACATAATAGTTGCGGCAAGCGTAGGAGTTATTTGAACTTGCTATAATATAGATAGTTGCATTTTATACTATCGTATAATGATACTTCATAGGTTTATTTGTCACAAAACGCATCCGCGTCGTTATCGTTAATTGGTCATATTATTAGTGTGCTGGTCCGTTTTTTATATAATTGTATATCTGCTTTTCAGAGGTTACCTATACTGATTTGTGTACCTCGTATTTTCGCCAGAAGATTAGTATCCACCATTAAAACTTTTATGACCGTAACATTTTTCGACGTACAAGTTCTGCATTAATACGTACATATACCTACGTATGAACCAGGGATAAAAGTCAAAAGTTGATATGACCTGTTTATAGTGTTTATGGTAAATTATAGTCATTATGTTTGATTGGCGTGAAATTTTAAAAACACTAAAAATCAGAATTGATCGATTAACATAACATAATGATTGAAAAAAAAAACTAGAAATAATAATAATTATTACCTAATGAAAATTGTCCTAAAAATAATCGCTGATTCCTGAAAAATGTATTACTCTGTGGGTGAGGTTAAATATGCGTATAATATACCTATCTATAATATACCTACCTATATATATAATATAACCTATCTCATTTTAAGGTCCAAACGTTTAGCGTTTTTACGGGCGTTACGATTTGTGTTCACCATCGACGCTATCACACGCATTATATCATTTAATTGTTTCGATTTAATGCATACGCTTCGTCCGTCATTGGCATACAGCGATAAATACTATCGATTTTAAAATGGTGTATTATAGCAATAATGACGGTAGTCACGACATTTTTTGGCCGAACAAACGATATTTTACGGCTTATTCGTCTCATTGAACGCCTAGGTAGTTTGACGTTTTGAAAAACGGCCACGCGATTACCCGTTTAAAAACAGTACGCCCTATGTATTTTAGTCTTAAGTATATGTTTACGTTTTAATCGTCGTCGGTAGCAACAGATTTCACTCGATTTAGCGATTTTTTTTTTTTTAATGTAAAAAAAAAATTAACTTTTAGCTGGTGGTTCTCAGAACGTCCGTTCAAATCATTCGTTATCACTTTTCCCAAACCCATATCCAACATTTTATAAATAATCCAAGTTTTAAGCTAATTTATTAATATTAAAATATGATAAACATGATATGACCTAATTAATTTTTAAATATAAATTTCTATATTGGATGCACACTTGAATTTTGAATTTTGAACAGTATAAAGTTTTATTTTAATTTTTATTTAATTATCATGATAACGTTTTAAAAAAAAAAATGCGTCATCAATTTCTTTATATGTATTTCATTTTTTTTAAAAAAACATTTTTCCTTTTGTACTTACTGGACATAGCATCGACAAGAACGTATTACGCTCAAGTGTGTGCAATTGTCGCAGCAAGAGATTCAAATATTTTTGTTTTAAATTTCGTTGCATTATATATATAATAATACCATTATCCTTTGAATCGAACTATAATGAAAAAATTATTTCTATAAAAAAAAGCGGTTGATTTTAAGAGTATTATTTATTACGCAATTCCTAATTGTGTCAGATTTTCGAACATTTTCGATTTTTCCACAGGCACACAAAAAATGTAAACACCATTTATAGCAAAACTAATTTACTCCTCACTACACTTAGAATATAAAACGAATTTCAGAATAATAGAAACCGTTATTGTAAGCATTTTCTCGTTTTTTACCGATTGTTTAGAAAACTAGAAAGAAAATTTAAAAATGACCTCCCCACGAACAAACTAGATAACATTTTTTACCAGAAACCACCCCTAAAATTAATGATTGAAGCACAATTTCTGATCGAAGAATTGTTTATAGACAGACAAAAAAGTATCACAGTAAAAACAATACATTTTATTGTGTTTTATTATAAAATTAATCTTACTTCATTTGTGTTTTCTATGCAATTATTGTGTTAATTAACAATTAATGTGAATCTCGATATAAAGAATATTTAGTCCTTGCCCAGTATAATGTTTTTGATCGTATAAAAAAAAAAAAAATCGTAAAAAATTGTCATTTGGACGAAGATTTTGTCTCCCCCCCCCCTCTAAGCAAGTTATTATACGATTTTATTACATGGATAAATAAGCATTAGCATATAACAAATATGAATAAAAAACAAAAACAATTTTTGATACTTTCTTTTTTAGGTATCATCCCTGTAAATATCCTTTCACATTTTTTAGTTGCGAATTTTTTGGGAATAATTTTTTTTATTATTATTTATAATTTTATCTGATAGTAATATAATAGTCATATTAATTAAAACCAAAAAAATTAATATTTTTCAAAAAACCGAATAGAACGTTGCATTCAGTTGTTAATATAAAAATTAATTTTAAAAAAAAAGATGTTATTCGTTCAACCAATTCAAACGTTTTAATGACTTTTTTTGACTTGAATTTTGAGTTAAATTATTTTCGTATCGTTTATCATTATCAATATACTTGTAAAATAGAAAACACAAAGGCGCAAAGTTTAGTGTTCATAAACGTAAAATTGAGTTAATAATATGTTAAAGACGGCGTATTCCGTAGGCAATATCCTTGTATATAATCGCTGGGGAATAGTTTTGTTTTAAAAATATTTGTTTATAATATAATTACACTGTAATAATTTATATCAATTATCATATTGTGTTAATATGGGTACCTATAAGACTAATGATACTCAAACCCTCAGAAGTTTTATTTAGAAGTTTTTAAAATTGTAATAAATAATATTATACCTATAACAAATTTTAGCCTAAAAAAAAAACAAAATAAATGAAGTTTAGCTTACTACTCGTTTTTTATTTAATTTTTTTTTAAAACATTTAAGGCACTGAATTCAAAAATATTTGAATAAAGTATCACTTTTTTATATTCAGGAAATTATACTAAATTTTTGGAGAATACGTGGTTTTATTGCTTAATATGATGTTGTAGAATGTATTTGAAACTATTATTTTAGAAGTTATGATGATTTAGAAGATTTAAGATTTTTAAGACTATATGCCATTATTTATAATAGAAAATTAAGGGTGTGGGGTAACTTAACTTAACGTAACCTAAAAATACAGAAGGAAGCGATTCGTTTCAATTATAACCACCACTACAGAGTATGATATTAAATTAATTATAAATATAATATTATGAAAATTTAAAGTTAATACATATATTTAGGTATAATGATAGAATAGAATAAAAATGGTTAGTAAATAAACCGAAATAAATCAATATAAAAATAACCTATGTATTTCATATTCTAAATGGAACACTATATATTGTCGAGACATGTACAAACAAACAAAAATTAAAATCCCATACCATAATAGAGCTTTATTAAAAAAACCTTCAATAAACCGTTGTCTACCTATACTTACAGACTACTCTATACTTAAAATTTTATTTGTATACGTATTGTATAAAAGTTATTAGAGTGGAGATCCAATACGTTTAAAAATGAAATATTTTATTAATTTAAAACATTTAGTGTTTATTTTTATTATCAATTGTATCTCGATTGAACTATAGAACTGGCCGAGAAAACCTATTAGACATTTTGCAGATGTATTTTTCATTTTGTGATAGTATAATATAAAAACGTTTTTCAGAAACCGAAAATAGTTTTTCTAATACAATAATATTTTATCAATCATTTCAAAAAAATAATTTCGTACTTACTTTCGTTTCCGTAGCCAGTCTAAAACATTAGACAAGTACATCATTTAAGGATTTAGGTTTGGCCGGGCCTATTCATAAATTAAAAATCATAAAAAAAAAATGATGACAATATTTTAGCACATTTTTAAATACCTAACTGTAACACGCCACCATTGTTATGTTTCACGATGAAAACATTGAATTTATCAGGACTATAATAACATTAAATATACCTATATGTACAATTTTGATTTGGGTTTATTTGGATATTATTATGAATAGGAATAGCATTTTTTTTTTACTATTATTATTGGTCAAATGATAAATTTAAAAATGTACTTATGTGAACTGATCATTTTACAGCGTAGCAATAATCGTAATTGACTAAATCTATCTATCTAGTCACTAGATAGATATCCAAAGAGTAATAATTTCCTACCATCACAACCAAATCCTATGGGGTTTTGACAATAGTTTGATATTATAAATTCATTATAGGTTCTCGGTTCTTGATAAAATTCCTAGTCGTAGAGCGTCTTGTGTTCAGTAACTATTTAAATTATTATTGTAAAATCAAGTTTTGTGCATTGTTATTTTATAATATTATTTAAACTAAATACGGTTGAGTTTTTTTACTACTTACAACACTCTTATTTTGTATTAAATTTTTTATATTATTGCTATTGGCGGGAGAAAACCTACTAATTATTTTATAGCAATTGTATATTAAAACTATTTATTGGTTGTTAGTACTGAAATTGGTAATTTTTACACTCGAGTATGAAAATACTATACCTACTTTTTATACAGTATTCTCAATTAACTTCTTTTAGACGATAATATTTATAAAATATATAACGTACACAACAACCAAAAACGATGTCTCTCTCTCAGACCCCTAAGATCTTGAAAAATGAAATTGAAAAAATATCTATAAATAAATATTACTTATATAACAAAAAAATACGCGAATAATTTTATGCTCGGTAATAAATATCTGCCATCTTCCCCTCTAGTTCCGTCCCTGTAGCTAGTATAGACCATTTTATACAACGTTCCGCTTTAAACAACAATAGTAACATTACGGTAATAACATATATAAATATATTATGAAATTTATGATTTGATGAATTATTTATTGTTACGAAAACACAAGGGTCTATTACGCCTATTATTATAACTTATGCTTATTTTTTTTTTATCAATAATAATGAAACCATTAATAAATCATTAATCATATAGATATAGATTTTTTAATTTCAATTTATCATTTGTTAATTTCTTATGGTCAAATATCTATCGATAAAAAAAAACACATGTTGTTGATAGTTGCTATGCATAATACGCATATTGTATACCTCTAATGCAATATTGTATTTTATACAAACAACCTGATAGATTCAATATTTCATTGTGCAACACAACAATGGTAATATGTTGTAGCTATAATAGTTTCTTCTGGAAAATGATATACTTCAGGAATAGATGAAGTTAAGGTTACAAGGTATGTCGTGCAAATACGAATTATGTGTTAAATATTTTCATACTTTTTTTTTTCCAAAATTTCCATTGGGATGGGGGAGAGGACAGGCCAAACATGCGTCGTACAAGTGGTGAGTTATATATTGTGCATATTATATTATAAATATTATTATTATATCGTACCAATCCAATAATAATATGTTTATATTAGCTCAACATACAATTATTGTCGATTTGCATTTTATTAAGTATATTTTCTATGTATGCTTGAGTTTTATTATGTTGTACCGGAATTATGTTTTGTCAACAGTTTGCTTAATAATTGTATTATATTATTTTTATATAGAAAACTTAACGTCGAACCATTATTATACACACACAATATGGATTCATTCAAGCGGTATACTTATTATTATTTTTGTGAAATTCTTCTTTAAAATCGTCTGACAAAAATAATAGTTATAGCGTATTTACGATAAATAAGTTAACATTAGGTTGTCGTTCGATAATAGTTTGACATATTGAAGAAAAAATAATTACTATTGTTATTATTACAACAGTCTTGGTACTTACAACTTTTAGGATATTTTATACGGAAAGTTTGAAAGTCATTGCTATATAATTAACTCGAGCCCGAGGATTAGAGACTTAGTGTTATAGAAAGACCGGGACTCAGACCATAGTATTTTCATATGTACTTTTGATTGTTTATATTATATGTCAATTTGACTTCGGAGAAGTTATCATCATAAGAAGTTACATCTTTAAAATATAATGATGCCAAATTATAAATAATTATCGACATATATATATATACGAGTATATTATACTTACATTTGTAGCTTAAAATCTTAAAAATATTATTGGAAAATAATGAAAATGATGTCTAACAATATAGATTATACGATTACCGCAAATGAGTTTTCTGCCGCTTTCTACTTGTTTTATATTTATAATAATTATATACAATACCGAAATGTATTATTTCATATTAATGTAATACTACACGTTGCAAAGCCTGTATTCATCATATTACATTCTTTTTTTCTAAGTAGTAAAACTATTTAAATCCATTGCGTATCGGTAACTCACTGGTAGATTAATTGTTTGGATTTTAGATTCTGAGCGTAGCGAGCCCGAGCGAGAGAGTTATTGGTTTTACAATGCTGTTTATATTTTTTTTCTTCTTTGTTCTTTGTTCTAGCCTGTGAACACGGTTTTTCCTAGTAAACTTGCTCCGATGTAGAAGTGTAGCACGTTTTCTGAAAGTCATTTTTATCTACTTGATAAATACATAGGTTATTTTTTGATTTTCGAAACGATATTTAAAATAAAAACGATTTACCGGGAAAAAAATTAGATTTTTTCACGATTTCGTTATTTTAAATAAGTACCTACCACGTTTTCTACCACAACTATGGCTCCAATTAAAAAACGACAAGAGACCTTTTTTGTTGAATTATTAATCTTGTTTTTACTGATGCAGTTCGTTTTTTTGATTTCCGTATTATTTTTCATAATAATCGGGAAAAAACGTAAAAAGGTTAGGTTGAAAAAATTACAGTACTTCAAATTATGTATTACCGAATTGCACTCGGACTCGTCTTTCGTCAAGTAATGGTTTATCGTTGATTACAGATATAAATGAAATAACTTTATGTATCCTACCTTCCCAACTTCTCACCTACAATAGTGGCCGCTTTTATTTGGTAGATACTCTGTAGATAAATTGTAAAACCCAACAGAAATGCTTAAAAATTTGATGGGAGGTTCATTATAAATCATACTTAGTGGTAAAAAAAAATGTAAATTATATAGTTTTTTTTTTTTTATAAGAAATTTAAAATCAAATTTTTACGAAAATTGTAAATATTACAGCTTTTCACAATATGTGTAACTAAACTTTGATCCGAATCGTTTTTCTTTATCAATGGTTTAACATTAGTTATAGATATAATTTAAGTAACCTTATATATCCCACCTTCTCCACTACCCACCTACAACAGTAGTCACATCCGTCTCCATTATCAACTTTTTTTTTTCACAGACGACTGGAGAACCGAACTTACATATTTGTAAACATGCAACGATTTTAATTCAGTTGAGCTGGCACTGTGTACTCAAAAACCCCCAGTCATAACATCATTTCTTTTTCACATGGAGAATACCAGCTGAAAAATACAAGGTTAGTAATAATAATAATTAATATATTCAGTTTTAATTTATTGAAATTTCTAAAAATGTTAGAACACTATGTGTCTTCGGATCACATAAATATATGTGACCTATATTTATTATGTACCTATACAATCTACATGAATATTAATATAGTTTCTAAGTAAATTTAACTTAAGTATTTTGAATTTAAATAATGCAGTTGGTATAAAATATTCTCTTTATATATTATTATTATTGATTCAAAAGAAATGTCGAATAAAAGATTTTTTCGACAATACTTTAAAACTAATAATGTAATATTATATATGTATATATATATATAGATGAGCCTATATGTACGGTTTGGTAAAATATGTACATTTACGTGAATCTCCTATACTCACGTATTATGATTGAAAAAAAGTGAAAAAGTTTTATACTGCAGAGCGTTGAAAAAAAAATACTATACATAGCTATAAAGTATAAAGCTAATATTTATGTATTTTAAATTATACTTTAAAAATCAATTATCATAAGTGGAATAGTAATCTTAGTATATTGGGAATTTGCCTTTTTTTTAACTACATTTGGGTTACTTCATTTAATTTATATTTATATTATTTACTTAAAATTTACTTTAGCCTAAATACAGGAAAAGATAGGAAAAGTGACAACGTGGGTGAATCTCTGAATTTAAATTTATATTTTCGCGTTACGTGCTATTCTGTTAATCATTTTTATAAAATTGTTCAAACGCTTGTCTGAAAAAATATCGACATATTTCAAAAAAAAAAAAGTAATTCTTTAATAACAGAGAACAATTTTCTTTACATACATCTTTTAATTTGGACCATAAATGATTTATGTTTTATGTCATATATCATAAACTATTTTAAAAACAACAATATCGCTATTTATAAAACTGATATTGATTTTTTGCCTAATTCAAAATCATTAAAATATCTTTTGAAAAATAAATTTTAAAATGAAAATTATGAACATTTATAAACTTAATTAAATATTATCCAATTTTAGTCTTACTATTATTATAATAGTATTTATAAAAATATAATTATAATAATGACGTATTCAATTGAATGCAAACTAAATGTGGTGTAAAAATGCTTTTTATAGTGCAGTTCGTCTTTTCCGTACATTTTTGTTTACAGAATAATAATGTTGAATGTATCAGGAATAACCATTTAGCCACATTATAAAGGGAAATAAGTAGGTCATGTCGCTGTTGTGTAAGAGCAATTTACCCGAACGAGTTACTTATTCTGAATAGGTCATGCGTATAAACTTTGATACCATTATAGTCGCATTTTTATACTTAAAATCGCAAAAAAAAAAATATATATAAATATATGTAGATGTCATTAAATATCTCAACGGGTTATTTTAATTTTTCGATATTATATCAACTTTATTTTACTATCGATTAATATTTTGTCCGGTATGAGCATGCGAGTTTATTATAATTAATATAAATGCATTTTTTATTTTATTCGATTTCTAAGAGTAATAAATGTACACGAAATTATTAAATCTTAATTTCACAAGGTTAAGTAAAAAAGTTTTATGTTTGGAATTTTTAAAACATTGGTTTGTATTTGTATTTATAACTATTCAAAAATGAAATAATATTTATTTATAATTATGTGTTGAGCTATAAAAAGCACATATAGAGTTGTAGATATAATGATGGTTTTTATCAAATTAATCACTTTGTATAATAATTCTAAATACGTTTATTAGCTATAAAAAAAATGACAGTTTGATAAATTTATTTTATTGAAATCTATTTGAATGTTTGTATGTTCTGTAGTGTCCCAAAATGGTGCCCTTCAGTTATAATTCGTTTCGGATCCATTACGTATATAGACAGCAAATTTATAAAATATAAACGCGGTGGTGTATTTTTGATTTCAGTATTAGATTATGAGTGTGAAATTTTAACGAGAGATAATATTTTACTACAGCGGTGGTTTTTAATATAAAATTTTTGTTTCATAGAACACTTTTCTGGAATGAAGTATTTTCGTTTATAGTCCAACGATTACTAGCTAGGAAACAGAAACATATTATATTGAGTTTGGTATAGGTACTTTAACGGGGTTAATTTGTATTTTAAGTAATTTAAAAATTGCACTCGGTGACTATGAACCATGAAATAAACAACATACATATTTTTAAGAGAGTGTTAGTAATAATTTTATATTAAGTTGGTAAGCCAAAATCAATAGATAAGCACGGAATATAAAGAAAACGTAAACATTTTGTGTTATTCTTAAATACATATTTTTAATATTGTAATTTCTGGGTTGTTATAAAAATAAAAATAAATCAATAATTTTTAAATTGTTAATACACACCCATATATATTTCCTTCGGTATTTATTTCTTTTTTTATTGCTCAATACATATTGCATACATGATACATTATATTATACACCATAATTCATTTTTAAACTTGAAATATTTAATATGGTTTTTTTTTTCAATTATTTTGTTTTTGTAAAATTATCTTATATATCTTTTATTTCTCGGAGATATTTTTTTGATAACAACTTAAAATTTTAATCAAAATCAAAAATGAAGTACTATTTTAAATATCGCCGCTCCTGATGAATCTTTAATGCTCAATATGCATATTTTATTATATATTTGCTCGGTGTTTTTGGGCTAAATTTACATAACGACATTAAGAATGCAAAGAAAATCAGTTTTTAGAGGCATATAACTGTAAGTTTTTATATGTGTGAATAATATATAATACATTTCACTATATACTTGTGTTATTTGAATCAATTATATTTGCAAAGAAAAATCGTTAGGATCTGTCTGAGTAAACAAAACCTAGTAGGATCTATCACTGTAAACTTTAAAAATTATGCGATATATTTCTACAACCGGTGTCATAGTGCACAAGTGTGGTCGGTATAAGTGACTTTTTTTTGCCGAAAATGAGTTAAGTTTCTATACAATTAACCATTTTATTTTTCATATAATGCACAAATGTTGCATGTGTGTGTTTAATATTTTATCCATTAGATGGAATTGTTTTTGGAAATATGTACGATGTACTGATTTATATGGAAGTATAAACTTTCAACACTACTTGTGTGCATTTTAATGCCATCGATATGCTGTACTGTGTATACAGATTAATCTGTGTGTTAAGTATAAGTACACAAAATTATTTTAAATAATTCACATGTATACCTACTTGTAGTTTTAGAAGAACAACATTTAATAATTATTATTTGATCCTATGCATTATTACAATATTATGTTTAATATTTATTTTATTTCACTTGTTACAATAATATAATATAATAATTATTAATAACTCATAACATAGGTATTGTAATTTTATTAAATTATGATTTAAACTAATTGAAACCCTTGGAGGATGGACAATTATAATTTTTTGTTTTTAAATTTACAGCATTAAAATAATCTTCTTAAAATATAAACAAAAAAATCCGATTTGTTTACTGAGGCTGTAATACGTTTAAAAATATTACGATTATTTTCTACCTCTCATTCTACCAACACAATATAAATATGCGGCTGTTATTTTTTAATTTTCGTTAGCTTGCTATACCACTGTACTATATTTTAATAATAATAATTATAATTATAGTAGGTATCTCGTACCTATATCGATATTTTATCAAACAAAAACTGTTTTATATTACGAAACCTTTCATAATTGTTTTAAAATTTAAAAAAAAAAAACAAATAATATTACAAACAACTAATATTTTTAAGTGCAGTATAATTTTGTTTAAATCGTGATAATTTCGTAATACAATTACCTACCGTCTATTTTTGTTAGAATATATAATTTCATAAAATTATTATATGTATATTGGATATAACTACCTCGCGGTTACAATTGTTTTTGAAAAAAACGGTCAATTTCAATTGGAGTTTAACAAAAAATTATTGTCTGTAAAAGATTAAATTTGAGTTTCCAGAAAAGAAAAAAGAACATGGAATATGCTTTTGTAGACTTGGCAATATAACTTAAGATAGTATCACAGACGGAGTATTGATTAAGTATTATATTGTATATAGGTAACCTACATCTACGCTTTCGTTGTGATTTATACATTTGTATATGGGTTTATTTTAAAATGTTTAACAATGGCTTATAAACAAAATAAACTTGAAGCAGATAATATTTATTATTTTCTACTTAATGGTATTTTTAAAACTGATTCAAAAATATATTTTATTTTAATTGTTTAATAATAATACAAAGAATATTTTATATATTTAGTAGGTAATATTTTATAATATACTTTGTACTACACTGTAAACAGATGAACAGAATTTTTATAATAGACCAAAATAAATATTTAGTTTAAATATTGCTTTAATTAATATAGTTTATACTTATACATAGTATTTCATATTTATATGATATGACGCCCAATTTAAATAATTCTAAATAAATATGACTATACATTTTAAAATTGTATAAAATGCTTTTATTTTATACTTATATTAAAATATACTTACTGAAATTTGCAACAATAAATTTTGGGGAAAATGATTCTATTCATTTTAAATTATGATTTTATAAAAAAAAAATGCCTTTGTAATTCTTTTTTTTTTAGACGACTAACGTACAGATTTTTGTAGCTAGATGAAACTTTTTAAGTATGAAAAAAAATCTGTGAAACTAATATCTACAGCTCCACTAGCTCTGCTTAGAAATTCTATTGATAAAATGGTACGATATCGAAAGTATTCAATTTTAAAGTTAGGAATTAAAAGTGTGATTCAATTGTTTGATTAATTTATTTATGTTGGCACACATTTTTACCTATATTGAACACTCTCGATGATTAATAGATAAAAAATACACTAGTATTATTATTCCATTAATTTTATAAAATTAGTTTATTTTAGTTTAACTTTAATTATTTTATAATATTATTAATTAATATTTATCTACCTTAGTACTTAAAATAATATAAACTGAAATTGAAATGCTGTTAGATAATATTTAATTCATATGATGAATTATTGTAATTAACTATTGAAATCTAGATAAAATAACATTGTAAATATTTTATTAGTGAATATATATTAATTTTATTATTCGAATATAATATAAATTTATTATATTTATGACAATTGCGTCTAACTTATAATAATACTGCAACAGGGGTGGTCACACGAGGTGGGGTAGGGGGAGGACTGAGAATAATATATCCACCATTATCTTAAAAATTATCTTCATCCCTCTTCTCATTACAAACTCATTTGACTGCCACGACTGAACTGCAACCATTATATAATACAAGATTTAAGGATCGACCTAACATTCCTCCCCCATCCCTCAAGTCATTCAATTCCTTAGATTTTTCATAACAAACATAAAAAAAAAAATGGCCTAGAATAATGGAGACGGGTGCAGTCTAAAGTTATAGGTAATTTAATATATACCAGCAACGATAAACAACGATAAACCATTGCTTACGAAAAAACGATTCTGAGCGGAGTTCAGTTGATAATAATGCTTTGTCAAAAATGCATATGCCATATTATAGTAAAATAATAAATTAGGTTCTATATATGTATATATATATATCCTTGTATAATATTTGCTTAATGTACCGATTTTCCCAGTTTTCCTACGTTTTTCCAGGTTTTCCCATGTTTTTTCCCAGTTTTTCACATTTGCTGAGAAAACTCCGGAGAAAATCGAAAAACGACCTGTCTAAAGTACCTCTCTAATCAAATTTTATTTTAGAAAAATTGATATCATTAAAAGTTGGAGTAAAATTTTTGATAGAAAAGTTGTCAACAGAAATAAAAATTGTGATATTATACAAATATATTTCGTACATTTTCCCATTTTTTTTTTTCGGTTATTTGCATTTGATAAGAAATTCTTGAGAAAATCGAAAAATTACATCTTTGTAAAACCATAACTTTCTTCGTTCCACTCATAATCTAAAACAACCAGCCATAAATGTAATTGATTATATTTAATAAATTCTACCATCACAGAAAAGTCATCTACTTTGTGCTACTACTGACCTGCTGTTCTTAATTATTATATATATATTGCATATATTATGTATATTATTTATTATTTTTATCTACGATAAATGTCGTTAGTAGGTAAAGAAAATCTTAACTAGTCAAAAATTATTTATCAATTACATCTAAATATCAGTATTGCATAACATCACTAAAATAATAATTCGACAATTAAACCTGATATTTGGTACTAAAAAAAAAAACCGATGAAGGGAGAGGAGATCTATTTGTATCATTTATATTTTTACTCTGTTAGAACGCCCATGATAATTATTATGAATTCGACCTTATAAATATGAAAATCGTTTTTACTATATTGTAGCTAGTACAGTACAGCATAGGCGGTTTTAGAATAACGTATACAAATATTAAATTTAAATGTAGACTAAAATATTATATACGAGTTCTCAAAACAAAAAAAAAAAAACCCCCGTATACGAATTCAAACTTAAATAATATAATCGGGATTTCATAAATAATTTATATATCAACCATTTTTTCTTTTTCTTTTAGACATGGTAATATATCAACTACCGAATAAATAATAATAACAGAAAGATTTATTTAGATAAATTGTAATAATAAAACACAAATAAAAATGTCAAGTATACAATATTATTTTGTTCGTGAAATAAATTGTATAAATTATCCGAAAATTTAAAAAAAACAAATTAGCCCAAATTGTCATATCGCCCAGGTTTCCTGTAAACTATGCACTCGTATCAACTATAGTCTGTACACTGCAGGGATTTTGTTTTTTTTGTTTCCAACGATGAACAGTTTTTTACTGTTGAAATTTGAAACGTCACAACTTCTTTATTTTTCTACCTCGTCCTTTCAAAACCGGTCTCTCTTTTAAACTCTTTATTAAAATACAATTATCACAATTAAGAGACGTGAAATTTGTATACGGTCATTGCTTAAAAATATTCACTTTGTACTTCTAACGATGCAGATTTTTAACTTGGTCAAACTTAATTTAAAAAAAAAAAATCAATATATTGAATTCATTTTTGATAATTTATGGGTTACCTTGGCTACAAGGAAAAAAACGACAAATACTTTTTCATTCAGAATTTTTTTTATATATTCGGAGCGTAGTGAGAGAGCATTGATTTTACTATGATGTTTATTTATTTGTATTATTTTTTTTTTGTGTCTATAATCTTGCTCCAATATATCAAGTGTACCATTTTACACGAAAGCAAATTTTATTTAGTTGGTGCATTGAGGAAGTTATTTTTTGATTTTCCAAGGAGTTTTCGAAGTAATTGGGAAAAATTGATCAGAAAAAAATTTCGTGTCTCGTGTAGATTTTTAATAATTGAGAAAAACCGAAAAAAAATTTAGAAAGAACCGGAAAATAAATTTTTTGCTATTTTTAATAAGGTTTTTTTTTTTAATTGTATTTCAGTTAAAATATTTTTTAAATTTTAAATTTGTACAGAAAATGTATGTTTCCGTTTTTGAACGTAATAAAACATTTTAATTATTTAAGCCATTTTAAATAAACATTTAAATTTTGAAAATTGTTTACGTAATTTTTATTTGGTAGGTAGTTGGTGGATAAAATTGTTAGACTAAATAGAAATGCTTGAAAATTCAACAGGAAGTTCATTATAATTTATACTTAGTGGTAAAAATAATATAAAAAGTGTTATCTAGTATTTTTTTTTTATATAAGAATTTTAATATCAAATTTTAACGAAAATCGTAAATATTACAGTCTTTCAAAACATGTATATCCAAACTTTGCTCCTAATCGTTTTTCGTTAGCAATCGTTTTCTTACAGATATAAATTAACTTACTTTGTGTGTCCTACCTTCCCGACTTCACATCTACTATAACGATACCACAGTATCCACAGTATGGCTCCAGTATCAGCTTATTTTTTTTATTGAAATGATTTTTCGTGGCTTTCAGTTTATAAATTAAAATGTATGCCATTCATACTTGCTATACCTTTTACAGTGGCCTATCATAATATGAAGCACGTCTCGATATTTTTTTTCTAATTGCTGAAATTTACGTTGGTCACCAATCGGTAGTGAGTAGATACATATGCATAAATTGTTATTTTCAATTATTAAATTTTAAATGAAAAACACAAATTGGGTGAAAAAAAAAAAGAAAATTTATTTATGAAATTGTTGGGACTACTGTAGATTTCGATTATATTTTAGTATAATATACCACGTTTGGTATTATGTTATCTATTTTTGGACTGGGATGACTCGCATGACAGTGGAATCATATAAAAAATTACAGGATTATATTATTATTGTCTCCATACCATACGGAATATTATTATGCTCTGAACGAAAATTAATTTATAAAAAAAAAAAAAAAGACAATACGTTATTATAATAAATAATAATTATTGTGTTTGCTTCAACCCCCGCGACGGCGTAATTAATAAAATATTATGTTATTCGTATTATTTGCGCAGCGTTATGAATAAACAAAATTGTATAATATACAGTTGAAAACACATCTATATAATATTTATGTCAATATAAACGTAACGCGTAATAATAGTGCTAGGTATATGTGTACACATTAATTTTAAATTAATACCAACATATAATATAACGCTCTATACATATATATATATATATACATGTACGAATTGTTGTAATTCAAACGTAAAAAAATTAAATATTGTTACAGTTTTGTACATCTATATGTTATACGTGTACCACCGCGGATGCGTAAAATCATTAATAATACCACAAATACAAATTACCTCTGGGCTTAGCGAGGAGGTAGGTAACCTACACCACGCCGCCGCATGATAATAATACAATAATTATATCAAAAATGACTCATTCGATATTGCAGTTGTACCAACCGAACTATCCCGCAACAGTTAATATGCATGGAAAAATAATATAGTATTATGTTGTAGGTACCTGTAACATTATTACGGTGTTTTGTGCCGCGTTAAATATTCATGGAAATCCATATTATTTTCCGTCAAACAATATATGATACAAATGTGAATTTAAATTGTAATTTCACACTATAGTCTATATGCATAGAATGGAATAGTTACCGCGGTTTAACTGGTATACATTTTGTTAACGTTCCTTTTCAATTCTCTAACACAATTTATCATTATAATGCACCTATATTATTATATAATGTTTTAGCGCGACACTATTGAGTTTGAATAATTTAGTTGATAGCTACTTATAAGTGTAATCACGAAAAATATACTCAAATTGTACCTGCTAAGAAAATGCGTAAGAAATAGTTTCTTATCGGGGATGGATCAAGAGGAATAATAACGAGATCTAGAGGCCTTATTCCCCTAATACACATACCCAAATTAAATTCGTCGTGATTTATTATATAAGCATATTGATATAAGAGATTATTTCTGTATTTATTGAGATTTAATGAAATGTTGAATAAATTAGTTTTGTTTTTTTTTTTGATGATTTTCTTAAAACTGTTGATATGTTTGCATGATTCACTAGTTCATTATACATTATACCATTATACTAGTTATTCGCTACAAGTTATGTATATATATATATATATATATATATATGCATTATAAGTATGCATACAATATATATTGTATGTCATCCTAACGAAGACCAAATGAACTTTAACAGTGTTTCTTATCCCCGTCGTGTATTTGCGTGTGTGCACTAATTTACATTTATATACATATATATATATTATGTATATTTACTTAGAATTTATTCATAATTGACTATGAGCATCTAATATACTTGTGTAAAAACTGTAATTATATTAGTAAGATACCTATAAGTTTATTTCATTACAACGAATTTATCAGTATTACAATTATTTTACAGGAATATTATTATTATGCAACCCTAACCTAACCGTGGGTAATACTAGACCCTCTTGGCAAGAGAGCGCCAGGAAATATTTTAACTATATATATATTAATCCTAATCTGTATTCTAGTAATATCTAATATTAAAAAATTAACATGAATTTTGTGTACATACTTTATTCTCTTATAACTCCATTATACAACTCCATGTCAACATAATATGCTAATTTCTGTTCTATGTACATAGTCAAAAGGTTATCTAAACGTTCTTGCGACATGGCACTTCTAAGTATGGTCTTCGCTATATGCTCAATTTCGAAAATGATCTCCTGCAATAGGAAAATCATATTTTCTTTGAGATAAAGTACAATCATTGTAAATTGGAGCGAAATTTCTGGTAGAAAACTTGCCCACAAAAAAAAAAATCGTAATATTTTACTAATATATTTCGTAGATTTTCCCGTTTTTTTTTCCTTTTTTTTCGGTTTTTCACATTTGATGAGAAAACTTCTGAAAAAATCAAAAAATGACCTTCTTAAAGTATCTTCCCGCGCCAATTTTATTTCAGAAAAAAGTGCTACACATAAAAATCGGAGCATCCCTGGTAGAAAATTTGTCCACAAAATAAAAAATAAAAAAATAAATAAACATCTTTATAAAACCATAAGCTTCTTTATTCCACTCTGAATCTAAAATATCATCACTATTGGTATCTAGTTTCAATTAATATTAATACAGGTACGGTCGGCAGGAGGGATAGTTACATACCCTTCCCCCCCCCCCTCGTAGTATCGTCTATGAACCTAATTAATCTAACCTATGCAAAAGAAACGCAGAATAATGAATTAATGAGCGGCATTTAGTACAATCTAACAATGATGGTATAACTAGTATAGTTACGAAATTAAAAAAACTTAAATCATTAGGTGGGTGCATTATACAAGTTATTTATGTATACATACATTGTATAAAAAATAATAATACACTTCGTATTGACAAAATCGGTTTGGTATAAAATGTAATTTACTAGCACTCGTGAGTATTAATGTCTAGTTTAAATCAACTGGAAATCATTCGTTTATTATTTTTAATCATCAAATACCTATGTCGTATATGCGTAGGACGTAATAGGTCGTGAATTATACGGCCCGATGGAGCTATAAAAACGTGAAAAAAGTGACAGTTAATTGGAATTTGAAAAAAAAAAACCTACTATATTAAATTTCTCGTCTGAACCGAGCACGTTTTCCTAATACAAAAGTTAATTGTCACGAGAAACAATTAATTTCTTTCACCTAAATATATAAATGATTATATTTGTGTATAAATACCCGGCTTTATCGTTTTTTTAAATAAATTAGTATTATAATGAAAACATTTGAAAAAAATTACATTATATAATTATTATTAATTTTGTATACAGGGTATTTTTTTTTCTTATGATTTGACAAGTGCAATAACTTTTTATAAGTATACAATATCTTTAAGGTTATTTAAATCAAGGCTTCAAACCGGTTAAAATCGGTTATGGTCTTTACCGATTATATTGGACAATTTACACAAGTGATTCCCAACGTGGGCGGTACCACCCCCTGTGGACTTTTTAATTTTGAAGGGGGCTTTTTACTTAAAGAGGCCCTAAGGAGGGCGATTATACTGTGATTTTCGTTATACAAATAATTCGCTGTTATTAAAAACAATTATATTATTATTAAAACATTATAATAGTAAATTCATTACTTATTGCGATGAAACGTATATCTGCATACAATAAAAAAAATTTAATAATATAATATATTATACACATTATAATAACAACGAAATGGTAATAAAAATACTTTTATCTTATCGTATCGATGTCGATAAACTTCGTTTAGTCCCTTTTTACACGGATATTTTCGATAATTGTACCTATACTTGCATTTATTACATAAAGTTATAATTTAGTGTGGGTGTATGTTAGTTATACGTAGACGTAATTATAATAAAATGTCCGTGAACAAAATGTAAAGAAAATATTTATTTTTTACTTTAATTATATGGCCGATTATAAAAACTAAACGGTAATTTGTTTTTAATTTATTGGGGGAGACGGTGTGAGTTTTTGAAAGTCTAAAAGGGGCGTTGAGTAAAAAAAAGGTTGGGAAACACTGATTTACATGAAAGAAAACGAAACCAGAATTAGTTATTTTATTGAACGTAAAACAAAAGGTTTAACCAGAATTATTTTTCGTTTCTGAACGAAAATAAATATTTATTAAATTTGAATTTAAATTATGATAATTATTTATTATATGTTGGTCACTCATTTTCTAATATGAAAATTATTGTGATATTTCACCACGATAATAAGGTTACAATTGTCTCCTTTAATGCTGATTAAGTCCGCAAGAGATTGTTGGTTAATGCATTTTATACTTTAATGATTGAACAGCCAAGTATTGTCGTCGGCGTGATTATCAAATATTTGTTAAACATTTTTTCAATACCTCCATTATTTCTCTTTTCTTTTATTTTACAGTTTGTACCTAAATAATAATTGATACTATTACATTTATGTTGTTTTTAGTGTTATTTATTATTTCATATTAATTTTAAATGTTTGAATTAGGTAGTTATCTCGAACAGTGTCAATTCCGCGATTATTTTTACCTTGTTGTTAGTTGTTTAATATGTTTAAATTTAAACTTTAAAATTATAAAATAAAGTAAACTAATAGTTGGTTTACATTTTTTTTTTCATATAGTAGTAGATAAATATTATACACTATTATACTTAATACTTATATAGTTATATGTTATGGCATGTTACTATAGTATTGTTTTAAAAAAAAATTATTTTAAAAATAACAAAATTAACCGGTTTTTTAACCAAAACAAATAGAAGAAAAACTCAACCCATTAATCACAAAAATAATTTCGGTTTGAAACGTTCAGAAAAGGTGTTACATTTGGTACATCGCTGTAAGATTTGGTACAACATTTGTTGTTTGCACAAGAAATAGAAGGGTATTTTTCGATTCAAATAGTCCGAGCTAGTGACGGCTTGGGTTTCTAGGAGTACCCTATATGCATTTATTTTTCCCTGTTTAGGTAGCAGTGAAGAATAAAATGCAAACAATGTTTTTCAAAACTCGGGTTTGAATTTGTGATCTCTAGGATGACAACAGGTACGGATCACCATTAGATTGCGAATAAAATTTGATAAAATTGAGTTATTTAACATAACATATAATATCCGTATATCAGAACTTTAAAAAGCTATAATTTCGAAACGTCAGTCTGCTCAATCCTGACTTCACCATCGTTCTTAAATCAGCAATATAAATAATATGTTCAAAACAAAAAAATTTAAGAACTAGATTTGTTTCACATAATATTTTACTCAAACTATTTTTATCAAAATTTGATATTAAAATTCTCTTTTTAAAAAATAGGACATTTTACCAAAAATTAGGACTTTAAATGAACTTCTTGTTTAATTTTTAAACATTTATTTTTAATCTAACCATTTTACCACAGCGTTCCTACCGAATAAAAATTACGTTCAAAATTCGCAAGATTAAAATGTCTATATATAGCTCAGAAATGATGTCACACGTAAATATCGGAGAAAGATTTTGGTAAACATTTTTATCACAGTAAAAAATAATAATAACAATATAAATATATATAAACAAAATTTGTAAAACGAATATATTCCTCGCTACACTCAGAATCTAAAATAGTTATTTTAGTCATGTACTATGATGTGTGCTTTTTTTTTTTTAATTTTTTTTTCTGACTGTAAACACTTCTTCGTAAAGAAATCTTGCGCGAATGGATTGAGTATAGTACTTATTCTGAAAGTAAATTTTGTCGAATTGGTGAATTAAAGAGTTCATTTTTTGATTATTCAAAGGATTTTCGAAATAATTGAGAGAAACTCGAAAGAAAATTATAGGTAAAACGGCAAAGATTTACGGCGCACCACGATGTTACCGATTTCATGGTTTTTAATTTTATTTTTACCATCTATTTTTTCTACCAGAAATATTTCTCCTATCAAAAAATGATAATAAATCTATTTTGTTACTTTTAACATATAGCTACTGACAAAGAGGTTATTTTTTGATAACCAAAGTACTTAACGTCATAACTGGGCAAAACCGAAAAATTGAAATTGATTAATATTTACAACGGTCCCGGTTTAATTATTTTAATTTTTGCAAAAACGACGTTTTCTAGCAAAAATCTTACTCCAATCAAAAACCGACGATATACCTTTTTTGTTGTATTTTAAATTTAGTTCGTTTACAAGTATTTAGTTTTTTGAATTTTAACATTCAATTTTGAAAAACACGTATAACCAACCTCCGCTCAGAATTACTTTTTGTTTACAATGATTAATCGTTGCGTACAGTTGTATATTAAATTTCTCTCCCCATCCTAACTTCCTAACTTCTCACCAGTGGTCAACAACAACAGTGGTCTATCCATCGTTGGAAGTACGTATATCTATCTATTTTACTTTTAAATTATAGATTTTAGAAATTTTAAATTGTTATTAATATTATCATTTTTTTTTTTTCTTTTATATTAGAAATATTTATAGGTATAACCATTCTATTATAATGTAAAAAGAGCTGATAATAGGGATGGCCACTATTGTAGGTGAGAAGTCGATTCGGTAGGATACATAAGGTTATTTCATTTATATCTCTAATCAACGATAAACCATTGCTTGACGAAAGATGAGTCCGAGCGCGGTTCGGTTATACATAATTTGAAGTGCCGTATTTTTTTTTTAAGATTTTCGTTTGAAATTGATTTAAAAACGCTTATAAAAAAAATTTTACCACGTCTAGGTAAGTCCAATATAAGTGTTATTGCCAAATTTTAAGTCTCTGCATAAATTTATATTCGAATTACAGCAAAAAACTCCCAAAAATTAAAATTATTTAAAAGCTCAAAAGTAGCTCAAAAATTTTGGTGATGATACCGTAAGAAATGAAATCAAAAAAATCAAAAAAAAGGGCTTGTGATTTTTCGATTAGATCATTTTTTTTTCTGGTAGAAAACGTCGTTCGTGTTTTTATAAAATAACGAAATCATGAAATTGTATGTTTTCCAACGTTTTTCCCCACTTAAGTGCTTTTATTTAAAACAAAAAATGACCTTTTTTTAATGTACATTATAGACGACTTGATATTTCAGAAAAGTTGCTACACGTAAAAATTGGAGCAAGTTTACCAGGAAAAAACTTGTCCACTGACTAGAACAAAGAACAAAGAAAAAAAAAATAAACGTCTTAGTAAAACCAATAGTTCCCTCGCTACGCTCGGAATCTAAAGTACAACAAATTAATTCAAGTTTATAAAGCGTGTTTATCACGAACTATTTGTACAGTATTATTGTTTTATACTTTTAAATTAATCCACTTTACTCATAGTCATAGGTACGAATACTGAATTTTGTGTAATGTTTTTAAAATATAATTAAAAAGTTGAGCTTTTATATATTTCAAGGTAAATTATATTCATCAACATGTTGTTGCAAAAATGTTATAATTTTTAACTTTATAGACATTAAAGCGTACCTAACTATCGTATTTATTTAAGTGGTCAAATATAGTTAAATATATTTCATGTATCATTAGAATCATAATTTCCAAAATTACACTTAGATATAATATTTCATATTTTTTTTTTTAAATTAAAAATGAAAATTTGAGTTTGTAAAAAATTTTTTTTTTTAAAACCAAGCCGTTTTATACATTTATTTTTAAACAAAATGATGTCAAAAATATTTACTAATGATGCGTTCATTTTCGTTCATGTTCCAATAATTTAGGTAAGGTTTTTCATTAAAAAATTGATAAATCGCTTGATATAATTTAGTAGTGACAATAAAAACAATCTTAACCATCGTATACTTCAAAAAATTATAGGCAAGTAACGACTCGTCATTATAATATTTAAAACGCTAGAGATGTTATACTACAATAAATATATCTTGGAAAAATGTTTTAAATATTAAAATTCGTATGAAAAAAAAACGTCTTAGAAAAATGGAGACAGGTGTAGTCACTGTTATAGGTATTTTAATGTATATTTGTAAGCAACGATAAACCATTGCTAACGAAAAAGATTCTGAGCCCAATTCAGTTGATAATGATGCTTTGCCAACAATATTTATATATCATATTATAGTAAAATAATTAAATAGGCATTATTTTTTTATTTTTTTAATAATCTTTGTTTATATTTTACCGATTTTCTTGTTTTTCATGATTTTTCCTATTTCCTATTTAATTACGACCCTAGTAATTATTACAAAAGAGATAAACTTGAAATTATTCAACAAAAGAAAACGTTGTTGCATATGTCAGACCTCTGTGAGTCACTCTGTATAGTTTATAAGTATAATAAGTATATACACGCGAAATACTATAATTCGAATGGTCCGAATTTATATTCAGAATAAGTAACTTACATAAATCCAATAATATACGTAAGATTGATTCATATGCACACGTCGTCGTTTTGGTAGTAGGTTTATTTTTAATTTTACCTACCTCCACCTAGTGCACGAGTTGGGCGAGGATGAGGATGGACGCTAGTTTTCGTTTAAAAACCATCATTCCTTAACAAATGCATATAAAGAATGGAGGGATGGTCCATTCCTCCACAAAATACACACAAAATAAATTTAATTAAATTCACAATAGCAAAACTATATGTATATACGTTTGTGTAGTTTGAATAGCTAGGTACCGAAAAGTTGACTGCAAACAACTGCATTTTATGAATCTTTGAATAAATTGATATTAATTTTATTTCAACTATTTTAGTACATTTATATGTTTTAAACATTTCCATGATAAAACCATAAAAGCATATTTTCTACCTACCTGTACTTTTTCTTATCACTTCATTATATTAAATTGTATAATTGAAAATGTGAAATACAAACAGATACGCTTGCTACGAACGCGTTCCTAGCGTTCCTTTATTAATTTTATTAAATTAGGAAGCACGCTAAAAATCGATGAGACAATGAACGGGTGGATTCTGTACGTCCCAGTCTCCTAATTCCAACATTTAAAAATATATAACACAATACATAGGTATTATGCTAACGTCTAACATGCTATCGTTGGTATTTTATATTTTGCACAAAACGTTAAAATAATTATTTTTACAATGATTTGGATTGGGTTTTTTTTTAGGTTAACTCTTATTGGAACAGTAGGCAAATATTTTGTGTTGATATACAGACTATCCTACAGTGTTATTCGTATGTTTATAATTCTGTCAATACTCATTTTTTTTTCAATTAGGTTTTGTGGAAGAGGGAGATATATGTAGAGAAAAATTAAATTTGTATTTTCATCCTTCAATTATGGAAAAAAAAAAAATTTTTATTACTTTTCAAAATTTTCAAAACAGCAAAATGTAAAATGTATTATTCTAAAAATTTTAATTTATCATGCATTGAAAACAACTAATTTTCAATAGAATAACAAGTTACGCGATAAGGAATGACAATAAGCAGAAGAATTCCTTATCGTCTAATGAATATTATTTATTTTCACGTCTATATTCTATACATTAAAGTCATTATAACTAAACAACTATTAATTGGATATAAATATATGATATATTAAAATGTTTAGAACAATATATTTTACAAATGATTGTTTTGAAAATTTTGAAAAGTTGTCAAATAAAAAGTTATTTTTTTCAGTGATCAAGGGATGAAAATAAAAATTTAATTTTTCTCTACGTGTGCGTCCCCCTTACACAAAACCTCTTTTTTTTAAAAAAAAATGAATATTGTGTTTATAGCATGAGGATAACACTGTAGGACACCCTGTATAGTAATAATAATATGATAATATAACAATTTTCAATTGCGTATAGTACTCCGTAAATATGGGAAACTAAACCACAATGTTTATAAAACATTGTACATTGATCTGGGGTTTTTTTTTTTTAATTCAATACACAAGAAATTTTACAGTAGGTACTTTCAAAAATTGTAAATAAAATCATTATTCATTAATAACGCCGCTCAAATTTCAATTTTTCAATTATTATTTGTTTTGTTTTTTCTTATTACCCAATTGAAACCATAATTCACCACACCCGGTCCCTGATATTGTTCACTTCTTAACTTTATAAGCCATATAATACAACATTAAAATAAGAGTTTTGTATTCGAAATATTATGTATCTTTTTTTAGTCATTTATAACTACTGCTTTGAAAGTATGTTCAAGTTATGTTAAGCTTTCTTATTATTGTTATTTATGTTCATAACTTTTTTTTGGTCACGTTTCAATGCTCGAAAAATTGACTTAATTATTTTTTAATAGAAAAAAAAAATGCAATATTATTATTAGCACAAGTAGAATAGGTTGAAAGATTTAAATCTAATTTTAGATTGAGAGTGTGATAAAAATGTATTTTTTTTTTTTTTTGGAAAATATTTTTTGGATTAGTAGAAATTTGTTCACGCTATACTGATTTGTTTTTCTAGGTAATGCTTCATTGGTAATATGTTTTAAAATTTCAAATAAGTTTTCCCGAAAAAAATTTATGTATTTTTGGTCCGATGGTATTATGTTTAAAACAGTTGCTAATTTCCCTACAGGTTTTATAATTTAATTGAAAAATTGACAGCAAAATATAATCAGTGTATGAAATGTAGATAAATGAAATTTATTTTGTTGATTTTTTTGGTTACCTCATTGGCTACAACGTGAAACAAAAACAGGGAATAACAATAATCTGCTCATTATCGATTTTTGATTCCAATAATTTATCGATGATTTCTGTATACAAATTAAATTACCTGCGCTATGTCTTTCAAACTTCCCGCGCGCTACAGTGTCAGTGGATGGTCTGCCCGTAGTGAGGAGTACGTCCGGCTTTTAAATGATATATCCGTGTTTAAAACGCATGTTATTATAATTTATTTTACAGTTATATGCATATTATATACGTATATGTCTGTATGTGTGTGTAAATCCACATATATATACATATATGTTTATGCCTGTATACCTATACACTTACACTTACATACTTTACGCGCATTATAATATTCTAGATGAGAAAATATTATAATGTTTACATATTATAGCGCTGCAGCAATATGAAAGTGTACGTTTTAGTGTACATGCGATTCTGGCACGGTGATTTCAAAATATTATGTAACTAAGCCTTTTGCTGCAGCACGGTGTAGTTTATTCAATTTAATTAATAAGTCATTTACCTTCCTACCTACATAACATAACGCGCGCGCGCGTCCATACACACACACACTATTCGATTAATTTTAATTTTATTTGTGTATAGAGATTACAAAATACAAATATGTAAAGGCTGCGGGAATAAATGAATATATAAAATGTTTTATAATATACTAAACGGAAATAAAAGCACGTTGCGTCGTGCGTGTAGTTGTATTGATTAAAAACTTTGTGCAGAGTAAAAGAACTCGGGTAATTCATGTAGATTGTTATGTTTTTTTTTTTTCGTATACATATATTTGTTTTTTTTTTTTTAATAATAATACCAAAGGAAAAAATAAATAAAAATAAATGTTTTCTACATACCGTTCGACGTTAATATTTTATAGCAATAAAACAAAAATATTATAATACCTACGCTACACTGCCACATTAAATTCGTACATTGTATGTATAGGTACGAAAATCCGACAGAAATATCGTTGCCGAAAAACAATATTCTAAAAAGTTTTGTATAGTTGAGTCAATTACATAATAATATGTAAAAAATAAATTCATATATCTACTTATGTATACCTAGGTAGCAATAAAAATTTCTATTCAACGTTTTTAGATTAAAAAAAAAAATCTTCTGCGAGGTACGTAAGTGGCCTCTAGTCTGGAGACTGTAGGACCATCCCATGTAAACCATGCCTATTTGTTGCTCATATTTTACAATCCAATCTTCCTCCTAGTTTTTATAAATCTTTCTTACCTTCCCATCTTGTTCACTCCCGTCTACACGGGAGTCTCTGTTCAATTTGTATCTATTCAAACACTGTTCGAAGTAATGATTTTTTCAGCGATGTTTAGTTTGGTTACATAATGGTACATGATCACATGATACACACACGCGACATATTTACTCTACCTCGACATTTTTTGGTTTGAAAATAAAACATTTCGCAAAGTTTCCCGTGTTTCCCATTTATTATGAAAACCTCTGGGAAAATCAAAAAAGGTGCTGCGCTTGAAAATGAGAGTATAATTTTTGGTAAAAAAAGTTGTTTACAAAATAAAATAAAAAAATAAACATCATTATAAAACCAATACATTCTACGCTCAGCTCAGAATCTAAAATGCGAGTTTGTTAGTTTCCTGACCACCTTTGACACGAGCGATCCTGTTAACTGTCACCTCACAGGTCAAACAATTTTTAACAACTTTTAGTAACTAACAAACCAAACAAGTCGTCTTTAACCTTATTTATATAAATACCCCTAACACTGCTACAGAAAAATGTGTAAGGCATTTAGATATAATGAACCGAAACCTCTTCTTCGGATATATTATATCGAATAATTGGTGGTCGCTCGATCACGTTTTCTTTGCGTTCGACCATGGTACTTTGGAGACAAAACTCATTAGTTTTGTTTATTTATTATTATTTAGAGGCCTCGTCATGACTATTATTTAAGGGAATATAATCTAGTTTATTTCTTATCTATATTTTCAAGTTTAGAATAAAATAAGAGTACATTTGTTCAACGTTTTCCGTACGATCTATAGCACTCGTACAGATAATTCGAAATCTTTATTCTAGAATTAAAATCGGACAACGCAAATCAACTTAAATTTCGTCAAATCTTTAGGGCTTTTGAGGTAAAGCTGACGGCAATATTGAGGCCCGTTATGTAATGTTCCGAAGACACCCGACGAGTAAATTAACTAAATTAATCTCTTCGCCATTGGCATCAATACACTTTTATTACAGCCAAGTGCGTTACATTTTCACCGCGTGTTGTTTCACTGTGTAACAGCTAGAATCAATTTAGTTAGTTAATAGTTTCAATAACGCCGTCTTATTTCCTCGACCAAAAATACACGAACAAACCGTTGTGGTTCAGAAATCTTTTGACAAGATCGATTATTATGTATTATAACATTTTGAAGTTTAAACACCGCAGTAACCATTTAACCGTAAACACGTATTCCCTTTCTGTGCTCGGTTATCGTGTCTGTATAGCGCGTTATGGATACATGAAATAACATGAATAATTAGTATACTAGTATGTCGGTGGTATACCTATATCGTTCCCCTTGCACATCGGCCTCTTCAATATAATATTGTAGTCGGGTCGGTGATGTTTCATTACGACGCAAAATCCATTTTTCCACTTTGATACTCTCGACCGACGGGTTTCGTGAAATTCTGCACATTTAATATCCTTTTAAATTGCATATCGGTTTTGCAATAACTATGCCTACGATACAGATGTCCATATTATTGTGTAACATACTATTATGTGCTTGCTTCATTTGAATTTCTAATGTTGCGTGTTAGCACGATTTAGATCGGAATACTTGGTCCGATCAATAACTTCGTAGCGTAATGCAATTTCCACTGAATACTTAAATATGTAAGCATATTTTCCAGACGTGGTACGGAAATGGTTCCATAATATTTGTGGGCTCTTTTTGAATTATTTTTATATATTAATGAAATGATAATGTGTTTACGTATAAATTCTCGGCCATTTGGTACAAGGAGATTACCATACGTTGTTTTTGCTAAAGGTGTTAACGTCACATCAACTGTAACTATTAATATGATAATGTGTTGTTTATACTACATGCATCGTCCCTAAGTGGTGGCGATAGTTCATAGTAATAAATCGAATCAATGTTATTCAAAATAATTATTGTCAAACTAATAGGTGTACCGATAATATTAAACACGGCTACAAGCTGTGCATATAGAGGGCGCCATACGCGAATTCGAAACGGAAACGTATGGTTTTCGTTAGTCTCAGCACGCGAGCGTAAAACCGTTCGAAGTAATAATCCCGTTGTCGTTGTTTCAGATGTCTTAACAACGATGCCAATGGCGGCAATATGAGACCCTTACCGCCGGGTCAGGATGGAGTCGACTACTGTAAAATCCGCAGAGAGCGAAACCACCACCACCACCACCACCACAACGGCGGCAGCGGTGGGGGCACACTCCGCCGGTCGTCGGCATCGTCGGCGGGTTTACTGGAACCGCCGTCATCCGCCGAACGGTACCATCACGGCACCATCGAGGGCCATTACCGGGTCCACGACCTGGCGCTCGACCGGTACGTCCCACCGCCGTCGCCCGAACGGTACTCATCGTCCGGCTCGTCAGCCACGGGCCGCCCGTACCACCAACAGCACCATCAACACCACCACCACCAACACCACCATCAGCAACAGCACCACCATCAGCAACAACAACAGCAACACCACCTACTGCAGCCGCCGGACGACCGTTACGTCGCGACGGGAGGCGGTGGCACTGGCGGCGGCTCATCGTCCGGCCGCAACCACTATCTGCCGGTGTCTCAGACCACGACTTCTGAAAACTTTATGTCACCGCCGTCGCCGGTGGCCGAACGGTTCGACTATGCCGCCCGTCACCACGACAGTTACGGCACCGCTACCGCCGCCGCCGCCAAACGAAACGAATCCGTTTATTCGAGGTAAGTGCACGTGCGCGCGCGGCGCAAAATCGATATAATACTCGCGCACAGTGTGCGTGGGCGTTATATTCTGTGGCGTCCGCTGTGGTCGCGGCAGTGTGGGCGAAACGTTTCTAATTTCTGCGAGAGTTTAAAATCGCTCCGTATTTGTTTGTCGTCTGCAACGTACGTTGGACAGAATAGCGCACGGTAAAAAACCGATACCGCCGAGACGGTTTACATTTGACCGACAAAGTCTAGGAATAATATTATGTCAAATAAATTTACGAATTTTCTTCTTCTTCCCCTTTGTTTTTTTTCCCCGACTGTTTTTAGGGATCGGCGACCATTCAGTGACAGGCGTGACAGGGTGTTTCGTGAGGCGACGACCCCGTGACCGATTGAACGTTGGTACCCCCCTCCCTCCTCCCGGCTAAAAATATGAACTATTGTCAACTGATACTTGACACTTAATGCCGCGTTGTTTAAATAAAGATTTCTGGTTGTTAATATAAAGTATTTATAAATGTGTATTATTTATATTGAGTTAATGTGCTTTACGTGTATTTCGCTTGTATTCACTTTAACTTTCGTGTATTGAATATTTAGTGTGGAGGTAACCAGCAAATATTTCAGTAAACAATATTTTTTTTTTTTATGAAGAAGATAAAATAAAATCGATTATTTATCAATTGTAAAAATTAATTTTTTTTTAAACGAATCTCACAAAGTAAATGTCGCATGTTTTGCTGCGCGGCTCGGTATTTTGATCATTAGCCCAGTGTTCTCCCTTGTATTGACGGATAGCCAAATAAAAAAAAAAAAAAGGCATAATGTATTATTAAAATATATGAAGTGCCCAGTTTCAATAATTGTTAATATTCATAAAATATAAAATCCCCGTGACTTTAATAAGCCCCCACTTTTCGCCCGTCCTGCAAACGATACGCCGCCATCGACGAGCCGCCTAATATCCGATCCATACGAGCTACGACTTGTGAGTGGCGGGTTTGTTCCTAATGATGAAGCACGCAATTTTTCAGTTGAGACCCTTCTATAAAAATTGTCACCTTTAAAAGCTTACGAGTCTTCGAAATCACCGAGCTATTCTCCCATCACCACTGTTACCCCTTACAAATTCATTTCTTGTTCTGTTTTCATCTGTTTATCGCGAAAAACTCCCGTCTTACTCCCCGGTCTTATTCCGTCCACTTTATTCTCCAATACACCGAATTCTACTAGCCACGTCCTCTGCGAATCCTCCGTTCAGTTTCTCTAGCTGGCTGGACCTTAATATTTTGTATGTTTGGAAAATGTTTACCTTTATTTTTCGCCGCGAAGTCGGCGACGTTGCAACGTTTTAACATACACAAATAAGTCATATTGTTATCTGCTGGCCATTCTACAGCGATTTTGTATGTTCATTAGTAGCTTGTATATAATATACACTGAGCTTTGTCGCAAATTAAGAAATTCATACGCCATTAATAATTCCGTATATGTTAACGTTGCTCTAACTTTTGTTTTCTAATTAGTTATTCTACAATTATTTTCAATGTACCGTCACATTGGTTGTTTTCGACTATATCTACCGCTATGGCGAGACCTTAAAATATTAGAACCCAAGAGATTAGGACTATATCTACGCGCATTAACCTACTGTTTTAAATTTACCATTGTTTCGCTCTACTCGACTATTATAATTTGTTCAAATCTCATTGTTCTATATTTTGATTATAAAATAATATTGTTGAATAATAATATTATTGTTGATTGTTTTCCATTTACCACTCATCTCTCCCTTCTCTCCCTTCCTTTTTGTTTTTTTTTTTTTTTTTTGAACGTAAAATATATTTGGGACGGTTTTAGGGTATTGCAATTTGCAGGGTTTTTCGAAATCAAAAATGCCACATGAAATTATTATCATCGTTCGATTTAAATAATATAACCGCGACTAATAACTATACAGGAGTGTTGACTGTGCGGATATTGAACTGGTGCCAAAATTTCATACCTTTACGATTATTTTCATTAAATACCGGTATATAGGAAATAAATATCCTCAAATCTAGCATAATAGCACATTATTATAGCGAATAATAAAACGTACTTCGAGTGCTTACGATATCGAAATTTACATAATATTATACGAGCAGACCCGTTCAGGAATATTGTGTGGCCCGGGGCGGAATCATGTAAGTGGCCCCTTTTTTATACACCTACTCAATCATTTTTTGCTTCAATCGCCTTACGGCGCTGGACTCCTTTAATCTTCGGGGGGCCCGGGTCAATTTTTACCCAAACACCCCCTATGAATGAATCTGATTATAGGTACAACACCGCGGTAACCGCTTTTTCCAAGCGCTTTCTCGCTGTACCGTTAATGGCATAAGGCATAACCAAAGCCGAATTAACGGTCCACAGTAGGACCCTAGAGGCCGAACTTAAAGAACTAAAAAATGGCCTCTTTCTTTTTTTTTTTTAATTTTTGTACTGTAATTATTTTTAACGAATATCCTAAATGTATATACGTACATAAATGCAGATGACATGCAAGTGAGTCCATTGGGACCCATCTTACATCCTGTGAGCTCAGCGGACATATACTCGGTTCCCTTTAATCCGGGCTTAGGGGATAATGGTACAACTTTAGTGGCGTCCTCAGCGTTTGAATATAAAAAGGGATATATGAGGGAGGGAGAGGGATCTAAATATAATGAGTTATAGGTACAAAACCATTAAATATATTTGCAGGTATAAACATTGGTACAGTTCATAGTATCTACTCCTTCAAACAGTAACTGTATTTGTTATTACACAAAATAATATGTCATAATAAAATTTAAATACGACTGACATACTTTGCACATGGGTGCAGCCACTGTTGTAAGTGGGAAGATGGGAAGATAGGATACAGACGGAAATTTATTGTACATCTGTAAGCAACAATAAGGAAGAACGATTTTGAGCAGAGTTCAGTTGATAGTGATGCTTTGTCAACAATCTAAATATATCATAATATGGTAAAATGATTACAATATTGTGCGTTTCCATGACAACAATGATTATTTAAAAAAGTCTAAAATAATAAAAACTTAATAATAACAAAAAATAAATAAAAATAGTTGCTAATGACAACATTATTTTTAATCTTTCAATCTTTTTTTAACCGGAGTAATCTTGCTTACTCCGATTATCTATGTAAAAAAATAAACATCATTAAACCCAATACATCCCTCGCTCCGCTCACAATCTAAAAAAAAAAAAAAAAATAATAATAATAAAATAATAAGTGAATAAGTAATAGTTTCGTATTTGAATATTGTTTTTCCAAATAATAATAATAATAATAATAAAAAACAATAATTACAGGAAACTTAGAAAGCATAAATTAATTATTAAAAAAAAAAAAATGCCAAGGGGAGATATGACACCCTCCTCCTCCCCGTAAACACGCTCGCGTACGACATTATGAATTACATATGTATATATAGTATACAGGCAGGTAAAACATCAGTTAAACCGACGCACGTTCAGTTATGAAACGAAAATATTAGTTTGATTGCCATAAAAGTCAATCGGTTGATATTTCATTCTTTCTCTCTCTCTCTCTCTCTCTCTCTCTCTCTATCTCTCTCTCTCTCATATTGATTTACAAAAGACCCACCGATACTCTTTAATAATAGACCCAGGAATATAACTTAACGTTATATTGTATACATTGTACAGGCACTACCGTAAGGCTAGTTATTAATCGAGTATCGTAACATCCGTAACCTACATTACAATATAAGTTACGCATTAAACTTGTCCGTACGTTGACAAAAGGTTTGAAAAAAAAAAAAAAAAAAAATTCACAATACCGTATAAAATAAGCTAAAGTAGCTGCAGAATATAAAGTTCGTTGTACATTATAATATTTTTATCCGATAAAAAAAAAAAAAAAAGTAATAATAATTTTTCTTTGGTATATTATAGGTACTTACCTATATATTTTTTCGAGTCGGCTAAATTCCTTTAAAGCTTTTATGAAAATAAACACGCGCCCGTACCCCATGCACGCAAATTATATGTACTGGGCGGTATATCTTATGCGCGAAACCGACGTTTATTTTCGAGTATAACCAATTTTCTTTTAAACTTTTTTAAATATATAAAATTATTTAGACTCTACCTGCAGTACACTACTATAATTTTATGCGCGGCCATTTCCGTGCACTGCTCGCGCGGGCATTCGTGTTTCCACGAATATAAAAATAGTTCAGGTACACCTATACGTACATCTATGCATAAAGGGAGTCGCCCGCGGATGTTTATCAGTTTAAACAACACCCTGTAGAGAAAAATATTTACTAGGTGTGTTCTAAATTTTCTTTTAACAAGGCCACGAAAACAAAACAAAATAAATCATGTTGTTACGTTTGGTGACGGATTTTCGACATTTTCTGGAAATAGGAACAATATTATGTAGTATTTTTCTATGAATATAATATGATGTGTTTTTTCTAGAAAAATTTTTTTCGGCCACTAAATTAATTTAATTTAATATAGTACATACATGATATACAGGGTGTTCCATGAAAATTCGACAAATGCAATAACTTTTGTGCTGTTCAATATATTTCAAAATAGAATTTTGGATTTAACATATATTTACTAATGACGAACCGTTAAGTTTCTGCAGTTTTTCGAAATTTACAAAAATAATGTCAATCGAATCGCCAATTTGTCCATGAAAAATAATTTTGTTAATGGCTTTTGCAAAATTTCAAAAAAATGCAGAAACTTAACGGTTCGTCATTAATAAATATTTGTTAAATTCGAAATTATGTGTTAAAATACTTATATATTTATGCAGTTTCATTTTTATATTTAATATACAAGCCTATATGTGTAACTCAGGCTTAAGTAACTATTACAAAATAATAATAATAATAACAAATATTGAACAGAACAAAATGCCATAACATTTGTCGAATCTTCATGAAACACCTTGTATAATAAATATTATGATTCACTACAATTATTTTGGACAAATAATATATTAATATAGTATTTATTATCAATAGTTTACCCTTGAATAATTTGTGTTTAACAATGTCACACCAAAAACACTTCATAATAACTCCGTGTACAAAAAGCTAAGTTTAAAAAAAAAATCATGTAGTGGCATAACATTTAGTAATGATTTAACCTTTAAATGACGTGATATAATATGGAAACTTAGTAAAATGCCATTTTGTAATATCACAAATATCTATAACGACAAATAAGATAAATTGTAAAGTTAAACATTTAGTTAACATATTGCTTACTTTGCAAGACCTTTAAGTAAATTTAACCATTACCCACTTTAAACATTTCTTAGTTTGAACTGTTAGGTTTATATTTAGAGTTCGATTTATTTAGGTTTCGAGTTCAAAATTCATCTACAGGTTTAACAAAGTCAAATAACATCGTGAATTTTTTTTACACATTTGTGGTTTATAAACTTTTATCGATTGTTTATAAATTATTAATTTATTTACGAAATTTATTATGGTGGTTATTTATTTGTCTTTACTTACACGTTTTGCCAAGTAAACAATATGTTGACTAAGTGTTCTCAGCGGTTCTCAAACTGTACTCTGCGGAACCTCAGGACTCCACGTGAGTATTCTAGGGACCCCGTTGACTCCGTGGGCACATCTGTATTAATTAAATTCAAATTTTCATTACATTTCTTAGTTTCGCGAATTAACGAACTAACAAAAAAATGTAGTAATAGTCATTGCATTCTTCATCGTCAAGCACTCGATAGGTATTAAGAAGATGTCAATATCTCTTAAAAATTTCCCTTGATGAGGCAGTGAGTGAAGATTGTAAATTTCGTAAAATCTCGACCATTGAAAACTAGACTGTTCACAATTTTATGTGAAGATATGGGAAGTATTCATAAATCACTACTTTAACATACCGAAGTAAAATGGCTTTCTCGAAGAAAAACACTTGTACGCTTACTTGAATTGAGCAATGAATTGTACGTTTTTTCACCGAACACCCATTTAATTTAAAAATAAATTTAGACTTATTTATTTCGACTTAGTTACTTGGCTGATATTTTCACAAAATTCAATTAAGTCACTTTATCAATACAAGATAAAAAAAAACACAGTTTTCACGGCAATTGACAAAATCCGAGCTTTAAAAAAAATAATTAAATTTTTGGCTGTGTGTTTTTCTCAACATAAAATTGATAGTTTTTCTTTGTTATAAAAATATTTAGAATCGATTGATGGTCATATTGAAGAAATTGATGAAATATATGATGAAATTGAACAACATTTAAATGAAATACTATCGTGATTATAGAAAAAGATTTTCCTGAGAGTAAAAATATAGAATTTATCCAACGATATAATTGGGTTAAAAATTAATTTTTAGTTAACGATAAGCCCGAAGACTTATCTATAACGGAATATGAAGAATTTATTTAAATAACCACCGATTCATCGTTAAACACTCTTTTGATAAAGTGTTTAGTGCAGTATCGGTATTTCTCATTAAACACTACAACAGTACCTACACAACTATTATTGAACTACCCAGTCATTCAATATTGTCCTAGCATCCTTTTATTCCTAATGGACTGAATGCTTGAAAACAATATTAATAAACACAATGCTATAGCGTTTGTAGTGATTTCTCACTACCAAGCGCTTTATTTATTTAACACGACGTATCCACGAGTCTGCAGCAGGACCGGTGGTGTAGCTCGGGGATAAAATTGGTGGTGTGTATTTAATCGCATAGAAAATATTATAAACAAGTCGGTAGTCTCAGAGATAAGGATAATTTCACCCGATGAACAAATTTAGTAAACACAAAGCAATAATAAAATACCTAAATCCAATAATAATGTTATTATTATTAAATTTGGTCGTTCCTTCTGCATAATAAATTTTAACATTTTCTTTATTAGAAAAGATAGTCGATACTGGGATTGGTGCAGCCACTGTTGTAGGTGAGAAGTTGGAAAGGTAGGATACATAAGGTTATTTAATTTATATCTGTAAGCAACGGTAAACCATTGGTGACAAAGAACGATTCGGAGCATATATTCTGTTATACACATTTTGAAGCGCCAACATTATTTTCCGCCATTTCCCGCTTCTTATGAAAAAACTACTTAAAAAATCAAAAATCAACTTGCGCCATAAGAAACAAAAACCAAAATACAACAAAAAAGGTTTCCTTAATTTCTTGTCATTTTTCCATTAGAACACTATTTCTGGTAGCAAACGTCGTCCATATTATTTAAATTAATGAAATCGTAAAACGTAAAAACCCGTATGTTTTTTCCCGGTCAAACGCTATTATTAAGAAAACAACGTCGAAAATCAAAAAAAAAATGTCCTCTTTGAAGTAGTAACACTAACTAGACAACTAGACTTTTCAAAAAAGTTGTTATACGTAGAGAATGGAGTAAATTTACTAGGAGAAAACGTGTACACGGACCAAAAAGAAAAAGAAAAAATAAAAAGTAAACATCATTGTAAAACCAATAAAGCTACACTCAGAATCTATAAGTGTCTTATTTAAACATCGGTCATGCAATGAGCTCTAATCGAATGTGCTAATTTGCTATCATCGTTATTATTATTATTATTATTATTATTATTATGACTAATTGACTACACTTTTTAGATTCAGAGCATAGCGGGGAATATATTGGTTTTACAATGATGTTTATTTTTTTTCTTTCTTTTGGTTTGTTTACACGTTTGTTTCCAGTAAACTCGCTCAAAATCATAAACCTTTTTCTGAAAGGTATAGTTGTCTAGTTCGTACTTTATAGAGATTATGTTTTGATTTTCAACGATGTTTTCGAAATAATAGCGCTGAAGTGTGAAAAAACGTAGAAAAATCGTATAATTTCCCGATTTTATTATTTTAAATAAACACAGACGTTTTCTACCAGAAAGTGCTTTATTCGAAAAATGACTCGAGACTTTTCTTGTTGCATATTTAATCTTGTTTTTTATAGTAAAGTTCGTTTTTAAATTATCGAAGCATTTTTTATAATAATTAGAAAAAACGTACAATAATTTCACACAGTATATTTGTTCAATTTTGCTTTAAAAATACAATACTATTAACCGAGCTCCGCTCAGAATCGTCTCTCGTCAGCAATGGTTTATCATTTCTTACAATTATAAATTAAATAAACTTATGTATCCTACCTTCACAACTGTCCATCTACAATAATGTCTACACCCATCCATGTATCGGACCGTCATTTTTTCTTACAATTATTCAAAATCACCAACTTAATGAAAATAAAAAGGGGTGTAGCACTACTGGACACCTATAATAACATCCCAAAGTTTCATTCAATTCGGAATTTTTCCAAGGTACCTCTCCCCCCCCCTCACTCTTTGACTGGACTAACAGACAATATTATAAAATTCATGAAACGAGTAATATAAAATAATACAATAAAGACGAAAAGAAATGTTTACCATACAGCAACATATTGTATAATTATTACGCTTGTCTTCGTCGTCAATACGATTAAAAACATCATATCACGGTCACAAGCAAGTAGCCGTTAGCCGGATTTCCCCGACCGCCGTCGACCTTTATGATTACAATATTGGGATTTACGAATTTATTGAATTTTATGCTGTAATAATAATCATATCGCCATCTATCGGGAGTTTTATTTTACGCAATCGTAAAACGGGTCAGTGAGCAATCCATAGTGTTTATAATCAATGGTAATACTAGCGAATATCAATCTCTGGCTAAAAAAACTTCCTTTTGCAACAACATATCTGTGTGAAATCGGATTTTCATCATTTGCATCAGCGAAAACAAAATAATGCAATAAATTAAACGCTGCGCATCCAACTTTCGTCTATCAAGCCAAATATTAAAATATTGGGCAATGGAAATAGCCAACATCACGGATCACATTAAAATCATTAAATATTAAAATTTATAAATAACTAAAATAATATGTTCTTTTTTTTCCTATTAAATTTTTTTTTTTCTAAATTTCTTAAGGATATTTTTTTTATTTAAACGATAAAAGAATCTTTATAAATATAAATCAATAGAAGTATTTACACATACAATGCAATATATATATATACACAAAACTTGTGTGGGGTTTTACTTCCAGTGAAGCAGCCCCATTCTTAATCTAATAATTAGACTAAGTCAAATGGCTTCAATCGTTTGAGTCGTCTGATGTCCTGCGAGTTGTCGAGGAGTTGTATGGCAGCCGTATTTGTGTGAAGCTCCAGTTTTCTTGAATGTTTGCAAACCGGGTAATTTCATCCTGCACGGATAACATTTTCAAATCGCGGTGGATGATGTCGTTCTTATCATACTAATATGCTGTGACAATGGTACGAAGAGCGATGCTCTGGCATCGTTGTATTACTGTCACAACCCCACAGTTGAATACCATAAATCCAAATCGGTTTAACAATCGATACATACAAGAGACGTTCGCTGGTTATGTCTAGCTCGGAGTATCGTCCAACTAGCTAGTACAGTTTTTGCATTTTTTGTTTGATTTGCAACTTTTTCTGGCGTACAAGAATGTGAGAATCGTGAGTCAAGGTGAATTCCCAGATATTACGCTAAATTATTTTGCGAAATTATCTGCTGATTTAGAGTGACTGGAATGTCTGTGGTTTTACGTAAGATATAGTTAACGTGCACCGGACTTATCTCCATTAATTTTTATTTTCCTATTAAATTTATTTATTTATTTTATACACATTCGTATTTTAAAGAAAAGAAAAATTAAAAAGCAAATCATTTAGGATTTACGTAATTTTGTAGGAATTATTGTTGTCTCAAATAGACATTCCTGATTTTTGGGGTTCCGTAAATTTGTTTAGGAACATAAGGGCTCCGCGAACAAAAAAATCTAAGAACCTCTGGATAAATGTAATGTCACTACGTGATTTTTTTTTTTTTTTTCTATACTTAGCTCGCGCCACTTACGTTCCGCTGGATATGCATTTGTTTTCAACCAACGACACGAAAGAATTAATGTAAATAAATATATAAATAAAAAATGTATGTATAAAAATAAAATTAATTAATGCATGCGTCGCCTGGAGTATTACGATGAGCGTATTATATGGTCGGTCTCGAATTAAAAATTCATCATCAGGTACATCACAGTCAAAATGCAAAACGTAAATGTCATAACATTAATAATGTTTTGCATTTTGACTGTGATACACCTGATGATGAATTTTTAATCCGAAACCGGTTGTATAATAACTCCAGGCGACGCATTCATTAATTAATTAATCTTATTTTTATGCACAAATACAAAATTGATATATTTATTTACTATGTTTACTTAATTTTTATTTATTTACGAGTATTGAACATTCTAATAATTTTGTTTTTACTTTATTGTTTGACAGAAAAAAAAAAAAAAAAACTTCGCGCGAATTGCAATAATGTTGTTATTGATATCTACGGAACGATAACTAGGTATTTATTTTACAGATACCATTTACCAGCCGAGAGGTTTGTTCCTATCGTTTCACCCGACGACGGCTACGACGGCCATTACGATCGGTGCGACGACGTGTACAGCTCCCGGAAGGAGGCGGCCGCGTTGTACTCGAGGGCTTCGGCGATCGTGGATGCAATGCCCTCCTCGGCAGCGGCGCTGTCCAGGGCGTACGCGACGGCTACCATGCGGCCGTCGAACAGGTGCTGTACCGGACGATTATACAGTACTGGCGACGAGGACGGTGGAAGCGCCGGCGGTGGCGGTGGATGCGGATACCAGTATAACACCGTTGGCCGATCACGTTCACCCAGAGACCTGTCGCCGGGCGGACTTGTCCGCCAGCAGATGGCCGCAACCATTTCTGCCAGCCATTTGTCGTCGACCACAGATTCGCCGCCCAAGGTCGTATCCTCAATGTCTCTGCTCCAGTACGACTCTCGACTCTACGACGATAGAAATATCCACCGGAGTGGGAGCGCGAGTAATGTTCACGCCGCTCTTTTGGGGGGCGGATTCGCCGTGCGAGATGGTTATGCAATGCGCTATGTCGATAGCAACGGTGTTAACAATATTTCTGGGGATAGCGAAGATAGTGGTGGTGTTGACGGATCAAGCATTAGCGTATGTGGAAAAGGGAGTGGTGGCGGTAGTGTCGTAGGACACTCTGCACCGCGCCGCATTTCGTCTTCGTGCATCAGGGAGAGTACGGCGCTCGTGTGCTGTTCCACGGCCGCGTATTCCAGTCACGCCGTGCTGGCTGATATCAAAAACGTGGCGACAACGATCACGTCGACCGCGGCGGCGACGGCCGCGTCGACCACGTCAGCCATCGCCGCTGCCGCCGCCGCCGCAGCAGCAGCAGGAGCAGCCACGCCGTCAGCCAGCACCCACAACACTTCCGCGGGCAGTAACTACTCCTCGTCTGGCCAAAACTCCCTCCCAGTCCAACCCAACAACGTTTCTTGGTGAGTACATTGACCTCTGTATACTGTATGCATCTTTTAATTCACAAGTTCAGTTAGATTAGATTAGACCGACGGATTATACCAAAAGCCCGGGCACACGGGAAGTTACCCGGGAAGTTAAAATCCGCACACGTTTGCATGCTGTACAATGGCGTATTTTGGGCTTTTTTTTTGAAGGGGGGGGGGTTGTCCTGACTCCTGGCAGTAATTTTTCTCCCCAAATATTAACATAGCTTCATCACGAATTCATACCTGATTATAATACACCTTAAAACCGTTTAAGTGGTAATTTTCTTGTAAAAAAATCTCGGGATCGCTACTTAAATGTATTACTACATAATAATATTTTGACAGGAATAAAGTGTAAACGATTTGACTAAATAAATTAAAACCGATTTAACACTTAAATTTACTGAGTAATTTCCCATATCAGTTTAATTAATTTTGTATATTCGTATTGATAGAAATGTTCAAAACAGTTTTAAAATATTTCGCCATTTGTCAACAATATTTTGCGATACTTCAATAATGAATAGAACTAGAAAAAATATTTGGGGGTTGACCCCAGGGCACCCCCCCCCCCTCTCCCACCTAAATATGCCACTGACCCTAAAGTTTTCGCATTTAGATAAAACTAAAATAGCAAATGTTCATCACATTAGAGACGTTAATTATATATTGTCATCGTGTGTGCAATTATAAAGAACAATTATTAATCCGTTATCCTCCCGAATCCCAGTGTTTCCTATCATTACAAATTGATTGATATCATGCCCTTTTCTTTTACTTGTAAATAAACCTATTCTCAGGCCAGATTTTTCAGTTTCTCCTTCCTCCCATTGTTAAAAATTCAAAATTCGCATATGATTAACACACACACGTTCATAAGTTCGTTAGATTTTAGATTCTTACCGCAGTGAGGATTGTATTGGTTTTACTATATACGTTTTTTTTTCTTTTTACCTGTGATCAACTTTTCCACCCGAAATCTTCTTCTTTTTAAAACAGATTTTGTTTAGCTAGTAGCATTAATGCATTATAATCATTCTTTAATTTCCTTTTAATTTATCAAGATAATTGGGAAAAAATATAGGATAAAAGAAAAAATATACGCAATTTTTGGTAGATCTTTGTTATTCGGTGGTAAATTCTCCCAATAATATGGTAAACTCTCTCTGGTATACTTTAATACCCTTCCAAATGCGTAAGTTCCATACTTATTAAAGTTTTGAACGCAACTATTCTAATATTTACATATTTCCGTGATTTTAGTCATGGTTTTGTACTTGTGAGCAATCCATTGATAGTTGGCCGTCAGTTGTCTGATTCGATTTTATTTATTTCCCAGATAAAAGCAAATGATCTTCTGTTTAAGAAGCTATTCCCAAAAGATTGTAGAACTTATCGGTGTGTGCATTTTAAGCAGCCGACAATCAGGTGACAAGTCTCGTTGAGTGTAATGTTGGCTTTTTCGTATGATTACAGTGAGTGCGACGATTATTTAATGTACACCGCAATAATAGTATCGTATAAGTAGGTGATCATAATCGTTAACGACCCACATATTTATTTTAAAATGTAACTTGAATGATGGTCGTCAAAACTATATGCATTTTTGGAAATGTTTGATATAATATATACTTTTTTTTTTTAAAAAAAAAATATGATTCGTTCCTCGATTTCCGGAAGGAAAAAACCATATTTCCCATAATAATTTAATATCATAATTGAGCCATGACTGTAACTTATGTTCTAAAAAAAAGTTTGTGATAAAACGACGAGCCTTTTCGAAAAAGTTTTTGTTTTTTAAGACTTTTTGTCCTTAATGCAGTAATTCATTATCGATCCACACGCATGAACACTAAACGTATATAGTTTTTGCTACAGCTCATGTGTGCGAAAAAAAAGATAACACACAGTATTGGCGTGGCGTCTTTTTAACCCACTACAGCAAAGGACTCGTCCGGGATAAATAATAATCTCTCAAGATTTTTCACCGTGATAAGAAATTTGCTATACTTGCTATACTTTGCTATACTCGATTTTACGTAGTCGGTTTCACACAGTACCCTTTATAAAAAAAAAAAAATGATTTTCAACCTTTTACGAATGGCACTACCTAATTTTGTTTTTCATTTAAGACGAAAAAAATCGTTTAATAGAACTTGAACAATACAATGTACAGTATACACGACACTTATGGTTTTCGGCGACCCCCAGGTTGAAAACCACATGAACTAAGGTAATATGAACTAGCAACGACATGGTAAGCGGGTGCAGTGACAGATCCAGGGGGGCCTAGAAGCCCCCCAAACCTCTTCAACAGTATCTTTTTACTTACGGCAAATATTTTAAATTGTCTAACGCATTATAATTTATTACACAATATATATTTTTGAAACCATTGAGAAATGGGAATGTGAAATAATTTTGCTTTTAAAAATAAGTACAGATTAAATTTTATATTATAGAAGTTATTTTAAAATAGAATAATTAAAATATATTATATCATGATTATTATAGGTACCTAATTAACATAAACGATTCCTAATCCAACCATGATAAAATTAATAATATTCCCTTATTAACCATTTCTTTCATATATTTAGGAACACGTGTATTAGAACGTTACAATGCATATATGGCTTAGAAATAATTTTTTTAAGAAGCCCCTCCCCAAGTTCAACCATGGATCCACCACTAAGCGGTAGCGGTGCGGTCGAGTTTTTCAACGGAGAATATCTAAGTGAATAGTATCCAAGAATCGCAATGATTTAAGTGATAATTTTCTTAACTATACAGTATACCTACGCTACGAAAATATGTGCATTTGAGGCGTACATGTGATAGAAACATACACTTATCACTTTTTTTTTGTATTACCGTATTCATGGTTATGCGGTTCTCAATTTTATATTATTTTGTTACAAGTGTTATTATTCTACACCAGACAGCGTTCTAACCTCTGGATTTCCACTTCCACTTGATCGAAAAACTCGATCAAAGAAATTGGTTCCGTTACCAGTCCATATTATCTTAGTTCATGGTCTAAGGAGAGAAAACGCCGAATAGCTGCTAAATGCCAAATGCTCTTATCATATTTTTACTATCATATTCTATAAATGGTCTGGTCCTTAGTCATAGTAGGGTTAAGGCTATCCACCACCTACTTATTTAGATATCAGCAGAATAACTGTATGGTTACTTTGTCAACCGTACCCCTCCACCCTCCCAAACATTTGTTAACATTCATCAAAATGTCTGACTATTGAAATTCGTATACCTTGTTTTAATTATCTAATCATTTTTATTGCATATTGTAGCACATATATTTATCAATTTTTGTGTAGTATAAAACTTATAATCGCTAATTCATGAAAAACATGATTTTACACAATTTCGTATTACAAATTAAAATTACGGCTAACACGATGTTGAATATATTATTGTTATGAAGCTCAAATAGATTGTAAAACTGTATTACTATTGCCTTCTTTAAATATTAGTATATTTTTAAACACCAGATAGAAATTTTATCCATTAGCCATCCCCCCCCCCACTAATACCACCCTAAAAATATGGTCTGGTCTTAACCAGGCCTCATCCCCTTTTTCGGTGCCACTGGTCTCGACAACAGTTTAAACTGCACTTCATTATCGAGCAAATAATAATTATGCACTATTATGTACTTTTAAAACACTTCAAAAATATATTATTTTGTCGGAAACATTATTTGCTTAAGTTAGTTTAGGTAATTTATACTTTACGTTAACGTATTACCTGAAAATATAATTATTTAAAAAAGAATTTAAATATTTTTGATTAGATAAATTTTTGCAGGCAATAACTTTCGTTAAAATTTCGACATTCTCTTAATATTTATAGGTAAGTTTATAATTTTCTTTCGCAATATTTCGTACAAGGGAAAATTATTAATAATAATACTATGTTTCATGCATTCGATAATAATAATAACAGTTGGGTAATATAGTTTTAACCGCTAAAATTCGTTTCAGTATTATTATTTATTACTATAATATTGCGGGAAATGTTTATTTCACGCAAGGTCATGGCGTAACGAAATAGATGTCACGCGAGCCTTCACGACAGTTAACTAAGGTTTACTGGTAACATAATAATATTCACTTACCTCAAACTACTGCCAGCAACTATAGGTAGGTACGAAATTTTAAAATCTCGTTGAAATAACACTATAAGCCCCGTCGCAGTTTGACGAGTGCCAAAATTTACAAATTCCCCAACTACATCTATAATAAGTTATACCGTGCCTATAATAATAAATATGATACTCGTATTATGCGCCAAGAAAAAATGAAACAGACCATTTTTCTCAAGTAGTGTTCAGAGCGTTAAAAAAAAAAATAAATCTCTTGAGCCTTTTTTATCTTCTGGATCAGTTTTTGCAAATCAGATCATTGGGTAAGTAGGTACCTACATCATATCGGTAAAAACTACTTTTAATCAGTTTACGCCTTGATTTCCCAAATAGATTGCAATGGTCGTTTATAAAAATGATCTAAACGGACCGTTTTTTTCACTGTCTGGATTAGACAGTAAAAAAAAGGTTTATATCAGTAATAAAATAAAGTATAAGCGGTTTTTATTATGAACTCATAAACGGTTCTTATCAGTACCTGCCTATCTGGAATAAACGACACAATTACCTTACTTACTAGATATGGCTAACTGTTTTAAAATATATTCCTAGTTTTTAATCATTTAATATGGAGGTGGACATAATAATAATATAATATATTATATTTTAACAATTTCTAAAATTGATAGTTGTCGCCAGTCACAGCTATAATTGCAGCATTGATTAAGTATACTTAACAAACTAATTCTTCTAAAAATCACTGTTAGCTGTCAGTAGCGTAACCAGCGTGCAGACCTGGTACCTAATTCCGAGCCTACCCAATTTTCTCCGAAACGAACACAAATTTAAAATCTAACATTTTTATTAGTAGTCTTTCTCGTCCAATATATAAAATTTATTATTTTAGACAAACTTATTAAATTAATATTATTTCAAATCAGAAAGTTTAAGTGATATATATATTTTTAAAACTACCTAATTGTATTATTATATTATGCAAATATACATTATTTGATTTTACTCTCTACTATTATTTGTCATTAATAATAAAAATAAACCTCATTACTAGACACTTTATGGATAAGAAAAAAATGATAAGAATTTGTAAACAATTCCCAAGTATCAAATCGCGCTGGGTATCATAAATCGTATGCATTGTTGTGTAGGGAGTCGGCTATCTAATTTTCATACATATCTGTGGTCTGGTCTAAGCGGAGAGTTTCAATAGTCAGAAAAATGATGAGGGACCTGCAGATACAACATTTCACTGTAACTAACCATTCTCGCCCAAAATATCATTCTATCATAATTATTTCATATTGTGGTTCCTGTGCTTTATCGCTCCACCACGGGACATTATCACTTTAAAATGTGACCTCCTCGACGTGAAATTGTCCATGCCCTCTCCTCTATTCATGACTAACGAAGTTCTTCAACGACTAAAAAATTTTATATTTTAGATTTTCACTTAGAATATCAACTTCTTCGGGACCATATCAGTTTCGAACGTAGGATTTTTTTTACGGCGTTTGTATTGTTGCAGGCCCCACAAATTCTCTTGCCATTTTTCTAAAAACTTAATACGTACCCGAACCAAAAACGTATAATGATTTCTTTACACAAATATAACAGATTTTACCATGACGAAAAATAATATGTTTTCCCAATTATTACTTAAGGCCCTTTTTCCTGACGCCAAAGTAAATGCACATGTGAATTAATATTATTATGGTTGTCTCTCACATAAAATATATAGAACGAAACTCAACACAATAAATGAACTGTAAATGACGTCATTGGCAGCTGATCTACCGCCTAATCGCACAATACCTACCGACGCTAAAGGCACCGTTCCTCGCGAAATTATCTTTTGTGCGCTTTTATTATTCAGAAAACTTAAGAGATTTATTTTTATGGCGTCATCGCGGACTACACGATGATTTTAGTAGGGCTTTTATATACGCACTATATAATCCAAACAGGTATATACAGACTTTTGTTGGGGTTGTAATATTCATGTATAAATATTTTATTTTTTTTTCGAAAACTGTACTTTAAATTATGCAACGTGATATAATATAAACACCTGTATAATATTCTCTTCGCCGAACGATAATACAATAATTATTATTACGTGTTCGCCGACGTAACTTTAACGGCTAACAGCGAATAAGTAAGTACGTATAAAATTGAACCGTTATAAAATTATAGAAACGATACGCACGGAACTTTGTCGTATGCTTCCGTTTCCCGAACCACTGCTGCTTTTAGAACATTTCCATTATATAAACTTCAAATAATTACCTATACCTACCCGCAAACATGAGCCACGAGCGTGCAGCGAGACTAATAATGATATTTCCACGGTATAAATATTATTTCCATTTTAATCTATAAATTAGTATTCACGTTTTAAATTGTTGAATTTTGATGTTGTATTATATACCTGCGTACAATTAATTATATTAGGTACGTGTAACGCGAACATTTTCATTATTTAAACACATTTTTTTTATTTTTTACTTCTAACAAAATAGTTTTTTTTTTTTGATAAATTTAACGCGTTATTTTGTTTAACTTTATACGTTATTATATTATTACGGGGTTTTTTTTTTTTTTAATTTTATTATTATTAACTTCGTCTAAACACCGTCTAACTACAAAATATTTTAAACTCTAAACAAAATATTACAATATAAAAATATGTTGGCATACGGAAATAATACATCTATACATGCTTATATATTTACGTATTATACATAATAGCGTGTAAATTTCCACTATTTTAAAGTATAAAACAAAAATTTTTATCAGATTTTATAATTTAAACATTAATCGTCGTTTTCAGTTTATGCATTCTTTGTGGAAAATGGAAAAAAGTATATTCTCTTTAACAGTATACCTATATATCGTGTTTATTTTTCGTCTATGGCCGTATAAGGAAGCTGCGTACAACTTTTAAAACGTGTTTACTGATCCAAAAAATAAAATGCGAAATAATAATAATATTAATAATAAAAAACATACTTACATTAATGTCGAACGAATATAATATAGCTCACTATACAATATACGTCTATTATCATGAAATCTGTTAATAATTACCTATTGTACTGTTCCATTTCAAATATTGATCGCAACCGAATAAATAATATATAGTATAAAATAAATAAATAGCTATAACTATACACGGAGTCCTGTAAATGGTATGAAGTCAACAGCCATAGTATACATGAACTATTTGTTTATGTCACGAATTATGTGATGAGATGAACACAATTTGTGATTAATTTCAAATATTTTTGACATAATCGCAATATATTATATTTATCATGTAATGTATGGTATAAAACAATATGTTCTGGGCTAATACAATTTAGAATTTACCCACCTCTTGGTAGGTATATTGCGGTCATATTGCGCAATAGATTGTTTTACTACCCAGTTGTTTTATATCTGCAATCAATTTATAATTATCGGGCTGGTATAACTATTATGTTCTACCCTAGCAAATATTTAAATGATGCGCCAGGTGATCACAGATAAAAACACTAAAACCTGCACTTCTCATGATAACTAGTATAATGTGTATTGTGTTAAATTTGAAAATACATTTCAAAAATTTGAAAAATATGTTCAATCGAGTCCAAATTAAAAATACAAGCAAATGTGAATGACTTTGACACTATTTAAAAATTAGAAATTTATTATACACTCGATAATTAAATCATTTAACCCTATAAAACGTATGGTTTATATTTTAATGGAATGCAAATTTTAGTTTGTCATATATACCTATAGTATATATATAGTACTATATAGATACATTTTATGAAAAATACTTTAGATATCAAAAAATGGCATGCCCAATGCACCAACTAGAGAAAATTTCCTTTCAGAAAAAGTGCTCTACTCAATATATCGGAGCAAAATTTCTGGTAAAAAGTTGTTCACAGACAGAAAAAAAAAATAATGTAAAAAAAAACATCATAGTAAAACCAATAGATCCCTTGCTACGTTCCGAACCTAAAATAATTCCTTTTGAATGTATACGATTACAATGAAAAACATATGTGAATGCTTGAGGGTATTTTATCAACGAGAGGTCACAAGTTTAAATTAATAAATTACAATCATTGGTTAACATTGTATGCGTTTTACTTCCATCATTTTACTATTCCATAAACCTAGTACCTACAATATACATACAAAAAACTATTTCAATAAAAGAAAATAGGTACATTATTATTCTATTATAACAACGCGAACACGTAAACAACAATAAATGTGTACATTAAAAGCAAAGCATTATATCAAAATGAAAACATAACATTAATTATGGGTAGGTAGGTATACTATAACTATACCAGACAAATTAAAAATTAATTTTTACCCAAAATTATACTGCAGATTCGTTATATTTTCAACGAAAATATTATTAAAAAATAATAGTTATAACTCATAACTATTATTTTTTAATTACTTACATTTTAAATCCTTTTTGTTATTTTTATTTAATATATAATAAAATGTAGACTCTCATATTCTAATACCTAAGCATTTCATCCAAATATTTTGACATTATGTGCAATTTTAATTTTGAAAACTTTTTTTAATTAATTTACTTTGCACCCGCATGATCAGCTAAAGGATGAGGTTTTTATTTTATTTTATGAAAATTTCTACCGGAAAATGAGCATTAGGCATGCCATTTTAGAAATTCTTAATTATATAAACCTGTAAGTCGCTACAACTAATGCTACCAGTACACAAGTAGTTAATGTTTCAAGCTAGGATAGTAAGATAGTGCTAGTAAGCTGCTGAGCTAAAGTAACTCTAGCTCCGTGAAAAGTGAAAACAGAACAATCTACGGTTTTAAAACAAAAAGCCAGTAAGCTTGTAGTATCTTCAGCTAGAATAGTTTAATATAATAGTTTTATTATTATTTTAACTTGTAGCAACCCCCCCCCCCTTCAATATATTGTCTTGACTCCTGGAATTGAGTATAATAGCTTCGTGTGAACCTAGTACAAGATGGTTAGTGTTCAGGCAGTAACGATTTGTTTTATACTTTTTGATAAATATCGAGTCACAAGCCACTCCAGTAATCACTCAATAATTCATTTTTGATAATTATTGGTAAGTTTTGACTTCCCAGAAATAGCACCATGTAAACCGCTCCAGCTCATATCAATCCAGGATGATAAATCAAGATAGTAAGCTGGTCACCATTCTTGAAAACTAGCATCATATATACCAAGCATGGCAACGAATTTAGAAATAGAAAAAATAATACAAAAACGTATTACAAATGATAATACAAAATAGATTTCTCGGAACAAATATGTACATATTTTTGTTTTCACTAGCGAAACACCAAACTACTTATGAATATTGAAAGAATGTGCATTCTCGACATACATGAATCGGATATCCGCTTTAAAGTTTTTTTCCTGCTTAAACGACACGCGGTACACGTGTGTATACAGAACGATTCTTTTATTATGAACAGGAGGTTACTCATAAATATTTTTCACTCAATGTATGGAATCGTTCAATTGATCTCTTTTATAATATTTTCATAATTTCAAACTTATTCTGTTTAATATTATAAATAGCTTGGTTTTCAAATAGTACTCCCGGTTTTTTTCAAACGCATACGGAAAGATAAAATCCATATCCATGATAAGATTACCCTCTCCTACTCGCCTAATTTAAATTTTAAACAGTTATAATTTATTAACTCTGATAGGGGTAATCATAAAACATTTCTCACATTTTTATACAAAATAATTTTTTTTGAATCTGTAAATATTATAAATACGCGGGCTGCTATTTAAAAATCAAAAGTAGATACGTGTACTTATTTTATGGAATAAAATGATAAAATATTATTATAAAATCATATACCTTATCTAAAATTTCAATTTTTAATAAAATAACAAAAAAAATCCCAAAATGAAATTTACTCTAAATCTTAGGTTTATGATTTTAAACAAATTCATACTACTAATGGGTATTATACCACTATTTTAAGCGGGCAGTTGAGAAGGTATATGATTTATTATTATGTTATTTATATCTGTGCACAACGATAAATCATTGCTGAAGAAATACATGTTTTGAAATGTCATGATTATTAAGATTTTCATTAAAGTTATTGGTACGTTAAAATCGTATAAAAAAAATGTATCATTACGCTCGTGTAAAATTGTTAAGTATTTCGGCTCGTTCAATACAATCCTATCGACTTAAAACCCATAAATAACTTACAAATTACCTAAATGATGTTTTCAAAATCTTATCACGTCTCGGAAAAGGCAAATTCAGTAAAATTTCCAGGTCTCTACAATTATTTTTAACTTAATTACAAAAGAAAAAAAACAAAATTGAATTCATGAAATTCATGAACCTAACCTAACCATTATTGCCGTCGACTTTTCCATTTTTCATACGCGTTAATAATTAAGAAAACCATTAGGCAAATAAAAAACCAACCGTCAATACATCAACAAAAGAAAATTGTGTTTTTAAAAAGATGCTACTCTGGAATTGAAATTTGGAGCTAAATTTCTGGTAGAAAAACAAAATTTAAAATAATGAAATCGTTATCTCGCCGTAAATTTGTCAGTTCTTTCTTGTTATTAAGAAACAGCGAAAAAACCAAAAGTAAAATTCACAACGCACCAACTAGACCAAAAATAAATAGTCACTTCAAAAAGCACTCTTGTAAACATAATTCGTACAAATTTAAGATAATGAATTCGTATTTTTCCGTAAGATTTGTCCAACATTATACGTAACAGTTAGAAGTATAAAAGAGTGGCTTTGTTTCCCTTTGCGTGCCACTCTCATCACTTTCATCCCTGTTTATAGTCTATTGGTATATAATATAAACTTTTATTATGATTTATGGGTACATATGTGTATTTTTATTCTAAGGCCCTGTAAATTTGACGAACACAATAAACGTTTTCCGCTAACAAAAACAATCAAACGCATAAAAAAAAGATTGAGCTGTCTGGGTCATATGCCATGACGTAAACGAATTTAAATCGATTTGTTTTTCGCCGCACACGTCAACCCGGATAAGCGAAATACGTAGGTACTTATATGTACGAGATATTTTATAGTCAAAATATATGATTGAAAATGCACGACCTTCTAATATATAACCTAAAATATGTTTCTGTTGACATTTTGCCATTTTGCAGGTGTAATATTGAAATAAAATCAATTTTTTTATTTTTACGTATAAGTTCAGCCGCGATAAAATTCACCAAAAACTAATCGATCATTATAAATTATAATGCATATGATATATAGTATGTAAGCTTATGCACCCTATATATTTTATATCTTTACAACTTCATATCTAAACCAGTGGCTTACTTATAGTCTGAAGTATTTCGAGTGTTTTATGAAATAACATTTTTTTTTTTTTTTTTTTATGTAAATTTAAAAAAAAACACACGAGCAGCAAAGCTCCATCACTAGAATCGAATTTTCTTCCAGCTGACTTATTTTCATTACAATATTTCATTTTTTTTATATATATATAGATATAATAAGGAGTTGAACAAAAAACATTGTTTTCAAAATAAGTAAAGTAGTTCTCAAGATTTTTGCTAGCATACAAACAGACAATAGTATTAAAAATTCAAACCTTCTAAAGGCACATCTTCTACAACAATCCTATTTATTTATATATATATATGTATATATACACATTTTAACCAAGTTACTATTACTTTCGTGAGTCTGTAAGAGTGTTTAAAATTCATGCACTATTTTTAGTAAAAACAAGAAGTCTGAATATCAAAATGGTTGGGGAGGAAGTTTGAAAGTTGAAATCACCTGCAAGCACCATGCTTATACAAAATGTTACCCCACCTGACTTCATTTGGCGGTTCCCAGCTCTCTAAAAGTGTACAAAGCTAAATAACACCCTCTTCTCGCTATAACATGGTGAAGCTCATATTGAAATTCAATAAACAATTTGATCATTTTAATCTGCCTATAAAAAAAAATTCTGATTCCCGAGTCTGAAGTCTATTGGTCCAAAGGAAGCCGCTCCAAAAGTCTCCAAATGTACCGGGAAAAAGGTATATACCTATATGAATATCGGTAACAATACAATAGTATTTATTTTCGGAGAAAATTCGACAAAAAAAAACACAACCGGAGATCGCGTTCGCGTTGTCTCGCAATTTATACAGGTGCCTAGTAAAAACGAAAAAAAAAACTGAAAATGTCGATATACAGTTAACAGATACACAAAACGTCCCTCTTGACTACGCCTGCGCGGGCTGTGGTCTCGGTATGATAATATACAAGTACGCTCTCGTAAAAACGAAAACACACGTATAACAGTATATTATTACTAAACGTTATTTTATTACACGATCGAATAATAATATACGGCTATTATTTGTTCAGTTACATAGGCGCTTTTAAATAACAATAATATAATAATGCAATACATACAATACAGCGTCGGTAAAAGGATTTCGTGCAACTTCGTATTTAGCATTTTTATTTGTGTGTCTATATTATTATATTACCTATAGGGGTTGGACGACGAAAATTATAATTCGCGCAGACACGTGATAGGGTCTTTGCCCCGCCCTCGTCCACCCCAATAATTATATAAGACAGTCGCACCACACCGATGCATACACTACCGAATTAATATACTATTACAATTCATAATTGTAACAGCGGTATGAAATGTGTATGCACTCGTATTCGGTGTTTCCTGTCAAAAATAGTACTATGTGAATAATTTTATTAAATTCCTCATTGTGTTCACGTGAATTCAGTTATTGTTCACTTTGCTCGGGCGTTCTCATACTGCGCCCGGTCAACATGGGAAAAATCGGAGTATTAGAATGATCATTGTTACAAAATGTTCGGTCATTGTGTTTCGGATTTTCCATTTTTATCGTAACATATTATACAATTGATGGAGATGTAAGTTTGAAAATGTTCAATTTATAAAATAAAAATTCAACTAGCGTTACGAAAAAAGTTACTATAAGGACATTAAAAATAATTAAAAGTTAAGTTAATATCATCTTAAAACTAAACCTAACCTAACGTAGCCTTTGAATTTTTCATTAACTGACCCTTTGCACTATTCAAGACGCCGCGCCACACAAATGGTGCTCCTCTAATCTCTCCCTACCCGAACTTAAAAATGGAATATCTCGTCAATGGGTTAACGAAAATCAAAAATTTCAATACCAACATATTTTATTCAAACTAATACTCCGTCTATTTATAGAATTTTCAATATAAGTTGCTATTTAAAAACCAAAGAGTAGGTAGTCGTTTCATCCTTAAAAGCTAACTGAAATGTAACATTTTAGAGATGCTTTTTTCTTAAATGGTAAAAAAAAAAAAAAATTGTTGAACAAATTCAGAACTAATCGAAAAGTCGAGTATAGACGTGTGTACCTACCACGGTACAAATAATAATTATTATTTGTCTTTTACTCAATATAATCTAATTATCGATGGCACCGAAAAAGGACAAAACCATATTTTTGGAGCGACAGTTAATAGATTGAATTCCTCTCCTATATACACATATTATTAAAACTAGGCAATATTAATAATATTTTAAAATTTGTTTGAGCTTATATCCTGTGTATAAATAAATAGATAGGTGGTGATTAGGACTACTACGATTATTGACCAGACTATTTAAAAACTGATTCGGCATCACTGGCGTTTAGAGCTTATAGTTTAATATAAATAGGTACATATTCCGAATAAACCTCTTGTGTTTGGCATTATCGTGTTTATTTTCAAAACTCACAAACTTTAAGTTTAAGTATTTTCTATTTCGACAATATAAATAGGTATATTACAAAAAACAAATTAACTTAAAGTTAATAAGTCAATTAAACTATCGAGTTAACTTTTATTTTAACTCAGTTAGGTAATTAATAAAAATAAATTATTTGTATAACGTGTTAAGTCGGTAGACATTAGCTTTTTCTCATATTAATATTATTCATCAACTTGCCCAGCTGTATTGTTATTTTCTGTAACACCTATATAGCCGATAGATATAATATACAATCAATTTCAACATACAATGTTTACTCGCGGTTCAATGACCATTTCTGCCCACGGGCCACGTAAACTTCCGGAGCTATCAAAAAGTCTCGACGATATATAAACTTTAACCGACCATTACCGCCGCTTATTATTTCTATTATTCCGAAGTATTGATATGAGAATCACGTGCCCATCGTATATAATTCGCGTATACGTATATATTGGTACCAATATAGTATGGGGATTTAATATCGATTTGCGTTTAAAAACGCATCTGTATTGATAATAAAGTATATCGTTGAATAATATATTTTTGTAACGAAAAAAAGAAAACTCATAAATACCAAATTATTCTTCTATACCTACATTTTCACTTAACTCGTTTTCTAAACGACTTCTATATTGTATAATACCTATATTACCTGAATATTTGCATAACCGTGCATTTCGTGAAACTATAGGTAATTGCAATGCCTATACATAATAATATATGTATATATTATGTAATTTAATGTATACATATACATACTTAATGAAAAATATATACACGTTTATGACGTACCTATACTTATTTCGAAAATACTCGAGATATCCTGCAACTGTAAAAATGTAAAATCGGTTGTGTATCAATTTACAATTTTTTTCTTATTTATTATAATAAGAATTTCCGATCGGTAATTTATTTTGTTTAACATCCTCGTATACCTCATAATTCTGTTAATAAAATAATTACCATTGATTTTAACTGAACGCTGAATCGATAATTTGCAGTAAAAGAGTAAGTAAAGAGATTAAGTAACAAAAAAAAAAAAAGGCTGCAAGTTATAATGACTATTATTAATTTTTAAGTCGGTTAAATCAAGTCAATTGAAAAACCTGTTATCGTGACGCGAGTCAACACGTTAAAATAAGCAAATTGTTTTATTAATTATAGCCATGTTAAGTTGGAAATAAATTTGTAAATTAAATTAACTCATTAACATAAATGAAGTTAATTTTGTGTCATTTTTTTTATTGTTTTATAAAATTGTCATTGTTGTACTTGCTGATAATGATTATACGGTTATACCTAGAGTTTAGCATTTGTTTTATCACTTGAAAATAGGAATGATCAATTTGAAAAACAGTTGATTTATTATAGAAATATCAAATTATTCTACACACATTATTTAACAGATTAAAGTTATTATTTATACGATGTTAATATTCAAATATTGTGTTGGAATTAAAAAAAATTTAAATGAATAATGTAATCATTGAAAGAAAAATTATCACTTTAGTTTACTCAATGTGATGTAATTCAAAATAAACTCGTTGTTTATTGTTTGTTTATGTGAAAAAAAAATGTCAAAATGTTTAATATTGACTTGCATATCATAGTAAATATTTTATTAGAAATGAATTTGAACGATTTTTGAATAGGTGAATTTAATTTTTTTCCAAAAGTATCGAAATTACCTCTTCTCAATTACTTATGTATACTCCATTCCTTAAACAACACCACCTAGTTGTGCGACGCTCTCTGAAGGTAGGTACTAATTAAATTTTTCCGAATTGAAGTTATAATATTTATTATTTTCTACTCGAACAGTATCGATTATTTTGTATTTAAATATATGATAAAAGTAGTTATGTTTTATATTATTAAATGTCTACTTATTTAAAAATCAAATATCTGCCCATCACCCATGTCACGGTAAAAACTCAATAATATTTCAATATATTCAATAGACAGCGTTATTTTTAAATGCCATTAATATTATTTATTCAGTGGATAAATGCTAAATGCTCGACGAGTACATTTAAACATAATTTGTTTAAAAGCCTTGGTCATTACCCGTCTCTGACCTACAATTACATAGTCAATACCGTAGGTATCTAATGTCTATTATAACGTAGTTATTGACGTCTACACTTTTTATATTCGCGGCCATCGTGAATTTAATTGTATGCGATAAACGACTCGGTAGTCCTATTGTTACCATATCCCATTCGTTCAACCACACTAAATGTTGGTATAATTAAACCAATAACGTTTCAAGATAATAATTATTATTTTATTTTTATTGTCGAAATCCGCTGAAAAAAAAAACAAAGTTAAATTAATATCAATTCCTGCGTTATTAGGTATTATCTTTTATTATTATTATTATCATCAATAAATCGCTAACTACCATCGAGATCACGGTTTTCGATTTTGATATTATGCTTCGATAAACGAGTTAAGATACATGCATAGAAACATAAAACAAAATTGTTTGATATATATGTATCTGTACGTTCTGACCATAGTGCAGCGGCGCCGAATCAATTTTGAAATAGTCTGGTTATTATAGTCATAGCAGTTTTAACATAAATATAGGTAGATAGATATTTAGGTATAAGCAAGGTAGCCGGGAGGTCACTATGTCAAAAGTAGGTACCTATCCCTACTCCCTAAACATTTCTTAATAAGTGCCTATTTATCAAAATGTCTTGCTATTGAAAATCGCATATTTTCATATTTTTCATTGCAAACGTCTACACATTTATGATTTATCATTTATTTGTGTGCTATCCTTTAGCTCATGATTTTAAACAATTTTTTATGCTATAAAACTAAGATTACGAATAATACGTGTTAAATAATATAATATTATTCCGGAGAATCAGCTGGAATATTATTACCCACGTTACTTACAGTTCTTGGTACTTCAATAATTTCTTCTAACATAGACTCTTCTATATTAGAAAATATTTGTTTAAACTCATCATCAAAATGTTTTCGAATTTCTTTAAATAGTTGACAGACATCTAATACTCGCTCATGACAATATAATAAATCAATATTAACTTTTTGTAGCGATATAGATAATAGTAAAGTTAAAGAAAAAAACTCTTCAATCACATGTAAAGCTATGGTAAAAATTGATTTATTAATGACATTTGAAAGCTGAAAAACTGTACGTGATGTTTCTATATTTGAAAACTCTACTAATTTTTTTAAGGCGTAATAAGTAGCTTTATATACCTAATTCTTTAAAATTGAATTAAACTTTTATGTCGATCTACCAATCGCTTTTCACATTTTTATTAGAGTTTTTTTTTGACTTTGTGCGGCATATTCATTAATACATTCAATCAGTGTTTTTGTTCTTTGTAATGAAGCTCGGGAAAATGTTATAACTGAAGATGTAGTTTCTAATTAATACAATTTTACATGAACTTCCTACAGTCAAATTCAAATAATGAGAAGCGCACGTGGAATAGCCTCTGAAATATAAATATTTTAAAAAAATATTTAAAAACTGTATAGGTAGGTACTTAGTATACCAGTGTCTATAAATACATATTATATTGATTTAATTTAAAATTTAAAAATTGTAATCAAAATAACCCTTTAAATTAATCGGTTCATATCCTAAATACAATAAAAAGAAAAGAAAATATACAGAACTCAAAAATAATTAAATTTTATCTGTGATGCTAGACGCCTTTGAATTGCCCACTCATAATGCCGCGCCATCATAACCTTGTTCTACAAGAAATTTTTTTTCAAGTCCGAATTTCTCTAGCAACCGAATATATAGAAATAAATAATTTTTTACCAATCATATCGTGAACAATTGAAATTCAAGAAAATCTTCTATAAAACAGTTTGACACACCGTCAACATATTGAACACAAAAAGAAATTTGTTCTAATCGAGATACGTCATGTGTTTCGTCTACCAAAATAGAAAAATATTTTACACTTCTGATATTTTTCTAATGTATTTTCTTGTATTAAATTGCCACAAATAGTAATGATTTCATTTTGAACACTAGAACTCCTGTAAGTTGCAAAAGTTGTGTTTTTTAAATGTTTGACAAAAATAGAAACAGTCAATGATTTAAATCTTAATAAAGATCTAAAATTCTCGTCATTTGTTTCTATACTTTCATCATATATTTTGCCACCGTCATTATTATTACCTCTTAAAGCGATGTTTTGTCTTCCACATAAAATTATGATTTCAATTATTGAACGAAGAATAGCTCTATTTTCAATGACTTGTTTTTTTCGTGGAGTATCTATCTCATTTGTAATATTATTCTTTTTGTTTTCCATTACTTTAATAAATTCTTCAGAGCGAATGATTGAAAGCTTATGATGCTCAGATTTTGAATGATGATTAAAACGTTCAATGGCATCCTTCCATTTTGAAAAAGGTTTTATAATCAGAGCACATAATTTTTGATGAATCCCTCTACCAACACTGTTATTGGCAAATATTACACAGCATTTATACAAGGCACCTTCCATTTTTTGGGAGTAACCAAGCCAAGGATAACGATTTAACGAATCTATTTGAAATTTCAGTCGCTTTTGTTTTTCGATGGGAAATTGGTAATTTTTGGGTGGTGTCCACTGGGACTTTTTAATAAATCGTATTTGTTCGCATCATTTATATTATTAGAAGTTGATAAAAATAATCCAATATCTAGAGAATAATTTTTTAACGATTCATCGTCCATATTTGTTGGGTCTGCAAAGCGTATGGTACATCAACTTCGGTTGCGATACTTTGAATATTACTCGATTCACTTTCAGTTTCACTGATTTAATAATAATAGGCGTATAATTTGACTTAATTTTCAAAGAAAATACTTCGGGGGGGAGGGGTTTGAACCACAACTTCCCCCCTCTTGTATACGTGCCTGTACCCGTGTTAATATGACTGACCTCGAGTCGGGTTCCGGCATATTTTAACGTGTACACGAATTGGGTCCCGACATATTTATTTTATTGTTGTTTATTTATATTGAAAACATAAGTCTAGCCCATTAGAATTGGCCAGGAGCATACTTCAAATGAATCAATACTACTAGCAAAAATAACGTTATAATCAATACGTGTCGGTCGATGACTACACGATGACTAACAGCCAGCTTTTGGCATACAACCGTTAAATTGTCCGGTGACAACCGGTTTCGCATTATCACATTTAACGTAATATTATAAATTTAAATATAATATTATTGCCGCGAACCCAACTTGTGTATAATTTAAGCGATAAAATGTCCAGTGACCTAACTCGAGTGTTCCTATACACCGGGTCGCGTTTCCGAAAAATCTTCTTATCATTTTCGAACAAATGCCATTCACCGGATGCAAACCACTTGTACGATTGATAATATTTTATCACTGATAACAAAAAAAACTTTCAATAGTGCTAAAATTATTGTCGCTAGTTTTTTGTTGCATACGCACAGTATGCGTCGCAACTTGTTCGTTAAGCTTATTCGTTTCTTTTTGTAACCGTATTTTATGTCATATTGTTATGTTTTCAGAAGTAAATTGTTTTAAGTGAATCTATATTTTTTATCCTACTATTATATTATAAGCAATGGCTGTTCAGGTTGGAAATTAAAACAATATGTAGAACGTTCGTAATATTAATAGTTTAGTTTCGTTAAAATATTTAATGGTTATTCTTTCAGGAAACCCGGGTTCACCAAAGGATTGACGATTCAAGCTCAAACAAATTCGAGATCTCCGCCGCTTTCCATTACCTCGAGCCCTGGATCCATTCAGTCGTCTAGCAGGTTAGTCCACCGTAGATTTTATCATATTATTCGGTTCGACGCCATTCTTGTACAACCAATATGTGTTGTTTAGTTCGAGTAGCGGTGTTCATTCGGCTCCACCAAATATGGAATCTACCGTTGAAAATAAGTACGACCCGCCGTCTAGATCTATGTCGGCGCCTGCACCCAGTATGTCCCAACCGTCGTCTTCGTCCACTGAAGTCACGACCGACAATTCTGAGGAAACGGCTAGTACGTGTACCGTGCCTGCCAACAGCAGCGGGTCGGATCAACCAAACAGTCCTCCGTCAGAAACCGTATATCAACCCAAGCACGTACATCATCAAACGTCTTTACCGATTTTGACTTCGACCATGATAAACAAACCCCGAACGTTTCATAGGTCTACGTCCAAAACTGAAGCTGTAAAAAAGTAATGCTACATATTTGATTCATGGTAATACTTATTCAAATATTTCTTTATTTTGTTTATAGTTTTATAAGGAGAGAAACAGCCATGTTTTTTGGGCTCGATGAAGAATATGAAGAAATCGAAAAACTCAAATGGTTGGACAGAAGAAAACGTTTGGCTACTAGAAAATATGGAGAGCTGAAAAGCGAATATATTAATTCTGTGAACGACATTCCAGTAACTCAAATTTCACAGGTATTGCTGAACAATGAACATAATTTTATAATATTATTTTCAATTTAATACTTACTGATGGTCTTGCAATTCTTAGCCGGATGTATTACAATCAAGTCGAGATATTGATGAACGGGATAGTGCTGCTCGTGTTCAACCTTTAGGAAGAAAACCATCTGTTGCCAAGCTAACGTTTAGCGGACTATCCTATGTTGTTTCAGTACTGTGTTAAATTTATACAATATTTTTTTATCTATGAATGTATTTTTAATGTTTATAATATTAATCATATTTATAGAAAACACTTAGTCATAAGAAAAGAACAGTATCTACATCAAGTGAATGGTCTAGGAGTTATCCCCAGTCTGTTACATCTGATACTCCAACGATTCCATCCCAAATTGCTGATGATGTAAATTTATTACTAATGTTTTACATATTTATGATTATATTATATTAATATATTTTTTTTTAACTTCAGGTGTTTTTTGATCGGCTCTCCTCGGATGGCGGCGACCAAGGAACAGAACAAGTAGTCGTAGATTCTGGTGGAAATTATGAAAATTCAATGAGACACCACTATAAAAAGTCGCATCAAAATTTTAGAAGGTATTCCAATTGGCAAAGAAATCCATCCAGACGAGTTGAAGACGATCATATGCCAAGTATTGGAATGAGCAAAATTTGGGGTAGAGTATTGGACAGAGCGTTCGATAATTCTGATAGAAGACAATACGGGATGGGTTTTATTGGAAGGTTATGCAGGTAGGTATTTAATAAATTGGAATTGGTTTATATTTTTAATATTTGTATTTAATTGGTTTAGACGTTCTTTAAACAAAACTGTAGTGACCAGAAGGGACGTGAAACAGCAGCTTGATGATTTAGAAGATCATCGGCCATTTTTTACTTATTGGGTGACTGTTGTTCAAATTTTGGTACTATTTTTATCAATATTTTCTTATGGTCTTGGGCCTTTTGGGATCGATCTAAGCCACCAATCTGGTGCTGTAAGTTATTAAATTATTTAACATAATACAGATAAAATTATACCAAAATATATTATTATAATATTATGTATAAATGGCTGTAGGTTATGGTCACAAGTCTATCAGTACAAATAATTGAATATATAGAACCATCAAATTTTTGGATTGGACCTCGTGCGGTAAATTACATAATATCTATCTATTATACTATTTTATACTGTTTATATTTAGTTATATTTTCTATTTGTTATAATATAAACATTTCCATAATGTATAGGCTGACTTGATACATTTGGGAGCCAAATTTGCTCCTTGTATGCGAAAAGATAAAAACATAATGAAAGAAATTGAAAAATGGCGGGAAAAAGAGCGAGAAACAGCATGCTGTATTAGGAACGATGACTCTGGATGCATTCAAGCATCTAAAGAACAATGCACAGTAAGATACACATTTCTTATAATTTTTAAAATCAAAAAGAACAAATATATTATACTAATAATTTGTTGTAATATAATTTTAACAAATTTAAGTATTGTTACTTTTATTGAAATTAATACCATAATTAAACTATTTTGAGCTAGATATTTATACTCGTGGAGAAGTATAATTTGAGATGTAACCATTTAAATGATTAATAATTATTATTTAAAATAAATAAAACTCCTTATAACCTTAAAATATGTCTAAATATGAACACTTATAAATAATAATTAATATTAATACAGTAGATTATGTTTATTATGACACCGGTTGTAGTGGCATAATATCAAGTGTAATGACCTTAGATGGAGGCCCTGGCAAAACTCTTACATGTACTAATTTATACCGATTATTATCACATTTGTATTATGACTATAATACAGATGTTATGATGGTTATTTTGGTTATATTGGAAAAAATCTATTATCTATGACTATTAAACTTTTATCAAAGGTAATGTAACAACCAATAATACTAAATGTATTGTACTTTTTTTATTTTTTTTTTTTCCGTAAGTATTGAAGTCCCGATTTAGTGATACAAATACGACACACATTGATTGTAATATAATATTATGTTCATATAAATACATAAACATATACATAATCAAGTTTTTAAATTGTATTTTATCATTTTGGTTATGATGACAATCGGTTATTATGCATTTAACTAGTCCCTTGAATGTTATTACAAAAGGTTTCTACTGTACTTAAGAATTATTATTTATGTGTTATATTATTGTGAAAAATACCTATTCTATTTGGTAGTTTTATTCTTATCGAGTGTTTATCTGTTTGTACTGTTTCTCATACCATCTCATAAACGTCTCACTGATTGGGGTGGAGGAGGAGGAGGAGATAGTGATAAACCACCTTCGGTAAGAAAGTAGAAAAAAATCTGTTGATTGGCTATTAAAGTCTATCTGTACTAAAGTTGTAGTGATTATTATTTATTTTTGCATGCTTATTTTTTAAGAATTTATGGTAATTTGTATTATTATTTTTGCTTTGTTTTAATTTTTTGAAATTGTGTTTGTATAATTATACATTATACTAATTTAGCATTATTCCTTACCAAAATAGTTACTTACTACAATGATTGATATTAACAGCTTCAGAGTGATATTTATTTTCTTTAGTTGAACGTTGAACAGATTTTACTTTTATTAAATCATTATTATGAATTAATATGAGTTGTTATTATTAATAATTTTTTTAAATTTTAACATAATTTTTTTAGACATCAATTTCAAAGTGGAAGAAATGGTCAGAAATTGAATCTGGACCTGGTGGGAGAATATCCGGTTCTGTTTGTGGCCTTGATCCAAAGTATGTACACATTTTATTGTTAATCAGATGTCTACTTTGAAATTATTTATTTTTAATTCATATTGGTTTATATTTAAGATATTGTGAAGCTCCTGCATCTATAGCACCATATGAATGGCCTGATGATATAACCAAATGGCCAATTTGCCGTAAAATGAGTGGTAGAGGCAGTGCACGGCATAGTAGTTGGGGTAGTTCGTTGATCAATCAAAAACTGACGTCTGCTGAACATATGATATGCGAAGTGATCGGACACCCTTGCTGTATTGGAATACATGGTACTTGTCGTATAACTACTCGTGAATATTGCGATTTTGTGCATGGTTATTTTCATGATGACGCTTCGCTATGCTCTCAGGTATGCAACTCATATATTTATAAAAATAGTATAAAATTTAATTTAACTGGGTAATAATTAAAAATTACCAACCCCTTCAGAAAAAAAAAAATAGACAAACATCCACAGGCTTACTAGTTTAAGATTCCTCGCTGCATTTATAACTGGTTTTACTATGTGTTTTTTTTTCGCCAAGAAGAAGAAGAAAAAATATAAACTGAATTTGATTATAAACAATTTTTACCTTTTTTTTAATTAATTTTTTGGAAGTTTTGATTACATAATCCAAAATAGTTCTGTAGAAGTTTGCCTCTTTTTAATAGAAAAAAAATGTTCTTAATTGGATCAATCTGATTATAAGGTATGATAGTTTTTCCTGTTTTGAGAAAAAAAACAGGTTGTACCCAGTCCCCTTAATATAAAAATTAAAATAGAATTAATTATTTATTTAGACTTATTTAGTTTAAATATTAATAATTTTTTATAAACAGTCATTAACAATTTGTAAAAGACCGTGAACAGGACTTTAATTTGGTTTTTTTTTTTCAGGTTTCTTGTTTGAATGATGTTTGCGGTCTCATACCTTTCTTTTCTCCAGAAATTCCAGATCAGTTTTACAGATTATGGATATCACTTTTTATACATGCTGGGTAAATATTAAAAGTTTATTATTATTTAAATAGCCTTAACTAAATATATGATTATATTCAAATGTAATAACAATATTAAAGAAAAATAAATAAATAAATTTTTCTAAAAATAGAATTTAATAGTTTATATTAAATTCTATTTTTCTTTAATATTGTTATTATATTTGAATATAATCATATATTTAGTGCTAAACGCATAAAGAGCCGAAAATCATGTTTAAATAAAAATATATAATAGCTTTAAAATTGTAATTTCTCATTATATTCTGTTTAGCCTTAATAACTAATTATTAATTGTATGAAATATCAAATATGTAATCTATATATATTATTATATATAGATTACATATTTACATATTATACACTATCATTAGTGTATAATATACTATAATAATAGTATATATAGTATACTTTGTCATTTTTAACATTTTCAGAAGGTCTTAACAAATATCAATTTATTTTTCATTCAATTATAATTTTTTTTTGTTTTCAGTATTCTTCACTTGGCAACGACAATTGTCATTCAGTATTTTTTGATGAGGGATCTGGAAAAACTGACTGGTTCATTAAGAATAGCTTTAATCTATTTGGGTTCTGGAGTTGCTGGTAATCTAGGCAGTGCAATATTTGTACCTTATAGAGCTGATGTAAGCTAATGAATAATACATTATTTTTAATGAGTTTGGTATTAAATAATATTAATTTTCTTTCAGGTTGGCCCAGCAGGTTCTCAATTTGGTCTGTTGGCGTGCCTCATAGTAGAAGTACTGAATTGTTGGCCTATGTTAAAAAGGCCCGAGCAGGCGCTTTCAAAACTATTAGTCATCACATTTCTGCTGTTCCTGCTCGGGCTATTGCCTTGGGTCGACAACTTTGCACACCTATTTGGGTTTATTTTTGGATTCTTATTATCTTATGCGTTGTTACCGTTTGTTTCATTCGGACCATATGACCGTCAGAAGAAAATCTTCCTCATTTGGGTGTGCCTGTTATCGGCGTTGTTTTTGTTTCTGTTACTGTTATTATTGTTCTACCTAATACCAATGTATGATTGTGAAATGTGTAGCTACTTTAATTGTATACCCATTACTAAAGACTTTTGTGCCAATCAGAATATTAATTTTAAAAAAGACGATTATACGGTATGACAAATGTGGTGGCGACGGTGCAAGACCGCGCATAAGTTAGTGACAACATTTGCGATTTGTTTTGTGACTTTAGCCACCTCCTGTAAAATGCTTGAGGTACTCGTTAATATTTTTACTCCCTTTTTGATAATGATAAAAAGAAGGGACAATGAACAAAAGAAAATTATTGTAATCATTAAACAAAATAAATTATTGTATTGTTTCTTATAAATTATAATATTATTTTCATTAGGTATTAATGTTTATATTAAATAATAGTATTGACTGAATTACTACTTAATCAGTGTTGAATCGTTCAAATGCAAAATATTACCATTATAAATTATTATTTTAATGGTACTATTATGGTATTCGATTTTGAATTTAAAAAACTTGATTATAAATCTATTTGGTTGAATTATTGAAAATTATAATTTGTGGTTAATTATATAGTTTCTCCTTTTGTACGTCTTGACTGTAAGTTATTAATAATATTTATAATTCATATTATTCGTATAATTGTTTTTCGTTTAAGAGATCATACGAAAACAAACTAATTATGAATTAATACTTTGATTTATAGATAATATTTTTCTCTGATTTACATATATTAGAATACATTTTCTGAAGTATTTCACTAGGTCAATAAACAAAGAAATTACGCTCAGTTAAAATACCCGATTTTAATTTTGTTTGGAATATTTTACTTAACATAAAGTAAACCAATATTGTTCTGTTTTTAAGAGGCTTTATAAAAAAAATTCTTTTAAAATATCATTAAACAAAAAGCTGTCTTTTAATCTGTGTTTCTTTTGATTCATCGAAAAATCAAATTTGGTAATTACAAACAGTGTAAACATTAAATTTGGCCGATAACAGTGCAAAATATTAGAAAACATTTTATTACAAACAACAATAAAAGGGTTCAAATTTCTCAAAAATTTTAATAGTTAGTATTGAATTATGACTTATCTAATTTTCATTTTTCGCACACAATACCTGTTCGGTAGCTTCATGCTGACTATCATTGGCACTATAACTATGTTTAGTGACTAAACTTAATATCTATCTAATATTTGTCATCTTTATAAATTTGTGATAACCCGTGTGCCTTAAAGAAGTTATCCGATTTGCCCACCCCATCCCCCTTAGCAGGGTCCTGCTGTTGGTTAATCTATCTAAACGGGCCAATACACGTCATTGGAATATACATACTAGACTCTTTCGATAATATTATTTTATTATTAGGTACCTACCTACCTACTTACTTACCTAAATTGCATGTCATCCGAACTCGTCGTTTTACTTGATGTACGACGTATGATAACCGGCTGTCGTTTCTTTTCCAGGGTAAAAATAATATAATATTTTAAATACTGTAATCGGTGGTATAATATATATATATAAATATTTTTTATTTTTCTTTCGTTTCGTTTAAATAATATTTCCAATTCCCTCAAATAAGTAAAAATATAATATTGTATTTATGTGATCGTGCCTATAAAATAGTGTGTTTACGTATACAGAGTGATTAACATAACGTAAGACACTCATTATCTCAGAAAATGTTTATATTTTCCAGAATTCAATTTTTTTTTTAGAACATTTAGGAAATTAGTACCTCTAAAATGTTACATTTCTCTTTAATTTGACAGCGCTATTTTAGCGGTTAAAATCACTACCTAATTTTGATGGCAATGTATTTAAAAAATTACACAAATAGATGGAATATTCGACGAGGGGTGCGTACGTACCTAGTGTGCATCGTTTTTAGTAGTGTTCCGTCACTCTACCCCCGCCTGAACTTAAAATCGGAATATCTCGTCAACGGGTTGACGGTAATACGAAATTTCGACACCGAAATCTATTTTAACTGATACTCCGTCTATTTATGAAAATATTAATACAGGTTGCTATTTGAAAATCAAAAGTAGGTTAGTAGTTGTGTCCCTTGAAATAATGGTGACAAAAAATAACTGCAATTTACCATTTTAGAGCTGCTTATTTCTTAAATGGTCTAAAAAAAAACAAATTCCAGCAAAATGTTATTACTTTCCGACACAAAGAATAGGTTATCTTATATCTAATAGGTAATCTTACGTTATGTTTATCACCCTGTATATAGATATACGCATATTTGGATCATGATATTATGCTTTTAATGATAATAATAATATTACCTATTATTATTATTATTATTATTATTACGCAGTATTATAATATTATAATTAAGACTGTTTAAAGATTTATTGAAAAAAAAAAAAAAAAAAAAAAAGTGTACATAAATAATTGTTGTACAGTTTAGGCTAATATTATAATAATATACCACGAATATTTATTATTTATAATTATGATAATTATACATAATAATAATAATAATAATAATAATACGTTCGTTGCAAAGTCAATCGTTAAGTTGAACATTTCTAAGAATCTAATATTATCAGATAGGTAGGTAGGTACCTATTGTACACCGAGAAAATCGATAATACGATTTAGGTAGGCAATGATAAAAGTTGTATCTTGGTAACTTTTATAATGATTTTAAACCAGTGGCGTGACTAGACTCCCAGAGGCCCTAAAGTCATATTATTATACAAACTAATGGAACCCTAACCCGAAAATGTAATCATTACTAAACAATGTTGATTATACATAATCGTAAAATTTGAAAAAAAAAAAAAAAAACGACATTAAACCAATTTTTATTTTTCGTCCTTTGGGCGACCGCATGCTTTTTTGCGACACCATAGTCTCACTAAGCCAACTCACCCACACGGTCCGTCGAAAGTCGTAACGTCAGTTGATTATTATTTTTACGCGACCAGCAAGGGGACGTTAAAAATGTAAACCTCGTAGTTGCGTATGAAAAAAAATACATTCCGTTTACAAATTTAATTGCATTTAATGTCTTATTTAGTATTTCGCGTTTTAATAGGATCCATTACCGGTTTGATGTGCCCATATACTTACTTAACCTAATAATGTGAATATTTTAATTCCACCAATTGTAGTTTTTTTTTTTTCTGCCAAATCATCTCAACTTTGTAGAAACAATGTGTTCCCCCCCCCTTTTAAATACGCATCAACAATAACCACAAATTATCGGTAAATATTATATTCTGTATTTCTGTTCCGAACCAAACTTAAATACAACACTGTCCTAGTGGAATTTAGTATACTCGGTAGATTACAATGATTGCAATCTGATAGGTACTACGTTTTTTTCTAAAAAGTGGGTATTTTGACGATGGGCACCCTTTTTTCCCGTTTGTACTTATCCGAAATCAACAAACGTGATACCATTTTAAAGATTAAGTCCGCATCGTCTTCTAACGAATTATTATTTTAGAACCGCATACCTATGTACAACCCATTAGGAGGTACCTATTTATTCAAAAAATCAAAAGTAAAAATGTTTGAACGCGAATTTTTCGACACGGGTCTACCACATTATAGATTAATAATATTGTGATTTTATCAAAATTATTATTATTTTAAAATAAATTATTCCGATCGACGGGTGATTTTTTTCAAAATGTTGGTTTCTTCGTAAAATCAGTCGTTATCCTCATCTCCGTCAGGGGTCACAGACGTCACGTATTATACACCTGAATAGGTGTCTGAATAGGTACCTACTAATAGAGGTAGGTAGGTATCTCTGTTTCAAAACTCATTTCGGGAAAAACGAGTATCTATCTCGTTAATCTTTCAACCGATCGAATTCACGTAAAAAAATAAAAATATAGACACTACGACAGGCGTTCGAGCAATAACCGGACATAACTATTTCTCATATAATATTATTATTGTTATACTTCCGACAACATGATATTTTTCTAAACGTTCGCAAAATCGGGCCATTTTTTCTTTTTTTCTGACGGAATTTCCTTGTACCCGTAGTGGCAAGGCCGTATCCGAGGGAGGTGGTTCAACTCTTCGCGAAATGTTTCCGCGTTGTATTATGTCGTGGACAAATAATTATTCTCAATCAATACAATTAGAACACCACAGTGTTTAATTTACAAACCTCTTCCGAAATTGTTTTCCAGTCACGGTCTTGTATGGCATAGATTATACCTGTTACTCTTTCGTGACAAAAAAATGACACGTTTAAGTCGTCGATTTACGCCTGTCGCGATCGCGTACGTACACGCAGATAAATAAGATAAACAACACGAGTGCTTACCTTAAACATCATTCTATCCGAATAATACTGGAGAGCGGTTCTAATGTTGTTATTCCTTTTTGACAATTATTATTATTATTATTATTATTATTATTATTATTATTATTATTATCATCATTCCATCGTATAGAATTTATAATCGATTATACCTTTACAGTATACTGGTTTTAATAATATTATTAATTATTATTAAACCTGCCGTACAACAATAATAACAATAATAATATTATTATTATTATTATTATTATTATGTAGGTACGAAAAAAAAAAAACTCTATGTAAGATGATTTTCAATTACGCGTTAAAATTATTATACACGATAAAATATTATTACATTATTATTTATAGTTGGGCTATAAATATAGGTACTTAATATACTTACGTGTGTATCACGTTATAAATAATATTGTGTACATAGAGACTAAGGATAATATTTTTATTTTTATTTTTTCTGTTGAACATTTTCTCGATACTTACATTATTACATTATTACATTATTACATTATTACATTATTATTATTATTATTTTTATTCAGTTTACGAGCATTTGTTTTATTATCGTATTGTTATTATTGTGCTGCGCGTGTAAGCGTCATATAATAATATTATAATATTATGTACATATATATATATATTATTAATTACGGTCAATAACTGAAATTGTGTAAATATTTTTATATTGTAAATCTTCCGTATATTGTATCCTCATATTGTAACGATGACCAAGATTATATAAAAAAAAAAAAAAAAAAATGAAATGTCGAACGATGTATATTATCCAAATATATATATATACATATATATATGTAATAATATATAATTATAGTATTTTGAAAATCAATAATAATAACTTGTCGCGTGTTCGTTATTTTGTGTTGTCGGTTCCGTAGTCGTAGCACAAGAATTTCCAGTACGTTCCCAGCGCCGCCAGCGACACGCCTGCCAGGTGTGAAGAGTCTTGCGGCCTACGCAATAAATTGAAAAAAAAAAAAAATAAAATAAAATAAAAAATGTATATAGGTTATATCTGTACGCAATAGCCCCCCTCATTCGTTCACTCTCCAATATCGTCTTAACTTGATTCATCATAAATGTTTGCGTTATATACCTACATTTTAAAATTCGCCTCCCCCTGTTGTCTTGTCCCGGATGCATATAAGCATACCATACATTGCTGGAGACCCATGGGAAATTCGAGAGTGGCTCTTATTGGCTGCATTTACTTTGTGATAATATTTTCAAATTATATGTTTGTTTTTTTTTTTTTTAACTTACTTTTTACAATAAAATATGATTTATCCAACAGCATTTAAAAATGAAATTGTCAAAGAAGACAATGTAAATATTATTTTAAGATGTGATGTAAATTCTTAAGAAGATATCGATATATGGGTTGCTGAGTTTGCTAAACTCAATTATGTACATTAGAACGTACATTCAAGTGTTCCAAAAGAACAGCGAATTATGAGTTCGATAGTATTTTATATTGTATTTAATGAATAATAAATTATTTATGTAATACGAATCTTAACTAAAATAACTTTGAAATTTGGATTTTAACTTTAAGGACTTATGATTTATTATTGTTATTTTACATTATCTGAATTTTAAAAATGTATACAACTTTGACTTGGTTTGATCATCTTAATCCTCTTTCATAAATATAAATATAGACCATAATCACCAATATTTTATTCTTATAATTTTTCATTCATCGAGATCTATAAGTATAAAACATTTTATTGAAAGTTACAATAAAATATAAAACTTTAATATTGGTAAACACATTAGGATTAAATAATATATAAATCGAGTCATCATCAAAAACTGTATTTCCATTGCATTATACATATAGAGTGTTGGAATTGGAATCAGCAGTTGAGTTTAGGAACAGTTAATTCTAGTGGCTGACCGATCTGCTGACATCATTTACTAAGGAATTATATTTTTTCAAGCGTTCAAGTATTCTAAATGTGCAACGAATTATCATAATATAATAACGATGCTGAATAAATCGTATTTTATTGTAAACAAATAAGTTTAGAAAAAAAAAAAAAAACATTTGAAAACATTGAATATTGATTGTTTTATAACGTTAATGCGTTATCACAAACGCAATACAGACAATGACAGCTCTCGAATTTCCCATGGGTCTCCAGCAATGTATGGTATGCTTATATACGTCCCGGATATAACGACGATAATAGCACAACGATAAATCATTGCTAACGAAAAACGATTTTGAGAACAATTCTGTTAAACAACAGATTTTTCAATAAACTTAAATTTAAAATATTATATTAATTTGTAACTACACAATAAATAACAATAATAATCAGTGGTTTTTTCGTTGGGCATTTTTAACGAAGAAAAAAAAAATAATAATAATCGTGAAATTTATTTTTAAAAGCATTTTAATTTAAAATGTATTATTGTACATCCATCATAAAATACCCAGTAACAAATTAATATAATGTTCAATTTATATTTTTCAATCGCTCACATTGTTCGTAATGATTTAACGCTGTGTCGTTAAACACCTAACCTTACCTACGTTTATTAATTAGTTTAAATTATTGACAAATTGATTAAAATTCAGGGGTAGAATCAAAAGAGAATACTTTACTTTTATGAATCTGTAAAGAATCCGTGACTGTGTAATGCCTAAATCAAATTTATTAATAATATGTGAACTAATGATGCAATTATGAAATTGATGAGAGTGGAAATTTATGAAAAAAAAATATCTGGTTTAGTAATGATGCTGGTTTGTATGCATTTTGCTGAATATAATAAACAACATATAATTCAATTAATTTTAAAAATAATATTTTTTATTTCAGAAATTTCTAGAAATGTTTTATTATAGGCGTAAAAATAAGTTTTGCACGCCGTATTTACGCATAAGATAAGCTGGACCAAGGGAATAGCACATCAAAAGGGTTAAATAGAACACAATGGAAAAGTTCGATTTGAAGACGAAATGGGTGAATTATATAATTTATATTAAAATAGAATATAGAGCGAGCGTTGAAGGGAATAACTCCGGTCCCTGGATGAAGACCTAAGCCGGACTAGATAAAACAGATCATGTTTGTTTGAAGATAAAATTCATATATTATAGAAAAGGAAAGCGGATTATAGAAAAGGATGTAAAGCTGAAAACCAAACTAATATATTATCAAACTAATAATAATTACGATAAATTGTTGTTTTTGCGTTGAACATCACCGCAATCGACATTTTTTGTTGTAAACACGACCGAGAGCCATTCGAGTCGAATGAAATCCTCCATGTTTAGCATTCCACATATAGCAACTGCACACAACAATTTAAATTCAAATTTTGATTAAATAAAAGCGTAGGGTGTTTGTTTACGTGATTTGCATATGCCAAATTGTACGTTAAAATAATAATATAATATTTAAAAAGTTGTGTCACTTAAATAAAAAGTGACGCCACCCCCCCCCCCGGTTTTTACTATTTCTCTAACCTCAATGTCATGCAAATTCTGAAATTGATCACACAAATTCGTATTGATTGCATTCTAAATTTCGGAACCAAAAAAAAAAAATTAAAACCTATTAATTTGGGGTGGGGAAGCTAAAAAAACTTAAATATTTTGATTTTTAAGTTATCTAAGATTTTGAGTTTTACTGCAAATTATATAAACAATTAAAGGTATTTATAGTGTACATTATAATGATTATAGCTTAATTTAATCAAATATTAACAAACAATTTGTACTACATAACCATAATTACTAATCTGTACACAATTAATAAATATTTTACTCTATAGCTAATGTTGAAAATTGGATAATGTCAAATTTTTGTTTAGCAAATCTAATGTTGTGCTATAATTTTGTGCTTTCCTCCTACATTTATTTTCATTACCATTCTTATTGCATCCGATTCCTTCTCTCCTCATGGCATGCCTAAACCACTTCGATCTATTTTCTCTCATTTTTCTGCTATCGAAAACATGTCTTTGCTACCTCTAATATACTCAGCAACAGATTAAAATAAAAACAGATTCAAGTGATGCTGTCATGTTGATGTTTATAATTATATTAGTATTTTGTAGTTTAAATATGTACACAATTCAATACATTATAAAGTTTTAAAATTTGAAACTTTATTACTACTTTTAGTCTGCAAACATTATTCTGTAGTTAATTATGGATTATGAATTTTTTTTTCAAAGGCTGAAAATTAATAAAGTTATTTTAGTAAAAAAAAAAAAAACAATAACAGGTACTCCATGTTGTTCTTCTTTCTTTAAACTTTACAATTATCTCACATTCGTATTACAGTATGTGTATTACATATTTATAATTAATTTTATCTCTAATAAAAATTTTATTCGATTTACCTAAATTCGCGTAAACTTTACTAACTAATTTTTACCGGTAAATTCCACATTTCTAACCATGAGTGCAAACAATATCATCATATTGTATCTATATCTATACGAGCACATATACAGACAAAAATTTTGTGTGGGGGTTGAACCTTTTAATGGAGATTTACGTATGCGTGACTGTATCTATATGTACATAATATAATATATTGTATCATATTCTTTATGGTTCATTTATGCGGTTTTTTTTGTTTATTTGTGTGTATCGCTTACTTTGTTCAATAAATAAATCTTTGAATTTTTCAAGCAAATCGGGATCATTAGCGATGTATAGAGTTTCGATAAAAATCATGTTGCATTTGTCAAGTGCTATTTTTTCTACGATCGTCGGAAAAATCGGACTGTTGCATTTTTTCTACACCAGAAAACAATAACATTTAGTAAATAAAACGTGGTGCAGATAATAAACCAACACCATAATATTCACTTTCTTTAACACGTGCAAGTACAACACTTGATGGGTGTGGGCGTATCCAAAAAAATTATCCAATAGTTCCGGTTGGATGCATTCCGGGGTTATTTGGCAAGTGGTGATTGCCTGCCGTAAGCACTCATCCGATATATCACGGAAATATTGATCGCCGTCGGTTAACGAATCCACGTCGAACATAGCGGGCAGTCGGGCGCGTTTGTGTGATTTTCGTACTATTCGTTCGGTGGACATCCAAAGACGGGGGTCGAGAATTTTCCAAGCTGTAAATAATAATGAAAGAAAAACAATTATATAGGTGCCTGGTAAAATGGTACGTACATGGTATAGGATAATAATATGTAAGCGTAAACTGGTGGTCGACTGACAAATAATTTGTGGGCACGTGAGAAAGAAAAATTGATACCTATTCCCACGGGCTAAATATGTTCATGGATAAATCATTACAAAACGAAATACGATTCCGAGTGAGGAGTTTGATTAAACATTTTTTTCATCAATAAAAGCAACTTATGATACTTGTTCCAAATTTTCGAGGGTGTTTTAACGTGTACATCGAAAACCTAGAAAATGTCAAGTAACTCAAAAAGATGGGCAAATATTTTGGAAATTATATCACGTTTGGAAAACTATGCTAACTTAAGTAGCCAAAATAAAACTTAAGGTGCCAAATTTTTAAAATATTTAAACAAATTATTGTCACTGTAAAATAAGATTGACACTAGATAAATTAATCTAAAATTATTTTCATTACGATCCGATGGACAGATAATGAGATTAAGAGTATTCAATAAAATAAATAATACTATGTTGTCCTCAATTTGAATACAGAATAACTATGTAGGTACTAGGTATAGCATGGTATAACAATTCTTATAAACGCAATGCACACCTATTGTTATTATTGTTATTTGTCAACAATTTAAAATAAATAAGAATTATGCCTAATTCGTTTTCTAACCAAATATTTGACTATTCATATAGACTCTATATTATAAAGAAAATATAAAAAATTAAAAACCTCAAAAACGGAAACATTAATAAACGTTGACATTTTTCTTACTTGTATCCAAATCTGGTATATTGTTCTCATAAAATTTCTTGTATAGTTCATCGACCATTGCGGATAGCCTGGATTTTCGGTTAAAATCACTAAAATAATTAAATTGAGAACGATTGCCGCATGACATAAACTGACCTGCATTAAATTACACGAATTTTGCATTAGTTTATGTAAAACATAGTGTCGCATGCGTTAAATTGAAATTACAGATTGGCAGATTCTCATTAATACGTAGTAACACTATAGTTTCTAATATAAGGATAAACAAGTAAATATTGTATTTTCGTTTCCATGTACAAGTTTAAAAATAAAGTTATAAACCTTGTTTGTTCTATTTTGTTGTAAAGTCAAATCTTTGTTTTTACTGTAATATTTCTTTGTTATTAAAAATAAACATGGTTTTTTACAATGAGTTGCTGTCTGTTAAATTGATTATGAATATTTTTTCAAACGAATAAATTATTTCAATAGGTTTTGGACCCCGGCATGTATTTTATAAAAAACGTACGAAAGTTTTTTTTTTACTATTAGCAACACATAATGGAATAAGTAATCGCAATCAAATTATTGACTTATCAGGCTAATTAACCTAAATATAAAAACATTTTGAAGTATTGAGATGTAGTCAAGTATAATTGAGAGATTGAAATGCCCTGTATGTCAAGGTTGCTGAAAAGGAAACTCTCCAAGCAGGTCTAAGTTCGTTTCGAGTTTTGTGATAAAACTGAAGAACTGATATTGAAAGATTTGAAAGATGTATGGTACGTCCCAAGTATTACAAACATTTTTTTTTTCGTTTTGGCTGTTGAAATCTGATGGAAAAACAGTACTATTTGAAGTTCATGAAGAAAATGGTTTATTGTACAAAGCAACGTTACAGCCAGTAGTTCCTGAGGAGAGGACTGAAATAAATTGCAAACAAGTTAATGTTGCAGGTGTGTCACGAAAAATGGAGACATTAAGTCAGAAGTCATATAAAAAAAGATGCTTGAAAAGGAAAAAGGTAGATAGGGAGATTAGTGAACCATGCGTGTATGGAAAAGCACATCTGCCATTTGGTACCAGTAAAATGTATCAAAAACCAACGAGTTGGTATCGACTAGTTTTTATGTCTATACATGTAACTGATACTTAGCAGATCCTAAACAAATGATTGGATACCTAGTTGAAATTTAAGTACACCATATAATTACGTATTACTTAAATAAAAATTCATTAAAATTAGTTATATCTTCCATGCCCATTGATTATTCTGACTATTTTTAGTAGTGTTATCAATCATTTTATGCCGGTGTCAGTTGTTACTGACTGTCGTTGCACAATAAGTTCAGGGAGAAATTCTATTAAATTAAGTCTAGAATTGTAGTAAAAAAATGTATAGGTTTTTATATAACATATCAAAATATTTCTTTCACTATTTAGGTAATAATTGTATAAAACAATTTGACGTGTAGTTGCTCACAACTCAATAGCTCATGACTCGCCCGAAACGGCATTGTCAGTTATATATCCTTATTGGATCCCTTATCGAAAAGCGCTTATAACGCACTTTTTGGCAATAGCATTAGCATGTTGTAAAATTAGACGATAGCGTTCCCACGATAAGGTCTCGCGCGTTGAGTCATTGTTTCGTTGATTTTGGCATACGTTGCCCTTTGTGTCGTATCGATAATACCTATAAGTACTTATTATCATGTTTATTAAATATGATTGTATTACGGCGGTGGTCCTACGTAATTGTGCAACTATTATTTCGACTAGTCCGATTGCGTGTATTCCGCACGAGCAAATACATGAGAAGGTTTTCCTAAATTACAACCGAAACCTAAATTTCGCCCTCAACCGCGTGTTTGATAACAAGTTCCCAGGTCGTTGGGAAAATATATAGAAGAAATAAGATGAATTTGTACGTTGTGTGCATGGTCAGTTCGCCAAGTAGGATATACAGTAATATCTATCCAATTTGAATACAAATTAAAATAATTTATGATACAAATAATTAAGAATCGTGATAAATGTCTAAGTTTCTTTATACTACTTTATTAGTACCAAGGACGAATTTGAGGGGCGGCGACCTAGCGATCTTCCCTCCCCTTGGAATTTTTTTCTCACCTTCACCGGCGGCTTAGTAGTATACATCAGGCGAATACTAAATATTTGAAGGTTTGCAGCTAATTTAACGTTTATGAGATTAGGAAATTTATTTTGAATGATTACAATATCTAATTACAGATATATACTGAATACTTACTCGTATATTTATATATATATCTGTATTATCTTTATGATATATCTGTGTATCCAATTGATTTTTATCATATTATCTTATCATTTGAAATAATATTAGTAATATACACCACTGTATCCAAATGACATATTTAACACGGTTAAAAAAACATTGGTAATTGTGTACATCGGTAAAATTGATAATCATCCTATTATAGTTATTTGATATTATCAATATCGCTATTCAACTATATTGCTTACACCATTTCCACTGCTAATAATGCAAAAATCAACCATTCTTAATGAACTAGTCGCTTAAACTTTTTTTATCATTGATAAAGCTGATTTTTCTGAATTTTTTGAAAACAAAAAGTCAATTTGGCCAAAAGTGTCACTTATGCCTTTTTGTCTATTAAGGCTAGATATTATGTAGCTAACTAATAATCATATACTTTAATACTTTAAATAGATACATGCTATAAGTACATTAATAACATGGATAAGATCACGCATGGAGCAAAATATATAGACTGGCTTAACATTACTTTGTGTGCATAGGGATATAAAAGTATTTGTTGAAAAAATCAAAGATACATTTGCGATTGAAAAAACATAACATTAAAGTTATTATTATAAATTGTGTTTACATAGGGGTGCGTAAAATATTGGAAAATATTTTGTCGGAACCGTTTTTTTTCGGAATAATGTTTTGTAGGAACCACAGTTTGTTGAACTGGGTAGGAACCGCAGTTTGTTGAAAACGTACTTTGTTAGAACCGTATTTTGTCGAAAAAAAAAGTATTCGTCAGAATGTATTTAGTCGGAAAAGTATTTTGTTGGAACCGTATTTTGTCGGAAAATAATTTTTACCCAACGACGATAACACGCAGTCACGGAGTGCTTATAATGAAATTATACTGAACAGTTCCGACAAAATACTTTCCGAGGAATTATTTTTCCGAAAAAATACGGTTCCAATGAAATATTTTCCAACGTAATATTTTTCCAACCAAATACTTTCCAACAAATTATATCCCTTCTTTATTATAATATATATTATGTTGTTTAACTATGTTACAGTTATGTAAGCATAAATAATATTTTTTAATTATACTTGTTTAAATATATTTCACTTTTTTCAATTGAATGATATTTTGAATTTATAGTTATAACAATTTATTATGTAGGTGTAACTTATTGTTTTAGTATCATTTAGTTACCATAAATTAATATGTTAGTAAGTATATACGAAGACAATAATAAAAGTATGTGATAATAGAAATTTACACATCCCCCACCCTGCCATTCATGGTTAAAGATTTCTTGAATTATACATATGATATCAATTTGCCCTCCCCCTTAAATATCCTTCAGATCCGTCCCTGATTAGTACACTTTAAAGTTTAAAGGGTAATTGTTATTTCCCCAAGTATGATAGTTTTATATTTTATCCAATAATATATTCATCATTCATTAATATAAATTAATTTATAATACATCGTTTTCAATTTTTGTAATCCTACCTTTATATGTTATATTTAAAATATTTATATGGAAAAAAAAAAAAATAATAATTAGAACTGCTGAAGCTACGTGTATCCATTCGAATTTGCTGTTACTCGGTAATGTAAAATTTACAATTACATAGTATAATAATTAATAATTTATTAAAACATAATTTAAATTTCGCGTTAGAGTACAAATTATCAACGGAAAACGGTAGAATATGATTAAACCAAAATATATAACGTCAACAGTATAATGGCACGCCTTACCTTTCATAATGGACACCCCGAGCATTAAATTCAAGTCCACGTTGTTATCAACGCCAGAACTTAAATAACACTGTATCGTCGATTCGATTAGATCGATTATACGGGTTTCCGCGTTTCGAATTACGTTTAATTCGTCGCCAAAATCTGCGGCTTTTCCATTAACAGCGGTAAAAAACAGCATCAATGGCAGATAAACGACGACGGTGGCGTATAGCATCATGATGGTCGTGCAATGAAGGTACGGATGAAAATGAAAATAATGTGGTTTTGGGTTTTTTATTGTTGGTTTGGTTTTTTTTGTTTTTTTTTTTTTTTTGTCTGTGAAAGTGGATTTGATTGAAATTAATCGCGGTGTTTTCGGAGCAATGACAAAATTGGTCTCTGTATTATAGCAGTCAAGAGTTTATTTTTCTCAATATTCTAAACTCTCGCCGAGTAGCCGCAAGTACTCGCCGCAGGACGGGATAATCTATTCCATTCTCCGTATGTTTGGAATACAAATAGATACTTTCCATAGCATAGCTCTTTTTTTTTTTAATTTAGATAAAAAAACCGTCGCAGAATGAATTTTTAAACGTGATGTTTATATTAATAAACATTCATCTGCGACAGCCACAAACCCCAGTATATAGCTTTCGGTTTAAGATGGAGATAAATATGCACTTATACTTATCTACAGTTGTGAAATAAAGCTGTAATAAAAAATTAATTATCAGCTATAGCATTGATATATTACACGTTAAAATAGCTACGCTTTTTTTTTTTAAATAACATTCTGAGTGTGACAATGAAGCTATATGTTTACAATTTTACAAAGATGTGTTTATTTTTTTTAGTAAAACGCTTTAATAGTCATTGTCGAATTTTCCAATATGTTCATGTCGTGTCATAAAGATACCAATTGTTTAGCAGATAGTACATTATTTGAAAATTCTTTAGGGAAAATGGATGATAATCTGACCACAGATTATTAACAGTGAAATGAAAACCACTGATTTTGTTTGAAACATTTATCTAGATTCTCAACAGATTATCCAAACAATTGAAAACAATTGCCAATAACTGAAAATTTCTTTTGTTGCATTTTGGATCTTGACTATACGAGGGGGAAAAAAATCCAACATCTTACCAGATCACCAAGCTACACATAATCATTGTATTCATTTATGGTTGCTTTCAGTATACTAACTGAATTAGTCCAGTTTAAGATATATTATAGTGCCCGTAGGCTATGAACAAATAAGTGCCCCTTTTAAATTCGGAGCGTAGCGCAAGGAACGTATTGGTTTTTTTAATTTTTTTTTATACTGTGATCAACTGTTCTATCAGAAATCTAGCTCTGATGTATCAAGTGTAGCATCTTTTTTGTAGAGAAATTTTATGTAGTTGGTACTTAGTAGTAAGAGGTAACTTTTTGATTTCCTAAGCAGTTTCATAATAATTGGAGAAAAACTAGAATAGAATGTAGGAAAAACGGCCAGTTTTACGAAAATAGTTCTTTAATTATTTCAAATAATGTGTTCTTAATATAACTCAGTTTAAATATTCGTAGAAACTTGAAATTTTGACAGAAAACTAATATTTGTTTTTTCTAAACGTGATCAAATTTTTAAAATATTTGCGCAACTTTTGAACTATTTATAGACATTTTAATTTTGTGAATTTGTTCATACTTTTATTCGGTAGATACTGTGTGAATAAAATTGTTCAACTAAACAAAAATGCATGCAAATTTACCAGGAGGTTCATTATAAGCCATAAATTGAGTTTAATGTAGAATATTTTTTTATAGGAATTTTAATATCAAATTTTGACGAAAATCTTAAATACGATAATCTTATAGTCTTTTTAAAACACACATAACTGAACTTCGCCTTTACATTACCAATGGTTTATCGTTGCTTACAAATATAACTTAAATTCCCATCTATATCCTACCTTCTCAACTTCTCACCTACAATAGTAGACCATCCGTAATGCAACGTATTTTTTCATTCAAGTCTTATTTTCACAAATGTGTGTTCAGAGTAATAAATAAGATAGAGATAATTTTGGGCTAATATTAAATGTAAATTCTTGTGGAAGGAGGAATATCTATTTTTATATTTCCTTTGAATCTTTTTAAATTTTTAAACTTTAATTATATTTTTGCACCACACAACGCACAATATCAATAGAAGAAATACAATCTGTTGCTGTTACGTTACTTTTTTATTTTTGAACAAACTTAAAATTACAATTTTATTGAATTTATTTTTCTGAAAATGTTGTTTTCTGAAAATGATGTTTCAACTTTTTATTTACAGTAAATTCGTGATTTTTAATAATTTTTTAAAGTTCAAAAAAAAATACCTATAATTATGCAGAAGGCTGTAATCGCATTCCATAATTCTCTATTATTATTATTGCTATTATTATGGTTAATTGACTGTACACTTTCTTTTGTGTATTTTAAAACATATTTAAAATTTACTGAAAATAAAAGCTGAAACGTCAACATTTTCAAAAAAAAAACTCTATACATTTTTTTAAAAAATAATAAAATAAAAAGTTATTTTTTTTTTACCAAAAAGATAAAACAATTAATTTAAACATATATATTTGTAGTCCTTATCCCTGTGAGTAACACAAAACAAATTTAATTTATTTATCTTTATTATCTCCGAAGATATTCAAATGGACATTTCCAAAATACATACCTATCTAGATTATTGATGGTAAATTTATCAACCTGAATTAAAGCACTGATTGTTGATTTTCCTGCCTGAAAATTAAATTGATCATTTGAACAAATTTGTTCTTAACTAAAAAATCATACAAATCTTACACACAAATCATTTCTCAAAAATTGTGCAAGTAGATAGAGAAAATGAAATAGGGTTGTAGTAAATTACTATAGCAAGATCATAGCGAGATAATTTAGCAAAATACAAATTAAAATTAAAGAATTGTATTATAAAGATTTACATACTCTTGCTATCAGAATATGAAAAAGAAAAAAAGGCTTATTGAAGGCCCGGAATAATGACTGCACAGGGCTTCGATAATTCCCAAGTCGGTTCTGCTATAGATGTAACTAAATTTTTAAATTATTTTGGCTATTTTATTTATGTATTATAAGAATTAAAAATATTAAAAATTTTTTTTTGTTTTATTTAGTTTTATAAGAATACAATTTGTTTTGGTTTCCTAAAAATGTTCAAAAATTTTTTATAATATTCGTAGTAAGTATTGTGCCTATCCTTTCGCATACTGTTTTCTGATTAATGTGTATAGAGCTCTTTTTTTAGCTCTATTCTAGTATTCAATAATCGTACCCAGTTTATTATTTTTAATTAAAAATTAATAAAATTTTCAATAATTTAATTTTACCAAAACACGATTAATCGAACTTTGCTGAAAATCTTCGTTAACAATGATTTATCATTGCATACAGATATATATGTATAATACTCTATATCTATATTCTACCGTTTTTAGTATTATAATATCATTTAAATATTTAATAAGTAGTAAAATGTCCAAATAAACCTTGGAAATATATTTTATTTATTTAATCGTTAAACACAATCTGTAGGTATTATATTTCAATATCTCATTAAACGATTTTTCAATACACTGGGTTCAACAGGTTCTCACGGTTTGCGCATTTTACATTTTTGTCAAATATTTTAATTACGAATACTTTCCGAGATAATAAGACATCAATATTATCCTTGGGATTTCTTTGTGTTATTTTTACAATGAACATATATGTAGATTTGTTGGTATTCCTCTGAAAACATTGGAAAATTAGAATAAAACTGGTAGAAGTACACAGGACTCCGACCAGTCGAGTGTAAGCCATTAGCTATAATTTCTTGTTTGTTCATATTGTCGAACCAACTATATGCCACCAAAATCTTCACTACTTAGCTACGGATTTCGAGAGTGAATGTTGTGTTTGTTTCTTTTTTTATTTCATCGTGTGTATTACGTTGTTTACTACAGGACTATAGGTAACGAAAATAATATTTAAAAATAAAATAATATTCCATTCGGTCATCCGCTCAAGAGCAAAAGTATGTAATTTAGGTATTTTACCTATTTAACTAAAATATCTAGCCACGTGCGAACACCTATGCTAATATTTAGAACATACGGACCTTATATATAGTAAACAAATTTGGAGTAAGTTTAATTTGTTTTTGTTTTTAATAAACTATAATAAACTCGTGGTTTATTATTACAAACTAAAAACATATTTTTCTTTTTTGAAAGAAATTCGAAAAAAGACACAGCGTTGTATTATAAAATATTATTATTTTTATTTATAAAATCTGTCTGCTTATTTAAGAGCACACATCAGTGTCACACATCGTTTTTAAACCTGAAAACCGTGTCCTAATATGTCCTAATCCTATTTATCTCGAACTAAGTATGATTTAGCACCGGATAAAAAAACTTTATGATGAAAATTAAAGAACACAAATATAACTAGGAAAACGCATATTCATTTTATAGTTAAATATTAATTTACAAAAGAATTATTGCTTCTAATTTCTATAGTGAAGGTTTTATTATTATGCGTTTAAAAAAAAAAAAAAGTCTGTTTCTATAAATAACTTATGTACCAGAAATCTTACTCCAATCATTAAATGTAACATTTTTTTAAAAAACATTTTTTATTAGTTAGTTTAACAAGATCATTTTAGATTTTGAGTGAAGTGAAGAAAGCTTATGGTTTTACAAATATATTTTTTTTTTTATTTGTGGACAACTTTTCTACCAGAAATTTTGCTCTGAATTTTAAGTGTAGCACCTTTTCTGAAAGGAATGGTTTACGAAATGTATTTTATTCAAAAAAGTTTTTTTGTTGTGATTCAGTTAAAAATATTCGTAAATATTTGAAATTTGAACACAAAACATATATTTGCCTTTTTTAGACGTGGTAAAAATTGTATAAAACATTTTAGCCATTTTGGGCTATTTATTGAAATTTTGATTTTGCTAGTTTTTATGTAATTTTTTTTCACTAGGGTCAAGGGGAGGCGACAGCGCTCCCTGGAATTTTGTTTGCTCTTCTTGTTAAATATAGGTAAATTAAAAATGTATTAAATAATCAAATAAATTTGACTAGTCTTAGTAAAAGGGTAGATAAGCAAAAAAAAAAAAAATCCATAACTATAATTTTAGTAACGCCTCCTTCTTCCCTAGACAAATTGTCTAGATTTAACACTGTCTGTGAATAAAATTGTTAGACTAAACAGAAATGAGTGAAAATTTAATAGGAAGTTTATTATAATTTATAAGTTTTATTTTGTGTTAAAAAAAAATTGATTTAATGTCGAATTTTTTTAAGAATTTGAATATTGAATTTTGACGAAAATCGTAAATACCATATCCAAAACACGTACAACTGAACTTCGCTGAGAATTGTTTTTCGTTAGCAATGATTAATCGCTGTGTACAGATATACAATATATTTTCCTCTATATCCTACCTTCCCAACATCTCTTCTACAACAGAGACCTACTCTTTGTGCAAAGTTTATCCGTATTTTTTTTAAATTGTAAATAAAAAAATCTTTAAAAAAAATTACTTCATAACTGAGGAGTATAAAACAATACTTTTATGACTTTCTCTAAAATCCCTAGAAATTAGCAGCAAATAATATTGATCGGTGACTTATCTCACAAATTGTGTTTGCAAAATGTGTACATTTTATTAAATAAATAGATACATAGATAATAATTAATAACATATTATTTATAAATACCTAACTAAAATAATAATTATAATAATAGTATTTATATTAATTATATTATAATATTACTGTAAATATTATATTTTAACATTATGCATTTTCAGAACAACATGATGTCTCAACATAATCACTCAGATTATACAATTTGTTGGTTTCGTTTGACTGGAACAGAGTTGATTGTTTATACAGTTATTTCTTTCCTGGCGGTATTAATAAGCTATGACAGATGGAAACGCAGGCGCTTTGTATTATTGGCTGACAAACTAAACGGTCCAAAGGATTATCCCATTATAGGTTCAGCGTTGGATTTTATTGGAACGCCCAAACGTAAGAGAACTAATGATACACCTACCGTTGAAAATACTTAATAGTACTTAATAATAGCACTGGTTTTTGTCCTGTTTGCTTAATACTCACATAAGTGCGGTCAACTATATTCTTATTTTTGGTCCTGCATAATATTCCCTTATTTATTAGTTTGTCACTTGTTCCCCATATCTACTCCATTTGTCCATCACTTCCCTAATTATTTCTCACCACCCTTTATTTTGCCTACCTTTATTCCGGCTTCCACATAAACAGCCGCCGAAATTTACCCCACGCATTTTTAGTTAACGACCCCCTCCTCATTCCCTCATTGAAATTATTTTCCGTTCATGGCTTTAACCATCTCATTTTTCCTTTTATACCCGCTATTCTTTGACTATCTATCTCTTGTTTATACTATATTCCTAATCCTACACAACCTAGTCGACCCACTGGCCACCCTTTTATTCTTGAGTGTACATTTTATCACACAACACTCCTGTAGCTTCCGTTAACTTCATCCGGCATCCCCCAAAAACCACCTACACCCCATACAATGTATCTATTCTCTTACTCCACTGAACTACAGGTATACGAACTCTTGGACTCGATTTATAATTTTACCTACACATACATTATGAAACCCGTGTTTTCTTTTTATTATGAATAAATTAGTATTAAGTTATTACTATAATAACTTACAAATGTATTATTTGATCATCAGAGATTTACGAACATTTTACAAAATTACGAGACAAATACAATCATGATCTGTTTAAAGTATGGTTGGGTTCTTCTTTATATGTCGTCATAAGGAAGCCAGAAGATATTCAAGTAAGTATTTTGTCTTATATTTTTGTGTTATACTAAATTTAATATCATAAAAACAAAATTATATGAGACACGTTCGGTGAAATTGTCATAGGTAGGTACATAATATGTTTAAACGTGTATTTTATTTGTTGGTTATGGACCAGTGCCACAACTGTTGGGTGTGAAAGATGTACATTGCACATAGCCACAAAGCGATGGAACTATGTATACGTATAAGCTATTTATATTGTACTTATAGACCCCCAAAATCGGTATGTTACAATTAATTGTATAGGTGTGATTGAAAGAAATTTTAATAGAAATATTTTAATGAAGAAAATAATTACCTGCAAGCTTAATAATAATTTTTGTAAAAATGCTAAAAGCATCTAATATTATCTAATAATATTTACTTTTAGACACAAATTTTTTTGAATTGTGATTTCGTCGATTTCGGGCTTCGAATAATAGAAAAAGCACTGATTAAATATTCAATATAACTTGTCTGTTAAAAACTTGTTTATTTTTGTTCTGATTTTCAAATATAGTTATTAGTTGTTCTAAAAGAAAATATTATTTAGTTGGTGCAGTGATGAAGTTACTATTTAATTTTCTTTTGTAATTTTTTAATATTTGGGGGAAAGAAAATATAGGGAAAACGGAAAAAAAAAAATTATACAGTAACGGTTCCCGTATTTTTTATATTTTTTTTTGTTGTGATTCAGTTAAAAATAATCGTAGAGACCATATTTCCCTTTTTAGGACGTAGTACAATTTTCAAAATATTCTGTAATTTTTTGAATTATTTATAGACATATAAAATTGTCGATTTTTCATTTGCTTTTGTATAGAAAATATGATATAGATATTGTCCGAGAAATTTCAAGCAAAAATCCTTGAAAATTTAACATGAGGTTACCATCATATATGTTTTATTTTTGGCTCATTAAAAAAGTAAATGATATAGGTAAAATATACGTAAATGCCTATTTAAAAATTTGACGCATAGTTCATCGTAATTCATACTTAATTTCATATTTAAAAAGTGAGAATAACATTAACACAATACCAGGGGTACCTATCTATTGAGGAGCTACTCTCTCCCATAATATAAATAAGTATCTATCGGCATTTAGATCCCTATTCACAATAGGTTTTTAAAAATGAATATAAGCGTCATGCCTCAAATTATAATAGTCACACACCAGTCTCATAGTTTTTAATCGTATCATTGGTTATTGTAATTATTTTAGGTAAAAGATTTGATGTTTGTATACACATAACATTACCTACGTCAGTAATCAACACTAGATAGATTTGTGCTCAGTTAGCGTTAATCGGTGGTTAAATTTTATGCAAGCCGACCAAATTCTATCTAATTAACTCACAAGCCACGGTTAGCGCTAATCCTCCACATTTTAAGAATCAGACTCAAAGTAAAATAGGAACATAGAATTATATATGAGAGTTAGGTTAGGTATATTGTATAGGGTTAGAATTTGTAAAATATTTTTGAGATGTTCTAATAAGAGAATTGATATTCTATAAATTATACCTAATTTGAGTTAACTAATATTATTTGATTTCGTACCTAAAAGAAAAAACCATAATTTAAAATACTGAATTTAGTTTAAAACTGTATTTGTTTCAGATTATCTTAAATAGTTCGAATGCTTTAAAAAAGGGCTTTATATATAAGTTTCTTGGTAAAGTTTTGGGCAAAGGCTTAATCATTGCTCCAGGTACGTAGGAATCTATATTTACATTTTCGACAGTATCTATACATTCGTATAGATCCCATATTATTTTGTGTTTAATGTTTTTAACTTACGAGTTACTGATTTTAAGTGTAACTATATGACGTATGATATATTATATACTTTATAGAATTTACAATATACATTATATTTACAATTTTATTAACGTTCATAACTTATTCCATCAATTCATATGTTAAAAACATAGCAAATAACAGCATAATATAATCAATTGTACTCGTATATAATAATTTATAAGTAGATAATAGTTTACCAGTGGCAGTGACGTATTTGACTTAGTTTTATGGGAGGTGGGTGGGGCGACACTAAAATTATAATACACAAGCTTATATTCTACCCTATCTATCGTTTTTACCCTATTTATAGTGTAATAACTACACAAATTAATTGATAGGGAGGCGACCGCCCCCATCGCCTCACCCTAAAATATGTCAATGACCAGAGGTGTTTTTGTTTTCGGCCTCTTTTTCTATCTTCTAAGAGATCTTTTATAGCTCAATGTATGAACTATATTTTAATCTAAACTTATATAACCAACATTTAAGAGAAGTTCTAGTTTTTCAACTTTTTAATATACTATTGTCATAGAAAATAGTTATATAATTGACATAATTTTATGAGAACTAAACATTATGTAGATATAATGTATATTGTACAACCAATATTACATTTTATAAATGTAATTATCATTTTGGTAAACATGTTTTTAATTATTACAGTAAGCAGATGGAAAATACACCGCCGTTTAATAAGCCCTTTGTTTAAGTCCGTAAATTTAAAGGAACATTATTTCCCTGTATTTATGGAGAAATCTAAAATTCTCATTCAGAATCTACATAAGGAAGTAGGTAAAACACAGCCGTTTGATATTTCGGAGTATGTATCAAATATTACTCTTAGTACTGTTTGTCGTAAGTATTTGAAATTTGAATACTTAAATATTACCAACTGCAGTGTAATTTTATTTATAACTTTTGAAATAGTGATTGAGCAATTTTCTCGGAGAATTAAAATGAATTTGATTTTTGGTTTTTTGTTTTATTTTTTTTAAAGCATTATGACAATTTAAAAATTTATTTGAACACTAGTTCCAAATTATTACATCTATTTCTAATACATTAAAAGTTTATTACCGTTTGATTTTCAAATGGCAACCCTCGTTTCAATACATATTTAAAAAAAGACGGACATACTTCGCACGATGACCACAGCTGTTGGTGAGAAGTTGGGATGTTAGGATATAGAAGAGAAATTAATTTGTATCTTTCAGCAACAATAAACCATTGCTATACTAAAAAGGATTCTGAGTGGAGTTCAGTTGATAGTGATGCTTTGTCAACAATATATAAATATATGTCATATTATGGTCAAATTAAATAGGAATCATATATTTTCTTTAATATTGTATCGGTGTTCCCGGTTTTTCTACGTTTTTCCCGGTTTTTTTCCTGGCTTTTCACAAAATTCCATTACAGAAAAGGGTCTACGTCATATACATTGGAGTAAATTTTCTGGTAGAAGAAGTGTTCACATAAAAAAAAAACAATAATAATAATAAATAAACATCTTTGTAAAATCAAACATTCTTCGCTACACTCAGAATCTTAAATGTATATGCATAACATTAAATCGAATTTACCGTTTTATATAAGTTATTAAAGATTAAAATTTAGACTAGAGGAATAGCCGAATAAGGAAGAGTGATAATAATCATTTTTAGATGATAGCCTTTTCTTACTCTTCGATCTAGATTTTAAACTGTTATAACTTGTAAGATATAAATGGTAAACTCGACATTAATTTTATGCATATCAAACGTTTAGAAAAATATCCTCTAATAGAATAAGAGTAAAACTTTGAAAACTTCGGAGTAAATAAGATCATTAAACAATTATATAACGATTAATGACTGGAAAAAACCAAAATTACGAATTTACGAATTTACTTAAATAAATTCTTTGTACCAAGTGATCCATTTAAGTAGGTATCCCGGAAAGTATTACATTTTTCGGGAATTTATTTTCTAGAACATTAAAGAAATAAGCTGTTCTATAATTTTATATTTATGTTATTTTTTGTCACCCTTATTTTCGGGGGTAAAACCACTACATAATTTTGATTTGGCAACCTATAATTAAAAAGTTCATAAATTGACGGAGTATTAGATAAAATAAATTTTAGTGTTGAAATTGTTGATTCCCGTTAATCCGTTGACGAGATATTTCACTTTCAATAATTTTTTTGGAGAAGAGTAGCGGAGTGTCATTTATGTGGCGGTACGGCGTGCGACGTGTTATTAATGCACCACTACAACTCTCCTCCAACTTATAATTAAAAGTGGAATATCTCGTCAATGGCTAGACAAAAATAAAAAATGTCAACACTCAAATTTATTTTGACTAATACCCCCAAAAATAAGGGTGACAAAAAAAAAGCATTAATATAAAATTGTAGAGCTGGTTGTTTCTTAAATATTCTATAAAACATATTCCGAAAAAAGTGAATACTTTCCGAGATAATGTGTGTACCCATTTAAATCGATCACCCGGTACGTAATTGCTTGATTGTGATCATAAGCGTGTGCGGTGGCTCTCGAAAAGGTAGGCAACAATATTTAAAATCAAACCTTACACACAAATAATCTAAATAGTTTTGGAGAGGGCGTAAGTCCCCATTGCATTGATTTTGTTTACTTAGTATTTAGTAGATGAGAAATTTTTTAGAAGGACTTAACTGAGTTTTCGGGGGTAGGATATTCTTTAAATTCCCCTCCTCTACTTGCGAAAAATCAAGAAAACAATAGGGTTTAATATTTAAAAACAAATATATAACCAACCTTTTTTTTAGATTTTAAACGAAGGTTGGATTGTATTGGTTTTATAATGATGTTTATTTTATTTTTATTTTTTAATCTGTGAATAACTTTTCTACTAGAAATTTTGCTTCGATTTTCAAGTGTAGCATTTTTTCTGAAAGGAAATCTGACTGTAGCAATACTTTAAGCAGGCGATTTTTTGATTCTCCTGGGAGTTATTATAATAAATGGGAGAAACAGGGAAAAAACTAAGGAAAAACGGTAAAATTTCCGAAATATATTACTTTCAAATCGTAAATATTACGGCCTTTCAAAACATGTATAATCGAGCTCCACTTAGACTCGTTTTTCGTTAGCAATGATAAATCTTTACGTACAAAAATATATTAATTTCCCCCTCTATCTTCCCAATTTCTCATCTACAACATTAGCCTATCCATCTTGCGAAGGATGTCCGTTTGTTTTTTCAAAATACTTTTGCGGAAAATCTCGCAGTTGCCTCTTCTGCCTCTCCCGTATGCACGCTTATGATTATTACGAAAATAATCAACATTTATATGTATGCACATATAATTGTATTATTATTTTGATTTTATTTATAGAAACTACAATGGACTACAATCTTGATATTCAGTCAGACATAGGTTCTGAATTTATGATAAATGGGACAAAGTAAACCATTAAATGTTTTAAGAAATATGTTAATATGTAAATAAAATTATATAATTTCAGAGCATTAGAATTGATGTCTAACAGGGCACTCACCGTTTGGCTATACCCTGATATTATTTATTTCATGTACTGCAAAATTTTTGGACTAGAAAATGCTTATAAATTAACAAAAAAACTACCAAGACTTGTATGTTTAGAAGAAATTAAATTATGAACTTTATGCTAAAATATTATAAATGTATTATTTAATATTTGAATCTTTTTAGATGACTGAAAAAAAAAAAAATGAATATGCACACAACGCAATAGACAAAAATACAATTGAAACATCTGAAAATGATGATAAAAGTAAGTGATTATAGTTAGCTATCTACTGAATATTAATTAAAGATTAGTGTAGAGAGAGTGGTTTTATCTAAAATAAAAATGTATGTTAAAATTCTAACTATTTAATGTACACCTTTACATTAACAACTCTATTAGATTCACTTTTTTTTAAATAGACAAAAAATTAGAAAAAATTTAGATTAATCTCTTAGTAGATGATTTACGTGAAAATTGGTTGAGAAATGGGAAAATAAAAAGTCTAAAATTTAGACTGTTCTTTATTTTTGAGGGCATTTATACAAACAAAAATTGTATGAATTATTTTCGATATTTTAGAATTTTTTCTCTAGATCTAAAAGCCAGACATGAACCCATTTTAAATTTTAGATAACAATAATAATGACAGTTTTACTGTAAGAATAAAAATAGTCGTTTCCTACAAAATGCTAAAATCTATGAAAAAATAAAAGCGAATTGCGTCTGCTTCCGTTTCGTACAATTCGAACACTTTACCAAGGTCATATTATATATTTTCTCGAATGAAAAATGAATCATTTAATTTCTTGCTAATAATTAGAGTTACTTATTTTTAAATTTTTAAACTGTCTTACGGTGATTTTGATTAGAAAGGTAGTAATTAATATTGATGGTAGTCATAGGCGCAATTAGGGTAGGGGGGTTGAAGGATCTTTAGTACCCTCAAGTTTAAAATTAGCATCCCAATAAATACCCAATAGGCTGCTAACTAGTATAAACTAAATATTTTATCTATGTGTATTTTATAATTAATAAGCAGAACAAAATACAAAATATCTACTGAACATGTACAAGTATATAAAGAAAAGTTAAAAAAGTTTGATACATTTTTATATAAACAATTTTAAAATAAAATATGAATAATGTATTATAGACAAGGGTATTACCTCTGTGGGTCTGTGCTGTGTCTATAATTTTACCGAAATAAACCAAAATTAGTGGTTTGATTGCGCTTATGTTTGTAGTGTTGATATATTCAAATAAATATTGAACTATATTATGAAACCACCATCAACTCGTTTACAATTTATATAGGTGTAACTTTTAAGTTTTAGATCACATTTACCTCATGCTCCATGTCAATATTAGGCAGAATATCATAGATACCTACGTGCCTACTATAATTTCATATGTATTAAGTACCTATTGGTTATAAATGCTATGTTCTTTTGCCTGTGTTGTTTAGAAAAACGTTCAAAAGCCTTGGTGGATTTATTATTGGAAACAAATAAAGTTGGTGGGAACTTATCGAATGAGGATATTATAGATGAAGTTCTTACTATAATTGGTGCTGTAAGTAGATATTTTTCAAATAACTATACAAAAATGGTTTCATCTATTTAATAATAATTATCATATAATTATAATTATATTGTTTAGGGTTACGAGACTACTACATCGACAGTCGGCTTTTGCATTTTATTATTAGCTATCGACTCAGATATTCAAGTAAGCCACCACGTTATTGTAGGTGCCTACAGTAGATAATGAATTATGAAAAGAGTTTATGCATTTTCATAAAATATGAATAGTTAAATCAAGTATGTACCTACTTGATTTAAGTATAACACAGATATTAAGGATATTTTTTATTTTTCAATCCCAATTATTTTAGTTTTCCACCTTTTTCCCTCAACTTATATCTCCACTCGATTTGGTTATCTGCATCCTTTATAGCACGTACCAACTAATTTCAAATTACTTAGTTCCATGAGTTTACTAAACTTTTATTTCTTTGCATCGATTTTTTTTTTTTTATATACATTTTCTTTGCCAGTTTACTATTTCTGTTACTTGCATCCTTACAACTTATTCTATCACTCGCTCAGTCAATCCATTTTCTCTTATTTTGTATCATTTCTAGACGAATTCATATACAATACTATTATTCATTATTTTAAATTTAAAGGTTAATTTATAGGATACTTATCCATTGTTGTGATAAATCGTACGATAGACGGTAATGATATTCGATTGATAAATATATTTCTGATATTTTACTGTCTTTACGAACTCACTTGTCTCGATTAACTATACGTTTACTAGACGTTAAATTTAATATCTTGTTGATTGGACTTCCGGTCAAACACTGCAACAATATGATAAAAAAATCATAATAATATTATTATTTTTGTTACTTATACAATATTATTTTATCAACAAAAAATTGTACACTTTTTTTCAGCAAGATTTCTGGTAGAATTTTTGTACACAGTATAAAAAAATAAAAAATAAAAATAAAAAAACGTCCTAGAATAACGGGGACAGGTGCAGCCATCTGTTGTAGGTAATTTAATGCATACTTGTAAGCAACTATGAATCATTACTTACGAAAAAACGATTCTGAGCGGAGGTCAATTGATAGTGATGCTCTATCAACAATATATATATATATATATATATATGGCCTATTATAATAAAATAATTAAATAAGCTTTATACATTTTCTTTAATAATATTTGTTTAATGTTGTACCGATTTTCCTACGTTTTTTCCCGGTTTTTCACATATACTGAGAAAACTCTTGAGATTTGAAATTGAAATTTACTATTTATGTGTATTAAATGATTAACTATACATTTATTATTTAGGGTAGCTACTACATACTACCATGGGTGCCCCCGGGGGGGAGGGAGCAAGACAGTGCATCTGCTCTCCCCGTGGACTTCAAAATATCAAATATAATTTTAATAATTTATTAATGTAATTTTATTTTAAGTATTTTTTGGTTTTTGATTTTATTATGCCCCTCCTTGATAAATATCTTGCGAGCGCCCATGGAGACAATTGCTTCTACTTCATATATTTGAAGGAGGCTTAACTCCTGCTCAATTTCCGCCTATGCGACGTACATCGAGTTTTCGTACAATCTGACGTACCAAAAATGCGTAATCGTACATTTATATAACTACAATAGCTGTATTACCTGATTTCGGTCGTGCGAGGTACGATTGTTAGTTAATAATGTTTGTAAAAATAATAATTAAAAATACTAAATTATTTTTAATAATTATATAACTATAGCATGTGACTTTGTTGGCGATTTTCCTTTTTTTTTTTATAACTCGCTTGTCATTGTATAATCTAGAAACTGAAGGTAAAATGACTTAGGTTATTATTATAACATTTTAACTTAAGCTTAACCAATAGGAAATTAGCCGAAAAAATTATACTTTTTGTATTTCAAAGACTGCAAATTGTTATGTTTGGACAATCCAAATCGGAGAAATGTTGAGATAAATATAGCCTTAATTACTCAGGAATAGTGTAGCTTTAAGGAATAACTTACCTAACTATTGTTCAAAGATTATGCAGTAAAACAAAATTTAAATTAATTTTTGTAATCATAATAACTATCATAATTCAAATGAACTTTTAAATGCATTTTTATTTATTTTAGGAAAGAGTTTATGATGAAATTCATAGCGTATTGGGCGATGGAAATGAAACAATTACTATCGAACACACAACTAAACTAGTTTATATGAAACAAGTTATAAACGAAACTCTTCGGTTATTCCCTATTGCACCATTGATGCTAAGAGAACTGCAAGCCGATGTGACAATTAGTACGTACACTTGAAAGTGTTATACCTACCTAACTAGAAATTAATATTGAAAATTACCTACTTATTAGTTTCTGGTAATCACACATTGCCAAAAGGAACAGCATGTGTTATATCTCCAATGGTAACGCATTTTATTCCCGAGTTGTACTCAAATCCAGAATTGTTCAATCCGGATAACTTCAACGCCGATAATGTCGCTAAACGACATAAATATAGTTTCATACCATTTAGTGGCGGCCCAAGAAGTTGTATAGGTAAGTTATTATTTTAAAAATTAAAAATATAAGTATTGCATAAAACGTATTTGTCTATTCAATTACAGGAATGAAATATGCTTTGTTAAATATAACAGTATTACTCACTCAGATTTTACGGAACTTCAGTGTGCATACGGATTTGAAATTTAGCGATATTAAATTAAAATTCAATCTGACAATAAAAAGTGTAAACGGTTATCCTGTAACTATTCGCCCGAGAAATAGTGCACTTGTAACATCATAATAATTCACTAATATAATGTGAATATTTAAAATTTTAAAATTATTATTCATAGTATCTATATAGATAACGTCCAAAATTGTGCAAGTACCAATCATAATGATATTACCTATTTGTTCTATGTCTATTCAGCACCAAAAATTATTAAAATATGCATGCACATATGTATCTAGTAAAAATTGTCAAAATACCTTTGCTTAAAAATATGCAGTTTTTTTATTTGAAAAAAAAAAAAATGCGATATTTATATAAAAATCTTTACCTGGTTGATTTTCTTCCAACGTACCTACAATAATATTTACGATTTGGTATATAGATTTGTTAATAGTTACCTACATCAGTGGTTTCGTCTATACTAACCCGTGTCCCATAGGTAATATCTTTTTCCTATTGACGTACGACCTATACACAAACTTTGGTTAAAATATCATTATAGCTTTTATCAACGTACCCTTTACACAAAGTAGGCTCTAATGGAACTTTTTTTCTGGTGTATTTTTCAAGAAAATTTCTGAAATTATTGTTGCTTAATTTAGTTAATGGAATATCGGCGGACAACTGCAGGGGCTTCACATAAGTCATGGTTGAAAATATTATTTTTTTGAGTGCTTACATGTATATACTAATTGTTGTGTCACGAAATGGCTGAGTTTATTCATTTGAATGCACGAGCAAGTGGATACTTATTACAGGAGGGGTAAAAATTGAAAATAGTTTTAAAATAAAGCTTATTTCATAATGATTAAAAATAACAAAAATCAATTTGACTTAATATCATCCAAGAAAATGGTTGGTTTGTGATAAAAGAATCACATTGCATACACTAAATAAATTGAATACTACCATTGATTTATTGTGAAAACGTAGTTATTTAATATGAATTCCTTTTGTTTACTGATCATTTAAATAAAAACAATAATTTTATCAACAATAGAATATGTTGAGATGTAAAAAATTTTGTTTAATTAAATCAAATACATGTTAGTACAACAATTGTTTAATTAGATATAAATTGATCTATCAGAACAGTGATTTGTTACATTTTTCAATTTCTTTCACAATAAAACCACCATGTACATGAATATCTTCAATGAATGCATCTAAATTGAACTCTACCTGTTTTCTACTATTTAAAGACTTTACTAATTTTTGTCCATTGACATTAGTTACCTACAACAAAATAAAGAAAATACAAATTGTTAACTTTTTTTATATATTATAACTTATAAGTATACAAAAATATGTACTGAGTAGTATTTACTTTAAAATCAGTTGCATTGAATACATCAGGTTTAAATACAATTCCAATTACATTGCCACCGTATGTATCGTGGAAAAATAATGCATACTTAGAATAACAATCCTGAAAATAGATTTATAATATTTGTTTAAATTTAAACTAAAATAATTGGTATAATCTTTTATTAAATGTTCAATACCCTAAGTATATTTAATAACTCTTGAACTGGATTTAACCCAACTATTGGAATTTTTTCTTCATCATTAGGTGGTTCTAATGTATAAACTTTAGCCATTTTAGCATCAATAGCCATATGTCTAAGTGGGTTCATTATATTCTTCAGTGTTATTATTATATCATATTCATGTAACGATGGTCTAAATATTTGCTAAAAAAAAAAAAAAAACCAAAATTGTAATACATTTTTTTTCCCCATTGTTACTATGAGTCACTAATTTGAGTGATTTTAACTTTAAGCTATTATGTCTCAACAATTAATGAGAACACATTAATAATTATAATTGAGATATGATAAATTCATCGCTAAACTACTTAATTAACTTAAGATAGAAGTAATAGCTTAGCAATATTATTAATTGGTAATTTGGTATGACTGCTCTACCATGTTATGTATAGTTTTTTTTTTTACATACATAATATATATTTACTTACTTTTAAGTTTTCTACTGAGCCATCATTTAATAAACTTTCTTCAGCTGTGGATAAAGCATTTCTGGACAAATGCATAAGACGAGCAAGTATTGTGAATGTAGGTGCTTCTTTTGTCCATGAGGTACCATCCAAGTCATAAGGTGTAACTAACAACATAGCAGGTCTTGAAGAATAATCTTGTTGACTAGCAATAGTGCATTCTAATGTTGAAATGTGATCTTCTGCAAATTAAAAAATAAACAAAAAATATTTAAATCTCGTTTGAATGATTAAATCAATTGAATAATTAAATGCACAATTAGTTAAGTACTTGAAATGTCATTGTTGAAATTAATAATGATAAATTCTCTAAACCAATCAGTTGAAGATAATTTTCGCAAGAAGTGTAGTAAACCAATAGTTGGTTGAGAAGTTACTTTGAATGGCTCTGGCTGTAGATAGTAGCTAGCCACAATTAATTCAACACATATATCTGGGAAATGAGAGTTATCAATTAACTGGCTTCTAAGCCATCGCTTAGCTAAACAGCAAGTTGGTCCGTATGATGGATACTGCATATGAAGTCTGAAAATAAATTATTTAAGATTATACGTAAATATACATTTAAAAGAAACGTTTTAATTACCCATGTATTGAACTTGTTAATGTAGGTAACTGGATCATGGATCGTTCTAAAATCAAAGACTCTTCAGTATCTCTATATCTTATCATACCATCAGGCAAAACTTCTTTTTTAAGCAACGATATTTGCCCAGGATAATAAATACGAAATCGAAATACAAAACCATTCTAAAAGAAAAATTATAATTTGTTTACAAAATAATATTCTCGATTAATTTAGATTCTAAAACATACTTTCATAATATCTATATGATTTATAAAAGGTTGAGCAATTAAATGACATTCCTTATTTAACCTTGCAGCTAGATTAATATAAAATGCTGTTATCATTCTTTTGACTGCGTTTAATTCATTGGGCCATTTTCCACTGGATGCAAATTGTAATACACCTAAATTCCAAAAAATTGAAAAAAACAATAAAATTATAAGAATCTATAAAGTATATACCTTCAATTGGTTCAATAAAACCAAGTGCTATTTTTATTTCATCTTCTGTAGGTGCTAATATACAATTCCCTTTAGTATTCTTCTTTTTTTTACTATCCATGTGAGTTCTAGACAACGGTGGAATAACGTCAGTATATCTCAATACAGGTGATATTCCTTGAACAGAATTCACAGTTAAAGGCAACCCTTCAAGCTGCCTAATTGTTTTACCCACTTCATTAAAACTATCAATACAACATAAACTTGCTCCTTCTCCAGTACCATAATCAAAACCAATTGGTAATATCTAAAATTATTAATTATTAAATAATAAACAACTTATAGAAATAAATGTAGTAAATTTGATTTTTTATATAATAAATTAATAATATATTTTGAACAGATTATTGTATTAACCATAATAACATAGAAGTCTAACATTAATTATTATTGAGTTTCTAATAATATAAAGAATGTAATATTGTAATTCTTAACATACATTTATATAATTAGTATTATTGTTAATAAAAAAAATCAATATAATTTTAAATATATTAATACTTAGAAATCATATTTTGAACTTAATTATCTATTTGACCAGTACACAATGTATTTTGTAATATGAGTTATAAATTTGATACTTGTAAACTTACAAAAGGATTTTGTAAAACTGTTTCTGCTTGATCAGCAATATAAATAAACTTTTCTGGGGATATTGATAATTTATGTGAAAATACATATTGCACAATATCTCTTGTTACACAACGTTTTTTGCTTAAAGCTGATTTGCTTTCGGCCCAAACAACTGCTTCACAAACTTCTCCATCTTTAAAACGTCTCAATTGAGATTTCTCTCCCCAAAATGAACGAAATTCTTTAGCCTACAATAACAAAATTAATTAGATTAATTATAATAATGCTAATTAAAGTAAACAAATCTAAAAAATTACCTCAGGTAAATTTGCAGTTGGACCACGTTCAACAACTGAATTTGCTTTTAATGAATTTAACTTTAGACCAATTAAAAAATTACTACACGGTTCTTCAATTTTTTTTATATCAACAGATTTTTGAAAAATATTAAAACACATGTCACTAATTCGATCACCAAGACTAAAAATCAATAATGGTTCGATGATTTTCTGAAATTGTAATGCCAAATCCTCTCTATAGTCTAATTTTAGTTTTTTACTGCTGTGCTGATTAACTATACTTTGTATAACATTGATGTCATTAAAACTAAAAAAAAAAAAATATATAGTAAATATTTAGATAGTTTAATAGAATATTAGTATACAGTATTATGAAAAAATGTATGTAAATATTACTCATGGACACTATTGCGTATTATTCAAACATTTATATAACTTAACTTTTGAAGCAATAAAATATTTTTTTTTTTGAAAATTGCTTACAATTTGATGAAAACAACACAAATAAAAATAATAAAAGAAGTCTATAAAATTATAAAATAGTATTTTTTATATTGAACATAATTGGTATAATACTATTCAATAATGTTTAAAACTAGAAAATATGTAAAACGATATAATTACTTGATATAATGATCAAACTGCTGAAGAAAAGAAGCTTTGGTTAAAAACAAACATGAGAATGAATTCATTTTTGAGTTATCTAACATTTCGACAGCAAAATTACATTCATTTTTTATCTGTAAAAAAAAATATTTACTTGATAAATGATAAAAATTCAGACATTAATTACAAATTTGACTTACATGAATATAGTTGGATTTAAAAACATTAGCACATAAGTTCAAGTAACCAGATGAATCAACAAATACAACTTGAAATGCTGAATGAAAATCAGATATTATTGGTAATTTGACATCCTTTTTACTATCACTATCCACTAATGTAATGCCATCATTAAGCCAATCGCTTTGTCCTAAAAAGTACAATAATATTCTCAATGATTATAATAAAAAGAAAATTGTATAAGAAAATAGCATACCAAAATTTAGCCAAACATTCCGAATAATTTGATAGCTACTCATAAATTTATTTACTTTATGGTTCTTAAATAAGTACACCACATACATGAATAATATAAAGTTTGTAATATTTCCAATTCCCTAAAATCAAAATTTTAAAAATTACTTATAATATTGTAAATCAAAAATAAGTATTGGTATTACCCCAAGACTTTTTTGTTTTAACCATATTTTTAACAAAATCAAAGCATCTTGAACATTTTGATTGGCATCCACAATTTCTTTAAGTAAAACTGTATTTTCATCAATTACCAAATCTTGTAATATGAGTGAATTGTAATAAGGCGTAGAGTAATTGTTTGAATCTATATTTTAAACAAAATTATAATTTATTTTGTCTAATAAGTAAATTAAAGAAATAAACAATTTACCATTTTTTAAACTACTATTAAAATACCACTGTGGATCAATATTGTTGTTGCTTGGAGAAAATTTATTTAAACTATAAATATTGCTTTCAGGAACAACTCTTAGACAGAAACAACATTTTTTACCTAAACTATCAGCTGGTTTTACAATAAGTGCTGGTGAATAATATGAATGACCATCATGAGAAAATTGAACATCATTGTCAATTAATTGTGGTACTTTAATAAGTTCTTTAGCAAGGCAGTGTAAGTAAAAGGCTTTTTTACGTAAATATTTTTCATCGGAATAGTCTTTCTTATTAAAAAATGACTGAAAAATTGTAAAAGTATAAAAATATTCAACATTGACTAATTACACATTTTACTTTAATATGATACTTACTTTTCCCATTATAATTGAAACATCAACTTTAAGTAATGGCATTAACGATGTTCCTATAGAATATGAACCAACAATTTTTGTAGAACATGGCTTAGTAAAACGAAATGTCCCATCTATATTATTTAGAGGGTTCAGATGGAATGGTGCACATATTTCAGATATATTAACATTGGATAAAAACTCCTATAAACAAATATATTAAGTATCATTTTCAAAAGACTCATTAGCCATTATGAGAAATTATTTAAGTTAAGACATATAGGGTAATTTAGTTAAAATCCTGAGTATTGTCCGTCACAAAGTAAAGTTGTGTATATCACTTTTTTTAACGTTTTAGCATTGTAATATTTGGGACTTGAACCGGTCTAACATTTTTTTTTTTTTAAACTTTTTAGTAGTATTAAGTAAATATTTTATAAAAAGCGAGATATGATCTTTTTATTTGCGGTAGGCGAGATAATAATAAATCATTTCAAAGATAATATTATTCTAGGTGGGCTCATTCTTTGATAATTTGAGGCATAATTTCTGTTTATCCCGACTACCAATATATATATTTCCAAGACTACCCCTGCTATAATCAATCATGTTATCTCAACTACCAATATATATATTTCCAACAACACCTAGTATATGGTTGGTTAACTAAAATCAACTATGAATATAAATATAAATGTTAACTACCGCGTAAATACAATTTGATTTAAAAATAAATATAAATGTATTAAATTAAAATAAATAAATTCAATGTGTAATTTAAGATAACATGGAAATTCCTGCATTGTAATCTGTATCATATTAAATAAATAAATAAACAATTGGATTTGATTTTCAATTTGATCTTAAGTTTAGAAATATTGAATATTATAATTATTTACAATTTTAACAGATGCTACACAATTTTTTTCAGTTTTATTTATTTGTTAGGACAGCAAAGTACTTCCCTCCACAAAAATTCATAATATTAATTATTAACAATTTTAATATCTTCTACAATTTATTATTTTTTTAATTTTGTTTAAAAATATAATATAATATGTGTTCCTAAATGAATGTTTACTTATTTATTCAAATCATGTCTCAAATTAATTTATTATCAAAATGCAGTAGTCTGGATAACAGGATTGATTATAGCAGGTTAGGTAGTCGAAATAATAGGAAAGTACCTAAATTTGTATTAGTTAACTATAAAATAGTTTATAATTTTTATCTGTTTTGTCAAAATGACTAATTATAAAAACAAATTGTGTTTAAATCAATATTTTTATATTTACATATCCACATCTTGAAAAGAAAATCTTTTATCAAATTTTGGAACAATGATGTAAATACCTTTCTATGTAACGATTTTCAAATAAGTACTTATAATCAATTTAAAAATAATACCAAATATAACAAATATTTAAGTATTAGGTGAATATTACAGAGCTCTTTAATTATTTCTGATGAATGATACTGATTTGTGCAAAATTGTGTTTGCACAGAGAAAAAACAAAAAAGTACAGTAAATTGTTGAATTAACAGGGAGCAGGGAGATGGAATACTGATTTTTTTTTTTTAATTTTTTGATTTTACTCAGAAGAAACTCTAATATTATTTTTCGAATTCAAGCATTGAGTTCAACCAATACATTTCTTTCTCTGCTCAATACCAAATAAGTATGGTCAAATAATTTTAATAATTTAGAAAAATAAAAGCATAAAATAATACAACTAAATAAATATACTTTTTTGTAACAGGATGTGTCCATATCTTGTACCAAAGCTACTGTAAACTTGTCAAACCATTCATTGATTTTGTCCATTGTAGATTGCTTTGGTTTCACTTCTTTTAACATTTCGTCTATTTGTAGACGAAACATATTTGATAAGAAAAGGTTTTCTGTCTCCCGAAGTTTATTTAGCTCCTCAGCCGTAGGAGGTTTAATTCTTTTGCTTCCATCATTATTTTGTTTCTTTTTTCGTTTCATTCCAACTTCTTCATTGGTCATTGGTTCCATCACTGTGACAGTATCTAAAGTCATGGTGAATATAAATAAATCTTATATAATAAAATGCTAATAAAAGTACCTATTCAATTATTTCATTTAAGTATATTACAATTGACCACTAAACGTTTTTACAACTTCCAGAAAGAACTATTGGTACCTATTATTATTATTACTCTGTGATAACTACTAAAGAAGGCTAATGGTGTAAACTGTAAATATTCTTTATTTAAATCAATTTTCCTGTATCCTGGCCGAGGGGTAAAACTCCTAGAGCCGAAAGCCCAGAATAACTGTGACCAGCAATTATATTATTTATTAGACAATAGATACAATGTTATATTATATTTAACTTACGAGTTTGAAGATTATCTATAAGCATTTTGACTGTTTTTACACTTCACTGTTCAAGACTTTCAAGTAGTTGTAAATATTATTTTGTAATTTGATTTTACTGTTTGTTTACTAACCTAAAATGTTGCGAACCGCGCAAAGACGGAAAGGACCAGAAGGAGGTTATACACAAGCACGGTTGTAGTTCTATAATCTGTATTCGTTATCTATAATAATCGTGCACACCACTGTTACGAAAGACAACTACTACGACTACGAGCAACTACTTCTACTTTAATCTATTCTGCACTACTACTCCGTCGTAGGAATAGCAATAAATTACTCCGAATGTTAATGAATAGAATATTACGTTGAAATTCTGAATAACTGTCTACTCCGAAATAGTTTTTATCAAAATTCGAAGAGGCGAATATATTTGTTATATTTGTTTCCTAATATTATTCAAAATCTGAATGATTTTATGGTATTTTTTCAAAATTCCTACTGTTGGATGATGATGTACCTACGTACTGAACTACCATCAGAGTACAAGACGGGGTATTTAACCCAACCCAACCGTGTGAAACTTATTGAGATTCTAGAACGTGTTGGTTTTCCAAAAATCTACCCGAGTGGCCAAGTGTATAAAAATAAATTAAAATCTATTTTATAAAATAATTATTTATTTATGCACTAAAAACATTCATTTTAAAGTCAAATATTACTAATTTATAGTAATATATATATATATGATATAAATGATATAGTAGGTAGGTGGTATACCTACAGAGTTCAGTAGGTATGTATTAAGTACATTTTTTACAAGAAACACTTATGGAGAAAGGTCCAAACTGAATGATGTAATGGCTAATAAAATCAAACTAAAGATAAGAACAGAAAAAAAAGTGTGATAATAGGAATATAACACGGATTCAGAAGGCTTTTTTGGTACTTCTAAGACCGTGGTATATGATCTGAAGACATCGCCATGAAGCCATATCGGAGTTACGTCATTACATACATATCAATTCGGAATTACGGCCTTTCGTAGTAGTTTCTATCAGGCGAATCAAATTTTAAATTTAATTTCGGAATAGTATACATTCGTAACAGTTGAATTCGGAAGAGTTTGTGGTCGGTGTAGTATTATTATGGTAGTAGCCAATTAGGTGTTGATTTGTTATGTAATTTTATAATTTTCGAACAAGTGCCGTTCACCGATATTGTAGACATCTGTGACTACGGCCATAATGTTAGGTATAAAAAAGTCTGACAACTGCACCTACTATGTAGTATAATCCATAACACGGGGCCGTGGTGTACATCGACCACGATGTAGATAAAATGATGTATATTTATATATTGTGTATAAATATATTAACCATCATCTATCATAACTAAAGACATAATTTTATATATTTTTTACAACATTGTTATTGATATAAAAACAGCACTATTTCTATTTGACGAAAATTTTTATTCTATTTGTCTACTATTATTATGGATAAGAATTGAATCGTTACTATCTTTTTTACAGATCTGGCTAATATTTAAATCATCAATAACACAACAATGGTAATACTACACAATACATATTGTCAATATTGTATTTACATATGGAGGACATAGTTAATCTATTCTGCTTCCCTCGCAACGAATAAAAATGTCTTTTTTATATTTTTATGTACAAAAAAAAAATATTGAATAAAAAATGGTAAGGATTTATTCATGGAAATATGTAAAATCAACATTTTAATTATAAAATATAAAATTTTTTTAAAAACACAATTTAATTAAGAATATTCTTACATAATATTTGTTTACGTCATCGAGTACAATAATAGATAGTGATGGACTTTATACTATAATCAGGACGAATGCAGCCACTGTGATAAATAATTTAATGTATACCTGTAAGTAACGATAAACCAATGCTTACGAAAAAACGATTTTAAGCGGAATTCAGTTGAAAGTGATGTTTTGACAACAATATACGTACTACTATAATGGTGAATGTAAAACGTCCGTGGGAACTTGAATAAATCGTTATAAGTTTAGTAACTAATATTATTGTATTTAACAATATAATGTAAATTTTAGTTATGTGTTTTGATTAATACAATTTTTCGATAACTTAAACTAAAATAATTAAAAAATATGCATATATCTTTATTTATATAATTCTATTGTACGTGTGTATGTCACTGAACTCCTCCTAAACTGATTTTGACGAAATTTTTTATGTGTGTCTGAATGGGTCCCTAGATGGTTTAGATTCACAATTGGACCCGATTGGTGGCATTGTAACCCCTGACACAGAGTAATTGGTATTTTTAGTACAGTGGTTTTTTTTATTTATTGATTTATGGGTTACCTTGATGATACGGATGAAATTAAAAAAATAAAAAGTCACCGACACATGGGCAACACCGGGCGTGGGACAACTATTATATATATATTGGATTTGTGTCTTTTAATTTGTATCTATTGGAGTGAAAAAGTCACTAAGAAAAGTGAGATAATTTTGTAATAAGGTATTTTATTTTATTATAGTGGTTAGTTTAGTAAGTTCACAATAATTTAAATATTTTTTTTATTATGTAAATAGGTATATCATCATAACAAAAAAAAAAAATAAAAAGATGATACTGGGGATGTATTTAGCCACTGTTGTGAGTTGGTAGAGGGGAAAGTAAGATACATAAAGTTGTTTAATTTACACCTGTAATCAACGATAAACCATTGATAAATAAAAACGATTTGAAACGAAGTTCGGTTATACATGTTTTTAAACGCCATAATATTTACAATGATTGTCAAAATTTTAATAAGAAAATCAAAAAACGACTATCAAATTATACGTTGCTTTAATCATACTCTTTCCTATACTCTTTTCCTTCTTTTTTTTTCCTTTCCACTCTTTCCCATTATCACTTGTTTTTTTTACACTGTTTTTATTCTATTATAATACAGTCCATATATATAAGCATATTATTAATATGTTGATGACACGTTCATTCTACTCAGAAGTTCAAATGAATAATAAGTTAAATTTCTTAGGTCTTACAGTTTCCATAATTAACAATACATTTGATTTTAGTATTTACAGGAAACCTACACAAACTGATGCTATAAAACTACATGATTCTAATCACCCTTATTCTTGAATAATATTATTTTTCAATTCAGTATTCTATAGGTTTGAATGTATTCCATTAAATAAACATAATTATCAGTGCCAGCTTAATATTATCTATACTCTACCCCATAGAAATAATTTCAATTTAAATACTATTATAGGTATTCATAAACGTATTAAAGAAAAAAATAATTCACAACTCACTAAATAATATTATTAACTGTTGTAGTATAAAATATAAAAATAATATAAACATATAAACAATAGAATTAAAAATTTCACAAAAAAACCCCTTCTTTTGATAATATTGGCATAAATAAACTTAAATGTAACTGCAACAAATTTTATGTAAGTAAAACAAATAGAAATTTTAAAATAAAATATAAAGAACACATTTCTAAAATAAAATTAAAAAAGACTGCCTCTAATACAAATTTCGCTCATCATGTTTTGGAAAATAACCATAATATAAGTTTTGATATTAACATAGACTTAGGAATATTAAGTATCCAAAATAACATTTAAATTAATTCAGTTTTAGAAGAATTCCATTTATATAATGAAATAAAGAAAAATATGTTTAATAATATTTTAAATTTTAAAAATAATAATATAATATAAATAATATATTTTAGATAATAAATTATAACCAAATAATTTATACTTCCTAATATATCTATATCTAATAATAACTAATTTTAAATAATCTCTCACATTAAAATAAATTATTTCTATATTCTATGTAAAACGACCAATTTGTAACAGTTTTTTTCTATGTACTCCTTTATTAATTTGTTTATATTCAGTCACATTTTATATTTTAACTGTGATATACTTGATGATGCATTTTTAATTCGAAATCGGTCGTATGGTTATTAGGTATGGTATGTTATATCATAATATACCATACGTAGGAGGGCGAAAGGTGGATCGCTCCCCCCCCCCCTCATTGGGATTTGTTTTTTAAATTTAGTGTATCGCTGACCCAACAACACTTATCTATAAATTTTCGAACTTAATGATTTGATAACATAATATTTAGAATTTCCTTGATCATATTTTACTTTTTATCATGGATTACGGATAGTATATTATATTAGTCTGTGGCACAGATATTATGTAGAAAAATGTATCCTATTAACATATCTGTGGGTTATGTGGTTTTTCTGATGTCTATAGACTGTGATAAGAATATGCAATAAACACACAAATTTCTATACTAACTTGACATAAAAATCTGTGGATGCACACAGAGGTAGGAAAACAATATAGTTTATCGTTTATCTATTTCCGTGGGCTGTGGCGATAATACGATCCACAATATTGCTATCAAATGGTAGAGAATGCTATCATCTCGGTTGATGTTTCAATGCTATATATTGCTATTATGCATGTGATTTACTTTATTTATTTAGATTGAAGACATGAATTCGGTCAACAACTAGTGAAGACCGATTAAATGGGTTAGCACAGTTTCATATCCATACATATTATTATAGATAATGTTATTTTACGCTTTGCTAAAAAAAAAAAACATATAAAAAGCATATGCTTTTATTATAATTATTACAAGTTAATGAATTATAAATCAATAAATGTATAGCACACTAGTTGTCCCGTGCCAATTTGTATTAATTTTTTTAGCCATATTCATTTTATGTTTTGACCGTGTGAGAATTGAATGAAAACATTTAGGTGGAAAATGGGTAGTCCACCTTCGGCGGACTAAAAGTGTCCCCCCCCCAAAAAAAAAAAAAAAATGACGGCACTTCAATTTATGTATTACCGAACTGCGCTCGAAAACGTCTTTCGTCAAGCAATGGTTTATTGTTGCTTACAGATATAAATGAAACAACCTTATGTATCCTTCTTCCCAACTCTTTACCAACAACAGTGGCCGCTCCCATCCCCAGTATTAGCTCTTTTTGGTAGGTATCTGTGATTACTAATATATAACTTAAGAGAATGACTTGAAAACATAAGGTTTAATTTACATTTTTGTTTTAGTAAAAAAAATTTGAGCTTCATTTTGTATTTTTTGTTTTCAAAATAATTTATATATTTATAAATACATATATATAATATTTATATAATATAAAATTTTGGTGAAAATCATTTGAATTTCAAAAAATACGTGTAACAAAACTAGTTACTGGTATATACAATTTTTCAATTAGTTTTTTTTTTTGTTTTGAACATATGTGTATCGCCGATTTAATGACGATGGTGAAGTCAAAATTGAGTGGAGTGATATAGTTTTACATGCCATAGTAATTATTTGGCCAAATTTTATTTGACATTTTTTATTTGTATTATGGTTTAAATAGTCAGAGTCGAATTAAGGGGGGGGGGGCTGTTCTAAGTGGGCCCAGGCCTCCCCAAAAAAGGGCCCTAAAAAAAATTATAGGTGTGCAGCTTTTTTACAGTTATAGATAAACAATTAAAATAAATGATTTCAACAATATTTATTTAATGATGGACCACCTTAAAAACGACTTTAAGTACAAAGGATAATCAAAAACTACTTCGTTGTAAAAGTTTCAGCCCAACTGGATGGTGTTTTCATTTTGGATCTATGAGAGTATTATTTATTAATTATGATACACTCGTGGCCTGTCGCCTGCATTCGTTGTTGTGTTCGGTGCCGGAATCGCATTTTGGTTTCCGTAGTTGTCCATTGATATTGTCGGGCCGTTTTGTCGACTCAAGTTTCAGCGCGAACGCTCGCATATCACATAATCGTCATGTTTCACGTCGACACCGCTCGTGTCTATGCCAACGAGCCGTTTTTTTGTGACGTGCACGTGTTGCGACACCGTCGTCCAAGTCCAAGTTAACGGGAGCTCAATCAAACTCGTTTATATTCGCTACGTTTCGTTTCGCCACGCGTTCACGCTGTATCATCCGCTTGCGGCCGATTCGTATCCGCTCTACTCGATTTCGCGACCATGCATCGTTGACCACATATAAATATGCTTAAAAATCTATCTTTCCGTAATAAAAGCTTGTGTATTAAATATGCGGAGAATAATCGTTGTTCGAAAATGCATAAGAACCATTTTTGTAAACCAATTGCATGTATTAACTGTATTAACAAACTGCACAAAGAACACACGAAATAAAATACAATCAAATGTGGTTTAGCATAACAAATCGAGGATTATTTTCGATTAATTTCCTCCAATCACTTTGAAAACAGCCAAAGCCTCTAGAAAAGCAATATAACAATTAAACGTAGCAGTATTTAGTATTCAAATATTCTAAATTTAAAAAAATATATAGGACCTATATTTTAGGTGTAGAAATTATGCCTTCGATCCGTTATTATTTATCCTTATCATTATTAGTGATAAGAAATATTTTAAGAAAACAATAAAGTTGACCTGCATTATTGCCTATTTGATGTATTTTGTTATTTATTTCTTCGACTTTATCAAAGGTATAAAGATATCCTTTTCTATTAATTGTCTCGGGATGAATACAAAGGTGATAAAAAAATATTTCTTATCAAATTGTGTTTTTTCTTCTTATATTTTATTTGAATTTAATAATTAAAAAGTTAACTTTAAATATTTTAATGAATAAAGCCTTACCGTCCGTTTATTTAATTTTATTTATTGTACATTAATAAATATAGAAATGCGTGTTTATTTGTTGCATTAGAAACGGGTCAAATTAATTCTGCCCTTCATGTGTATAAAAAATCTTAACAATATGAATTATGTAGCAAAATAAAAATTTAGAATATAATTGAAATATTAGTCAGATCTGTAAAATAGATTGTATTGATGGAGTTCCCACCCATAATAATAGACGAATAGAATTATGGTTTTCGTCAAATAGACATACGAATTTTTTTATCAGTCATAATGATTCCATTGTAAAACCAATTATATTAAATAATAACTGGTATCCTAATATTTAAATTTCTTCATTGACGAGTACCACCAAACCACCTCATTCTAGTACTGTTTGATTATATTTGATTTAATGTTATAACAAATCCCGAAAACATTATGGATCGTATAATACTGTTTACATTAATATTCGTACCATGTATTATATCAAAGAGTACACTAAACGGATTCCTACCAAATCTTCCGGTTGTAAGTAATTATATTATAGTAGTTTACAAAATTATTATATTCATGTGCACAGATTCATCGATTTTGTTGTTATGAATTATCTTGTAAATGATTTCAGGGTGAATACAAGGTGTATGCCAGAGCATTTATTAAATGTAAACCAACAGAAGGAAATTTGATTGAAGCTAACTTGTATATGTACAAAATATCCGTTAACTCCTCTGAAATTAGAGGTAATATAACGTTTAAGAAACCGATCGACGATTCCTATAATGTAAGTATATACATAGCCAAATAGAAATATAATTGTCATGATTAATTTTTTAAAAGATACGAAATACTTAAGAACGATGCATAAACGTTACCGTACATATAAATAAAACAACGTTTTACAAGCAAACATTTTTTTTGGAAATAATTACTTTGATATAACTAACAGAATATTATCATAAAAAAAATCATTAAAAAGGATGAGATGACGCCTAATGTCTTTGACGACATGAAAATAACAAAAAACAATGCATAAAACGATTGTATATGTAAGCATAACATAAACAAAAATATTATTCAGAAATAAAAAAAGTTTTCTTTAAATATTTAAAAAATAGCTCAAATGTATTTTAAATAATAGAAAAAAATGTGTAAAAATATAATAATATATAAAAACAATTACAAATATTTCATAACTTTTTCAAGTTTACAAATATTTTAATTGAATTAAAACTTTAAAATTTTAAAAATTTCTTGGAATAGCAAAAAATGACTTATCTCATGTAACAGCTAAATACAAATTTCTTTCAAAAAAATGCTACAAACCTGTCAATTAATAAAAAAGAAAATCCACAAACTCACATAATAATAAAACAAATAGGCAAATTGAATAAGACATATGGATGAATCTACTGACTCTATATTTCATTGGACCACAATAGAATTAAAATATTATTTAAGATTTCATCTACCAATGACTTTATTCCAAATGCCTATATTGATAAATAAATTCCGCGTGTGTACTAAAAAAAATTAATCTTATAAATAATATACTACATAATCAACACATAATATTAAAATCATATCTACGTAATATCCATCATAAGTTATTTTGTCCCTTATTTTTTAATGTTTTTATAAGGAATACAATCATAATTGAATAATTTATTTTAATTAATATTATAAAATTCAACTATATTCTTATTTATTGTATAGATGGATATTAATTTTGCTGTGAAAGATTCGATTGGAGGTTGGAAAGAAAATGCTTATTTTTTCCAAATTGATAAAGCCTGTACAAAAGCAATATATTATTTGGGTTCAGCAGTTTCAACGGTCGCTAATAATTTTAGTTTTAATGCCACTTGTCCGATTCCTGTTGTAAATATAATTCTTATTAAGCTATTAATGCAATTTTAATAAAATACATTTACCTTTAGGGTGTATACGTTTCCAAAGGATTAGATTTTACACAGGTATTTTCACAAGCGAATATACCAAAACAATTTTTTTATGGCACTTATAAATATCGAATTGACATTATAGACAATAAAAAAAAACAAGTCGGCTGTGGTATTATAATCATGGACGTAAAACGTCCGTGGGAAACTGAATAAATCGTTATGAGTTTAGTAGGTAAATAAATCTTTTACATAAAATTCTAGTGTTACGGAGGAGTGCGACCAGCACTCTTCCGAAAGGGCATGACTGACTTTAATTTTTTTATATTTTAAACAACAAAAAAAAATATGTGGTACTGAGGATGGGTGGATTCATAATATATTATTATTATTATTCTTACTATAATAAAGTAGTGTTATTTATTTTTGATAATATTTCAGAAGTACGAGGTAAGCTTCGTGGCGACGCCGATCAATTATTTCGTTGAAAATTATTTTAGATTTATACTAGCAATGATGTCGGATCGTCACCCGATATTCATTAGTCGTATCCCGTTGGAACAATTTATTCAGTCTATTCGATTTCACCATTTTGACCATCTGAAGTATTGACAGTATATCTAAAAATGGACGCAGGAAGATAACTATTTAAATTTAGTTATAAATATTTTAAATACAAAATCATGTATTATGTAGTAATTATAATACAAATTATTTAAAAATTAGTGGTAGTTGTTTACTTGTGTGTAAGGAGTTTACTTTTCGGTGACCATCCTTTATCTTTATCTCTATTAGAACAAAAGTTATTAAAAAAGAAAGCAAATTTCAAACTAATAATAAACTAAACGAAATATTATAAAATAGATTGAGTTATTATTTACTATAATTAAGAAACAATAAATATTTATAATTTACATTTTTTTTTTAGCTTGAAAGCAATTAAACTAATTTATCATGATGTCATCATACTCTAAACATTTGTAATGTCTGAACCCTCAATTTTCGACTGCGAATAACTTTTAATTCGGTTTAGTGCACTAAAAGATCGCTCTGGAGAGCAGTTTTAAACAGGACAACATAGATACATTCATAGAGCAATAATTACATACGAGTAAATGTCTTATAATAACATATGTCTATAGCTGTTGTGCCAGGTGTTACAATCTTAGAACATAAAACAATTTATATTATTTTCCATTTTCATTAACAGAAGATGGGTAATGCAAAAATCGGATGCTACCCGGGGCAATCGTCTCCTCTAGCCCCCCGTCCTACTTAATGCGTCATTGCAATTAATTGGAATAATAATAATCAATTAGCGAATGCGATTATAGCTTGCTGCATAATTATACACTCATAATTAGAATACATTACCCTATTGTATATTTCACATTGACACAAATCCAATTCAATGTATACTTTATATATTAGTTGCATTACGAAAATAATTGTTGAATAATTTTTGAAAATAAAAGATAAATACAATTTTTTTAAAATCTATTGTAAAAAGACAGAACACTTATTACACATCTTGTAACACAACACCGGCGTTACTCTCGCGTCTGTACGAGTATGTCTACCGGTAGAGCGCGGCTGTTGATAATGCATCAACAGTCTCCTTTAACCCAAACTTAAAAGTGGAATATTAACTGAATGGATCGACGGAAATCAAAAATTTCAACATTAAAATTTGTTTGAATGAAAATTTCATCTTTTAATTGACTTTTAAATATAGGTTGTCAATTGAAAGTCTAAATTAGGTGTTTGGTTTAACCCCAAAAGTATCTAATAACATAATATTTGTTTTGATTTTATTTTTGTATTGTTATCATCTTATTGTACTTTCGGTTTTGCAGAACAACTCAGGGTTTATTTTCGATTAGTATTCAGGGTGTTTCACTGAGCATGTTCACCCATTTTTTTGATTAAGTTTTCTCTACATTAAAAAGCCTGATTTTTGGAATTTTTTTGTGTATTTAAGACATTATTTTTGAATACTTCTGATTGCAAACAAACTTTGGTTTTAAATAAGAATCTATATTAAAAATTCCATTAATAAATGAAGTATTAGTTTAAATAAATGGTGGCTTAGGTTTGCGCAGACTTTGTTCACAGAGTATGTGGCTGATAAAATATGCCCCTCCCCCCACAGATATAAATGTCCCTAAAATTAATGTGCAAGACATTGCATTATAAACTTGTGGTTACTACTTTTCATTAGAACTTAAATAGGTTTTTCAGTTTTTTTTGAATAAAAGCATTTTATTACAAACATGTTTATAGAGACGAAAATTTACTTTATACATAATTGTTTTAATTCAACGCTTCTCTTTCCTGGTATAAGGACTTAAAATTCTTCAATCACATCCTCTGTGTCAATTTCAGTACAAGTTTGTTGTTCTATGAATATCAACATTAATGCACACAATTTTTTTTATTTTTTAAGTTGCTATACGCCAGTTATTAAATCCGATTTTGGAAAAAGTTGTTCTTGATTACCAACATTTAAATAAAAGTGCATAAATAACCGATATGAGACACACCTCTATTTTCTGAGGTGTTAAAAGATATTTTATTCATGTAAAAATTGACATCAACAATATTTCCTTCCATTGGTTTATTTTTAATTATTGCTCTAGTATACATCTTGTATTCTCCCTAAAATCATTTATAAGATAAGTTCATAATTACAAAATCGATAAATCTGTGATTGTGCAAATAATAATTTTGTTAAACTATTTTAATATAATTACCTATTACTGGACGATTTGGTAAGAATCCCTTTAACGTACTCTTCGATATTATACATAATATGAATATTAAAGTAAACAGTATTGCACGTGTCATGATGTTTTCGGAATTTTTATTATCATCGAAAAATATTATTAGAATCAGGCTGAAAAGATTAAATTATTAAAATTGCCATTCTTATTCTAAAAATATGTTACAATATGTACAATCCTAACAATATGTATAATATTAGTATATTATTAATGGCAATAATTATGTCAAACTTATCTATTTTACAGATCTGGCTAAAATTTCAATCATCAATAACGCAACAAAAATATGGAAACAACAAAATACATATTTTCAAGACTGTATTTATCTTTGGAGGACAAAATTAAACTGTCCTACATCCTTTGTATAAAATGAAAACGGCAGATTTAATTTTTATACAAAACAATATAAAATTATGTAAATTATAAAGGCTCCGATGGGTATACCATTATTGAAGGTGGTATCTGAGAATATTGTGAGCATAAAGTTATTTAATTATTGCCTGTATAGATTTAGAATTTCTAATGAAAATCGATTATGAGCGATTTCCGTTTATTCGTATTTTGAAAGGTCGTAATATTTACTATTTTCATCAAAATTTAAATTAATTCCTTTGCATAAAAGGTTTAATTTAGATCATTAAGTACTACTTTTAATGATCTCCCTGATCATTTTTCGTGTATTTCTGCTTAGCTTAACAATATTATATCCACAGAATAAAATAAAAATTACGTAAGAACCTCAAAGAATTTAAATGTTTATAAGTAACTGAAATATGGCCTAAATTATTTTTTCTTATTTAAAATGTTTAGTTAACTTTAAAACCTGTCTCGTGTTTGAGAAGTTCAACTAACTAATAGAACTTTCGCATTTTAAGATTACCATTTCAATCCACTGGCCATCCATAAACTAGACAACTTTAAATACATTAGACGTTTTAAGCGTCTGAAAATATTCAACTTAGTTTAAGAATTTAAATTAAGGGTAGGAGCCACATCGTTGGGAGTGTGACATCATCAACGTGTCAAGTATATATTTACATCTGGTATGTAATATATATCTTGTAAATCATATTTATAAAGATCTCCAAGTCGTTTAATTAATTAAGCTTCTGGGCATTTGAAAAAAAAAACTTAAAAACTGACAATTAACCAGACATTGATTCATTAAATAAACTATATTCAGTTTTACCAAAAAGATTTTGATGATAACTTCGACGATAAAACAGAAATATTCAATTTTTATCATTATGTATTTATTAAGAAAACGGGCTGGAGCCCAATTTACAAAAAATTAAAACAAGTATATTGACACAATTAAAAAGAAAAAAAGAAAGTATTGGTTCAAACTAAGTTACGATAAGATTATCTTAGCAGGTAGGGAAAGCTCGAAATATATATATAAGGTAGGGTACAATAAAAATTTAAAAAAACCAAAATTACAAAAAATTAACCTAAAAGTGGAATAGAAAAGCGCTATTGTCTTTACGCATCGTGCTGGTGAGAGGATCATTTTTAAATAGTTGATAGGGTTACATGGAATAATAAAAAATTTAAAAATTTCGGATGATACGATTTGGTACCTTAAAGATTAAAAGAGCAAGAAGAAAAGGATAGTCAACTGAGAGGTTTTTAGAGAAAAGATTTTTTAAAATAGTAGACGACGATCGGCGAAGTCAGTAAGATTTAGAAAACGAAAGACGGGGGTGTAGTCGTGAGGTACACAATTAATAATAAAGATTGATTTTAAGATTATCGCTGATTGTAACGCAACGACTATAATAAAGTTCATATAAATATGCTCAAAAATCTATCTTTGCGTAATAAAAGCTTTTGTATCAAATATGCGGAGAATAATCGTTGTTCGAAAATGCTTAAGAAACATTTTTGTAAACCAATTGCATATATTAGCTGTATTAACAAATTGCACAAAGAACACACGAAATAAAATACAATCAAATGTGGTATAGCATAACAGATCAAGGTTTATTTTCGATTAATTTTCTCCAATCACTTTGACAACAGCCAAAGCCTCTAGAAAAGCAATATAACAATTAAACGTAACAGTATTTAGTATTCAAATATTCTAAATTTAAAAAAACATATAGGACCTATATTATAGGTGTAGAAATTATGCCTTCGATCCGTTATTATTTATCCTTATCATTATTTGTGATAAGAAATATTTTAAGAATACAATAAAGTTGACCTGCATTATTGCCTATTTGATGTATTTTGTTATTTACTTCTTCGACTTTTTCAAAGGTATAAAGATATCTCTTTCTGTTAATCTACTCGAGACGTAAACAAATATGACATAAAAATATTTCTAATCACATTGGGTTTTTTTCGTATATTTTATTTGTTTTAATAAATGAAAACATTGATTTTAAATATTTCTACGAATAAAGCCTAACCGTTCATTTATTAAATGTTTTTATTGTACAAGAATAAATAAAAAAATTCGTGTTTATTCATTGCGATGGAAGCAGGTAAAAAAAATTCTGCCATCCATGCGTGTATACAATCTTAACAATATGCATTGTGTAATAAAACATTTTAATTATATAAATCAAATATCAGTCAGATATCAAAAATAGATTATATTGATATAATTCCTTCCCATAATAATAGACGAATAGAATAATGGTTTTCGTCATATAGACATACTAATTTAATAACTATAACAATGTTAAAAAAATATTTTTTTTTAAAAGGTTTTGTTGTAAAACCAATTATATAAAATATGTGCACAATAGTATAAATAAAAACCGGTATTAAAATAATTTAATTTTTTTCATGGACGAGTACCAAGCCACCTCATTCTAGTACTGTTTCATTATATTTGATTTAATGTTATAACAAACCCCGAAAACATTATGGATCGTATAATACTGTTTACATTAATATTCGTACCATGTATTATATCAAAGAGTACGCTAAACGGATTCCTACCAAATCTTCCGGTTGTAAGTAATTATATTATAGTAGTTTACAAAATTATTATTTTCATGTGCACAGATTCATCGATTTTGTTGTTATGAATTATCTTGTAAATGATTTCAGGGTGAATACAAGGCGTATGCCAGAGCATTTATTAAATGTAAACCAACAGGAGGAAATTTGATTGATTTCAATTTGTATTTGTATAAAGTATCCGTTAATTCCTCTGAACTTAGAGGTAATATAACGGTTAAGAAACCGTTTGACGATTCCTTCGGTGTAAGTGAATAAATAGCCACTTAGAAACATAATTTACATGATCAATTTCGTAAATGATACAGAATGCTTAAGAATGAATGTGTAAATAGTGCCGTACGCATAAATAAAATATTGTTTAAAGCAAACCATTCCTTTGAAAATAATTACTTTGATATAACTAACAGAATATTATCACAAAATAAAGCACTTATTAGAATAACCTTATTTTATACAAAGGTTGAGATGACGCCCAATGTCTTTGACGACATAATTATAACAAAAAAAAAAAAAAAATGCTTAAAATGATNTCTCATGTAACAACTAGATATAATTTTCTTTCAATAAAGTTCTACACACTTGTCACTTAATAAAAAAGGAAATCCACAAACGGGCTTCATAATAAAACAAATAGAGAAATTGAATAGGACTTATCGATGAATCTACTTTTTTTTGTTTAATGTTTCTTTGAGTAAAACAATAATATTTGAATTAAAATATTTTAAATCCAAATAGATTAATATTATAAAATTTAACTATGTTCCTATTTATTGTACAGGTTAATTTCAGTTTTGCTGTGAAAGACTCGATTGGAGGTTGGAAAGAAAATGCTTATTTTTTCCAAATTGATAAAGCCTGTACAAAAGCAATATATTTGTTGGGTTCAGCAGCTTCAACGTTCGCCAATAATTTTAGTTTAAATGCCACTTGTCCGTTTCCTGTTGTAAATATAATTCTTATTAAGCTATTAATGCAATTTTAATAAAATACATTTACCTTTAGGGTGTACACGTTTCCAAAGGATTAGATTTTACAAAGGTATTTTCACAAGCGAATATACCAAAACAATTTTTTTATGGCACTTATAAATATCGAATTGAAATTATAGACAATAAAAAAAAACAAGTCGGCTGTGGTATTATAATCATGGACATAAAACGTCCGTGGGAAACTGAATAAATCGTTATGAGTTTAGTAGGTAAATAAATCTTTTACATAAAATTCTAGTGTTACGGAGGAGTGCGACCAGCACTCTTCCGAAAGGGCATGACTGACTTTAATTTTTTTATATTTTAAACAACAAAAAAAAATATGTGGTACTGACGATGGGTGGATTCATAATATATTATTATTATTATTCTTACTATAATAAAGTAGTGTTATTTATTTTTGATAATATTTCAGAAGTACGAGATAAGCTTCGTGGCGACGCCGATCAATTATTTCGTTGAAAATTATTTTAGATTTATACTAGCAATGATGTCGGATCGTCACCCGATATTCATTAGTCGTATCCCGTTGGAACAATTTATTCAGTCTATTCGATTTCACCATTTTGACCATCTGAAGTATTGACAGTATATCTGAAAATGGACGCAGGAAGATAACTATTTAAATTTAGTTATAAATATTTTAAATACAAAATCATGTATTATGTAGTAATTATAATACAAATTATTTAAAAATTAGTGGTAGTTCTTTACTTGTGTGTAAGGAGTTTACTTTTCGGTGACCATCCTTTATCTTTATCTCTTTTAGAACAAAAGTCATTAAAAAAGAAAGCAAATTTCAAACTAATAATAAACTAAACGAAATATTATAAAATAGATTGAGTTATTATTTACTGTAATTAAGAAACAATAAATATTTATAATTTACATTTTTTTTTTAGCTTGAAAGCAATTAAACAATCTTAGAATATAAAACAATTTATATTATTTTCCATTTTCATTAACAGAAGATGGGTAATGCAAAAATCGGATGCTACCCGGGGCAATCGTCTCCTCTAGCCCCCCGCCCTACTTAATGCGTCATTGCAATTAATTGGAATAATAATAATCAATTAGCGAATGCGATTATAGCTTGCTGTATAATTATACACTCATAACTAGAATACATTACCCTATTGTATATTTCACATTGACACAAATCCAATTCAATGTATACTTTATATATTAGGTGCATTACGAAAATAATTGTTGAATAATTTTTGAAAATAAAAGATAAATACAATTTTTTTAAAATCTATTGTAAAAAGACAGAACACTTATTACACATCTTGTAACACAACACCGGCGTTACTCTCGCGTCTGTACGAGTATGTCTACCGGTAGAGCGCGGCTGTTGATAATGCATCAACAGTCTCCTTTAACCCAAACTTAAAAGTGGAATATTAACTGAATGGATCGACGGAAATCAAAAATTTCAACATTAAAATTTGTTTGAATGAAAATTTCATCTTTTAATTGACTTTTAAATATAGGTTGTCAATTGAAAGTCTAAATTAGGTGTTTGGTTTAACCCCAAAAGTATCTAATAACATAATATTTGTTTTGATTTTATTTTTGTATTGTTATCATCTTATTGTACTTTCGGTTTTGCAGAACAACTCAGGGTTTATTTTCGATTAGTATTCAGGGTGTTTCACTGAGCATGTTCACCCATTTTTTTGATTAAGTTTTCTCTACATTAAAAAGCCTGATTTTTGGAATTTTTTTGTGTATTTAAGACATTATTTTTGAATACTTCTGATTGCAAACAAACTTTGGTTTTAAATAAGAATCTATATTAAAAATTCCATTAATAAATGAAGTATTAGTTTAAATAAATGGTGGCTTAGGTTTGCGCAGACTTTGTTCACAGAGTATGTGGCTGATAAAATATGCCCCTCCCCCCACAGATATAAATGTCCCTAAAATTAATGTGCAAGACATTGCATTATAAACTTGTGGTTACTACTTTTCATTAGAACTTAAATAGGTTTTTCAGTTTTTTTTGAATAAAAGCATTTTATTACAAACATGTTTATAGAGACGAAAATTTACTTTATACATAATTGTTTTAATTCAACGCTTCTCTTTCCTGGTATAAGGACTTAAAATTCTTCAATCACATCCTCTGTGTCGATTTCAGTACAAGTTTGTTGTTCTATGAATATCAACATTAATGCACACAATTTTTTTTATTTTTTAAGTTGCTATACGCCAGTTATTAAATCCGATTTTGGAAAAAGTTGTTCTTGATTACCAACATTTAAATAAAAGTGCATAAATAACCGATATGAGACACACCTCTATTTTCTGAGGTGTTATAAGATATTTTATTCATGTAAATATTGACATCAACAATATTTCCTTCCATTGGTTTACTTTTAATTATTACTCTAGTATACATCTTGTATTCTCCCTAAAATCATTTATAAGATAAGTTCATAATTACAAAATCGATAAATCTGTGATTGAGCAAATAATAATTTTGTTAAACTATTTTAATATAATTACCTATTACTAGACGATTTGGTAAGAATCCCTTTAACGTACTCTTCGATATTATACATAATATGAATATTAAAGTAAACAGTATTGCACGTTTCATGATGTTTTCGGGATTTTAATTATCATCGAAAAATATTATTAGAATCAGGCTGAAAAGATTAAATTATTAAAATTGCCATTATTATTCTAACAATATGTTACAATATGTACAATCCTAACAATATGTATAATATTTGTATATTATAATGGCAATAATTATGTCAAACTTATCTATTTTACAGATCTGGCTAAAATTTCAAGCATCAATAACGCAACAAAAATATGGAAACAACAAAATACATATTTTTAAGACTGTATTTATCTTTGGAGGACAGAATTAAACTGTCCTATATCCTTTGTATAAAATGAAAACGGCAGATTTAATTTTTACATAAAAAAATATAAAATTATGTAAATTAAAAAGGCTCCGATGGGTATACCATTATTGAAGGTGGTATCTGAGAATATTGTGAGCATAAAGTTATTTAATTAATGTCTGTATAGATTTAGAATTTCTAATGAAAATCGATTATGAGTGATTTCCGTTCATTCGTATTTTGAAAGGTTGTAATATTTACTATTTTCATCAAAATTTAAATTAATTTCTTTGCATAAAAGGTTCAATTTAGATCACTAAGTACTACTTATAATGATCTGCCTGTTAATTGTTCGTGCATTTCTGCTTAGCCTAACAATATTTTATCCACAGAATAAAATAAAAATTACGTAAAAACCTCAATGAATTTAAATGTTTATAAGTAACTGAATTATGGCTTAAATTTGAACATTTTATTACATCTAAATAAGTCAAATATATAATTTTTTATTGAAATCTCAAGTTTGTTTAAATATTATTACTGAACTTCAACTAAAAAACAAAATAGATAAATAGATTATCTATTATAACATTTTTATTTTAGTAAATATGCCCGTTCTTTCGATGTTTTTTTTTACAGATTTCAAATTTTTGAAAAATTACAAGGAAAATTAAAAAAACGATTTTCTTGATTAAAAATTTAACAAAAAATGTCACCTGTTGTTTTTTTATTGGAACAATAATTCTAGTATAGTTTTCTTTCGGTTTTTTCCCAATTCTTTTGAAAACCTATTGAAAATTAAAAAGATCGCATCATTGTACCAACTAAATTGAATTTTTTATAAGGAAAAATCCTACAGTTTATTAATTTTTTTTCAAAAAGTTTTTTATACACAGAAATATAAAAAAAATAGCTGGATGGGTGCAACCATTGTTGTAGATTAGGTAAATGAAAATTATACTACAAATTAGCAATGGCGTTTCTTTAAAATTACGTTAAATTAATTTTCATAGACAGAAAAATATTTTCATTTTCATTTGCATTCACATTCATGAAATATGCCAGTTGTGTTTTGAGTTTTAAATTATACAAATTTAAACAACTGAAATTGGATATCATTATTATTTGTTTAGTTTGATAGACACTCATTGTTTTGTAAATTATGTTAAACAAATTATAAGCACTGTATTACGTACTATACCTAGGTACCGTATATATATTGTCTGATTTTTATCATTTAATCATTTAGTTATTGCTACACCGTGGCCTGCATGCAAATCAACGTAAATTAATTATCAAACGTAAGCAACTTATTCGCATTTGTGTTTTGAATTTTTAGTTTTAACACTAATATTACTTTAAATGTATATACTTCCACACTGTATGTGGAAACGTAAATATTGAAAATATTCAATGTATTTAATATATTTTTAGTTATTTTTTACTTTTTAGTACAAAATTTATACTGTTGATCAGATTCATGGATTCGTAATACTTATTGTTTTTTTTTTTTTTTATTAAAGAGGAAATTGTATTTTTACAACAAATTACTTCCTCTAAGAATGTTTTCCGTCCTGGTTTCTTCTTAAATAAAAGTTCTTGGAAAAATTCAGTGAGTTATGGATCTATTAATGTGCACAAAATTCATGATAGTTTAATGCCGAACAGTTTAGAGAGCATAAATATTTATATTCGTTAGCAATACGTAGACGGAACTATGAAACAGATTTTTTTTTTTAAAGAGAATTACTCTACTGGGCTCTAAGGATACTCCAATGATACTCGTATTATTGCCATAGAAAATAGAAATGTACTTTTCTACAAAAATGTTAGTTATTCATTTTTTTTTTTAATGTTTATAAAATCAAATTTGTGTACATGTGTTCTGTGTAGATGTGGATGTGTGTGTATCTACATGTAAGCGTTTATGAGTGAACAAATCTGTTTTTAATTTTAAGCCCAACTTCCATTTTGGACCACTGTGCGGCTATTTCACTATCGATGCATAGTTATTTAGCTTTTAGATGCAGGTAATTTGTCAATCTATGTGAATCGCATCGACATTAAAAGCAGATACACATTATGCCACCACCGTCCACCACATGTACGTATTTGGAATCCCACATTTCTTACGTTTTTCAATTTTTGTTATTTCTTAAATTGTATAATTCAAATTTGTTATATTAATAATATCTAGTTATGTTAAATAATTTTATCTGCAAAATATATGTTGATTAAATAAATTGAAATTGATCGTTATAATTACTTAAAAGGTCAAAACTCGAGTTTTTTCTTTTTATTACTTTTTTGGCAAGCAGTTTAGTGTATCTAGAACCTAACGATAGACGTGTGATATTAGATAGTAAGTATCACTGTAGAAATTTAGGCAAATTACATTTTTGAATTATATTGACATACTAATTATGTCAGTTTGATTTCAACATTGTTTTTCGTACAAAAAAATAACCAAAAAGTAAAACTTTTGATTTTGATTTGATAACTTTTGAGTTACGGACTAGGTTTCAGGGCCACATCTTTAACATCAACGCCTTCCCACCACACGGTTTGTTGCAATATACTTATGTTTAAGTATGATTTCAAATATCGCGTATTTATAATAAATAGATCTGGGATCTTTAATACTAAATAATTAGTTTAAATAATCTTTTCGATAAACCACGAACGCTATTTGTCATATATAGGTTAGTATGATAAGCGATGAGATACGTAATGTGAAAAATTACATAAATCTAATGATAATATTAATATACCAATCGTAATGATAATACTATAATAAATGGTAGTGGCGTGATATTTGTACCCGTTCGATTTTTTCGATCACTGTTTGTCAAATGATATACGATGAAGCCGTCACATGTACTTTACATTTAATTATTATTTTTAATGTCAATCAAAATTTGAATGAAAATAAAACTATAGTGCGTAACTATTAGATTCATCGGTTTTATCGTGATAAGTTCGGTACGTGAAACTATTGGACTACTTAAGAAATAAAAGATCTATTAAACGGTGATTGATTTCGGATTTTCTATCAGACAGAAAAAAACAACGGACGTTTAATTAATTGGAACTAAAATACAATTACAGATATTTAGGGCCCGTATTAAAATTCTTAGTTTAACTCGAGTTAAGCTGAACTTCGGTTATAAACTGAACTCTAAGTTAACTAATTGCCAGTATTACGATCACAGATTTAACTCCGCTTAGGTAAACCGTAGTTTAACCGTTATTTTATGCTATATGTGCGGTAAGTACCACTGTGAAAAAGTTAGTGATTAATAACAAAGTTACGTGATAGTGGTATTTTATAGTGTTAGTGAACCAGTCGGTCTGTTATTCGTTATTTCTCTAATTGTCATTTGTAAAATCATTTCTACAACACTTGATTAGTGTTTCCACCATACATTTTTTATCACAATGTTATAAGTAATAATTTGATTGTATGGATCCAAAAAATTGAATTGTACAACTAAAACCACACTTAATATATTTAAAACTCATATTATATAAAATATGAGCATTTGCAGTATTTATTAAGATTTAACTATTATTAAAATAAGAGATACTCTAATGAGATTTTTCGCATTAAAAAAGTATATATGTACATAAAATGTAGAATACAGCATTTTTTAAGCTTTACTTAGCATTTCATTTTGTGTGTACATTTTTTTTTTTTGAATCCACACGTGCTTGGTAATGATTTTTATCAGATGATATGATGTCACACTAATCGTACGTAAAAATTGTAAATATAATTATCGATAACCATAATACCATGTTCGTTATCAATATTAATGAACAACTTATCAAACGGCAGTTCATCTAAGAACCAAGCTTAACTCACCGAAATCGGTGGTTTAACAATCAGTAGGTTAACTTCGGTTTAAACTAAGGATAGTTAATTGTAATAAGGTTTTTTCAATTTGATCTAAGTTTAAACACCTAATCGAGTTTAAACTTCTATTGTAATACAGGCCCTTAGTATGCTAACGAGAAAACTAAATTATTTCTAATCCGAGATGGACCCAAGGTGAGCTATCACTGTATACCTAATATTATATTGTGTAATATAATTTATATACGTAGCGTGAAAATGACAAATGATGAATATCAAATCGTTGTATCGTTTATAATAATACGAGTACTTATCTGATAATTTGTTCTATTTGTATAAAAAATTATATTTTTGATTAGGTTAGTACACGGGAAATCTGACACTACAAGACTGTTTTTAAGTACCCGTTCTCTTCAGACACGATTGCGTACATAAATCTCGAACCTTTAAA